CACTAGCAGTGGGGGGAATCACACATCCATGCATGTCTCCATGCACCAACCTTGCCAAGTTAAAATCTGTTACTCTGCAATTAAAAATATAGAGGGGGGGAGAGAGTATGTGAGAGACAGCATGTGTATGTAAAATATAGAAATAAATGCTCATTTATTAACACACACAAACTATAATGGGGTGGTGTAAGCTAGAGTACATGCTCATGAAAACTATAGCTGTATTAACCCATTTTCTCTCTGCAGCAGTGTAGCTGCATCCACTGAATGTGCATAAATGCTTCCACTATATTTTGGAATTGCCAGTACCAATTTGGTTTGAAACAGAACATCACTTCCAGAGAAACTTTGTCCCCTTGCCTCTCAATAGTTAATAAAATTCTCACTTCCTCATCTGTTACAAATTAAATATCTGCTTATACTCAGGTCAGTTCTCCTGGATTTTTTTCAAAGTAAATGAAATGAATAATAGCTTTGAATAATATCTTAGGCAATTAGACTCCATAAAGGCTAAAAACAAGAAAGTAGATCACAATTTGTCAGGCCAAACTGGAACATACTTAAATTAAATCCTTTATCTATCAAAGCCAAATTAATGGATGCCGTATATATTTTGCTGTCAAATTATTTTAAAAATTAGGAACTGGGAATTACCGTATGCCTAGGCTAGGATAAGGATTAAATTAAAACCCACTTTCTTTTGTTTTAAGAGAACAGTCAGCCGTGTTGATGCTCGAAGGCATGCATTTACAGCTGTTGCAAACTAGGTGAGTGGGTGGCACCTCAGAGAGGGCTGGGTGTGGTCTAGAAAACATATAGGTTTGGTTCGTACATTAAGAGAAATATACTCATTGACTGCATTCACATGTCACAGTAACCCAATGATAAACAGTTCACCATGAATGCAGAGATTATGCCCACTTTGCTCCCCCTTGCTAAGGAGCAGGCATCGCAAACCATAATCCTTGGCTTAACACTACATTTGGACTGAGCCATCATGGTTTATTTCACTTCCACAAACCACAATGGTCAAGCCAAGAACTAACTTTGGCTTCAGAACATAGTTCAGTGCAAAACAAACCACAAACTCCAGTTTGGATGTAATGATAAGTCAAGGATCATGATTTGTTGCTAGAACAGGAGCAATCTCCGCATTCACAGCAAACCATTAACCATGACATACACTGACATGCTAATACTGTATGCACTTCAATCCACACATTCAGTCATTTGTCATTTTTGATACAGATTATTACAAATGTATTAAAAACGAAATGAAGTACGCAAAGTTAATAAATATTTTTGACTGCAGGGGGAGTGGGGAATCACAAGTCATCTCCCCTCCCTTTCACTGGTGGCAGCAACATCTGGATCCAAGCCCATATGAATCCACATTTTCTGGAGACTGAATAGCATTTAACTTGCCCATTCACATCTTTCTCTGGTTTCACAGCATTCAGTATTTTGCTTGTGTATGACTCTTTACTGAGGCGAAGGAGAAGACCATGAATTTTAGGATTCTCATTGAGCTTTACAATTTCATCTATAACCTAGAAAATAATACAAGGTTAAGAAATCAGGATTTAAAACTGATCAGCTTGAAGGACATTATCAAATATTAGAATTTTAATATATAATGAAAATTGGATCATTGATAAATGGAATCAGACATGATGTTTCGCTTGCAGAAACTGAAAGAATATAGCAAAAGTACACTCACTATTATGATCATGTGTTGCTGTAAAAGTCCACCTTTGGGCACTTGAACACTGTTCTATCATTCAGAGCAATGAAATGTATGCTAACCGCTACACCCCACAGTACAGTTGTGAGTCAGTACTATATTAGTCTAAAGATACCACAATAGGCTGAAGATGGGTGGGAGCTGGTCAAGTAGGGGATCACAGCACAGACACAGATATACAGTATTTCTCAGAACTAGAAGGAACCCGCAACAACCCACAAGGGAAGGACATGGTCGCAGGCCAACTGCAAATTTATTATTTGAAACATGCCATTTATTAAGTGAAAACGAGACAACAAATATAAAAACATCATCATGGCATGGAAGAATGTCGAATGTATAATGCTTCCAAAATGTGGGCATAGAGTTTTAAGAGAGTGGATTATTTTTACCACATAGGCGAATGTCTTCTATTTGTTCTGTGGAATTTTCTGAACAATACATGGAGAAGAAGCTTGTCCCATGGTCAGTGGGAACAGTGTGCCTCATGAAAGCAGCTCTAGCAATAGCTCTAGGAAGGGGAAATAGGTTTCTAACACTAACATCAAGATAAGGTGGTAGGATTGGTAGGGGTGGCAACCTCCCCTCCACCCACTCTGCCTCCTCTCCTCCCACCTTCTTTGTAGCTCCTGCTACCACCACTAGCTGCTTCTGCTTCTCTCCCTCAAATCCCCATCAGCACAATGTCTCTCCTTTCTCACAGCATGAGACATTGTGGGATGACCAGGCAAGACAGCCACAAAGAGCTTTGTAGAAGTTTTACATTCCTCTCCATTGTTAGAAGATATGTTGATATTCTAAGTGTAGGTATTGACAGCTACTTAGGTAGGAATACTGTAATAACCGCAGACTGAAAGCTCGTCCTTATTAATATTCTATTGGTAATGGTCTTACTATGCAATATAACATCCTGTAACTAAACATAGCAGATTTCTTATTGAAATAATGTCTGGGTGAGAAACCTGCAATCAAACAGCAGGCAGCCCTCAACAGTACACAGCTCAAGTTTTCGGAGATAATGTAAATCTGTAGGCAAATGCAGTACATAATATATTATTAACAGGGGTGAGTTGAGGACTGAAGACTATCAATCTCAACTTTGAATTCCTTTGTTATTTTTAGAAAGAGTCATGCTATCCTTAACTACTTCAACGGGACTAAACAGGTAATCAACAAGACTCCAACTCATGCCTACTCAGAAGTATGTTCTACTGAATACAATGGGTCTTACTCCTAGGTAACTGGGGTTACCTCTGAGTAAACCTTCCTTAGGAATAAGAGACTGCTGTTATCGTGTCCTGTTTTTAGGCTTCCCAAATGCAGGGCTGTTCTTATGGGTATTCAGTTGCAAAACTAAGTGTACTTACTCACAAGGATGTAGTCCTCTGCACAGTTACACTGAAGTACACCCTACTGAACTTGTGGACTTTTTTCTCAGATGCATAGACTCAGGCAGGACACTTCAATGATATTTGCTTTGGATCATAATATTAGGCAGTTTACAGGCATGTACCATAGGCAGTGCTTGGGGGGGAAAACACACTGGAAGGAGGTGGGCAGAAGCATTTTGCGGCCCCTTCTTCTCCTTTCAGCCCTTCAAATCCCCCAAGAAGCAGATGAGTAACTATATAACCTTTAAAAAATATCTGAAGGCAGATCTGCATAGGGAAGCTTTTTAATGTTTAATGTTTTGGTATGTTTTTATATAAGTTGGAAGCCACCCAAAGTGGCTGGGGCAACCCAGTCAGATGGATGAGGTACATATAAATTGTTGTTGTTGTTGTTGTTGTTGTTGTTTGTTAAGCCTCCTGAATGTGATGGGCTATGATGCAGAGGGAATAAGAGGAAAGTGAGAGATCCTCTCATGGAATGTGCCTCTACATAAATTCTCAGCAAGCCTTCCCACACCACAGCCCAGCCCAGCTCATCCAGGAGGACCCTCAAACTTCAGGTAAAGCCTTTGGAAGCTGCTGGGGGAAAGGAGAGGTAGGAAAGCCAACAACCCTTTTCTATGAGCTTTTTTCTTAATTCAGTCAATTAGCCATTTAGCACTACTGCATCAGGGAAAGCCCTAAATTCATAAATTATTACCTCATGTTCAGTATAGTTGCGAGGGAGACAAATATGAACAAGGTTCAGGCCAATCTGCAAAGAAAAATGGGAAATTTTTTTTTGCTATAAAGCCCAATAATTTCTCACTTTAATTTGGAAGAAACAAGTATTTCCATACTCTCACCTCTTCTGCAATGTTTTTGATAATTTCTTGCCCCAGATCATCATCGCCAATCTTGAAGGGATTAAAGAAAAGTAAAAAGAGAACTGTAACAAGTTAGGAATGGTGACAAAGAAAATGAGACTGTAAACAATTTGTAACTCGAGAAAAAATTGCAATCAATACTTGATCAGAAATTTGCAACTGGGTAAGAAATATGATTTACTGAACTGAATGGAAACGGTGAGTTTCTTAACATTACCAGGAGTATGTTGCACAATCAAGCACCTTGGGCAATTTCTTGGCACTGAGTAGCTTGGCTTTGCAACCCCTATTCCCAGTTGTTATGCTTGCACATTCTTGTGGTTATATAGAAGTGAAGCAATCCCTGACAAGATAAAAATGGAAACATACTAGCTTGGCTTCCCAGAGCACTCCATAGAAAATTAGAGCACTGGGAAGCAGTACAGAGGATTATAGTGTTTGGTATGTTTTCCGGATGCCAGCAGCCTTACTGCAAGAAGTCACATCGGTGGGTTGCTTCGTACAGAACAGTTATTTAGTTATCAAATCCAGCTTTGAGTAAGAAACCAATGTTTTAATTGGGACTACTCTTGCACCCTCAGCCCAATTTATCTCATAACAGGTTGTTGGAAAGATAAAAATGAGATAGGCCACGTATTCCGCTGTCAGCTCCTTTGAGGAAGGGCAAAGTATGAATATTTGAGAGTAGTGAAGGTAATATCTCCTGAAGGTTAGATATTGAACAATCCTCTTACTTGGGAGTAGGTGAGTTGATATCCAGTGTAGCCCCAGAAGACATTCCACTTGTACCAATTTCCCTGCTCAAGCTTCAGCTCAGCATGCTGGAGAGCCTCCCTGTCCTCAGAAGTCTCACCACCCTTAACAAATTAGTTCCCAAGATCCAATACAGGGAAGCCATGATAACTGAAGTAGTGTAAGCGTGCTTTCATAGAATTGCAGAGTTAGAAGGGACCCTGAGGATCATCTAGTCTAACTCCCTGCAATGCAGGAATATGCAGCTGGCCCATATGGGGATAAAACCCACGACCTTGGCATTATCAGCACCACACTCTAAGCAACTGAGCTAATGTATGGTGTGGATGTGACCAAGATTTTCAGAAGCTGTAGCAGGAAGATCATACACGAAGATTTTTATTTAGGGGAAGTAACATTAAAGATTGTGAAATGGAAAAATTAAGTCCAGCAGAAATATGGTTTAAACAGCTTCTACTACTGGCCATGTTGGGGATGATGGGGCTTGTAGTTTAGCAACACCTGGAGGCCAAAGGTTCCTCACACTATCAAATATACCCAATAATGCATTTATCTGGTTTAAGGTAGCTCTTTTTTTTTTAATGATATTTATTAAAATTTCAAAAACAAAAATACAAGAATTACACAAAAACAAAAAATAAAAATACAAAAAAATACAAAATACAGCAAGAAGAATAAAAAAACCCTTATTAAGATATAACAAAGCAATGAAAAATAAAAAGAAACAAACAAAATAAAAACAGTTAAAAACACATTAATTTTCCATAGCATATCTTCCTTACACTTATTTCCCTGGACCTCCTCATACCTCCCTTTTTTGTATTCCAGTTCAGTTTGTTAGTTCAGCAAATCCTTACCATTAAGCTTTTACCCATTTATAAACCTTTTTTTCATATTAAGGTAGCTCTGTAGTTAAGAAGATGTTATGGTGTGCAAGATAAATGGCCATTCACAGATCTAGATCTGTTTTCATAAAGTACTGGTGGTTGTTTCACTTCTGAAATCATCATCTATAGGGTTTTACCTGTACAACAGCAAGTGCTGGTTTAAATGTAGGATGCTGTCTCTGCAGTAAATTCAGGGCTTTCCTTGAACTCTCAATGATTTCACTTTTAAAAATAAAAATATGATCTGTATTAGTATATAATATAACTTTATTTCCATGATCTCACCAGCTAGCACATGATTACCCTTTCTGGATTACCCACAAAGACAATTGCTCATTTTGAGCATATCGTGAGCCAATATGCAATATCTAGCAACATCAAAATAGCAAAAAACCCATCCAATCCTACAGCAACAGTTAAGATATAAAGGCTACAATCCTAAGCACACGTACTCCCATGTAAGTACCATTGAAGATACCTCAGATCTACACAGAAACTATTTGTTTTCAGAATGTTATTCACATTATAATTATACATTTATTTAAAACATTTTAACCTGTTTAGCCAAAAAGGCCCGCAGGGCAGCTTACAAAGATAAGCAGTATGACCACTACAGTGGTATCTCTGGGTATGAACTTAATTCGTTCCGGAGGTCCATTCTTAACCCAAAACCATTCATAACCTGAGGTGTGCTTTTGCTAATGGGGCTGCTGCGCTGCTAGCACATGACTTCTGCTCACATCCCTGGGCAAAGTTCGCTCCCAGGAGCATCTACTTCCGCAGCTCGTTACCTGAAGCGCTTGTAAGGAGGACGGTATGTAACCCGAGGTTCCACTGTAGTTTTGGCCTTTAATTAGTTCTATACCAAGGTTCACTAATACACAATATATATCTGTATAGTTGGTCTTCAATGACTGATTTCCCAGTACAAAATACCCCCAAGCTATGTTATTTACGAATGAGGCACACATGTGCAAAAGTGCACCTTCATAGGAACACAGAAAGCTGCCTTATACCCAATCAAACCACTGATCCAACTTGCTCAGTACAGTCTATACTGACTGGCAGAAGCTCTCTTGGATTTTAAGCAGGGTTTTCTCCCAGCCATAGCTGGGGATGCTGGAGGTTGAATATGAGACCTTCTGCACGCAAAGCAGATGCCCTACCATTGACCCATGGCCCTGCTCCTAATACACATATACACACAATATTGTTACATATTTCCGCAATCTCAGAGCGGTGTGAGAGACCAGGAGCTCCCCCACGGTCTGTGTTTCCTTTGGCAATGAGGCACAGCAGAGACCGTGGTGCTTTTATGATATATGACTTATTTATACACATATACAATTGAGCCTAGGAGGGAAGGTTTTAAAGCATTCAACTTCAAATTAGCTCCATTTCTCCCATTGCTCCAGCCTCCGATTCAGGTTTTGTGCTCTGAGCCTGCTTGCTGCATTTAACAGACTGACACATTTTCCCCTCCCACTTACATCATCCCAAATTTAAATCCCTAAACTCCCTCCTAAAAACTCTGGCATTCTCTTCTGCTAACTTCCCAGAGCTCAGGGCAGGGCTGCACCCATTTGCAGCTGGCACAGTCTTCGCTTTGCTGATGGCTTATCTCTCTGTCTGTGTACTCTGTTAACAACTCATACTTAGCAGCCATTATCAGGCTGGCCTGTATTTTGACACTGCTAAATTCAGCCAAGCATTGATTAAACTTCAACATTTATCAAATCCAGGAATTATGGGTGACTTGCACCCACAAACTCTGGCACCCACAAATTCATTAACAATACATTATAGATGAAGGGTGGCCAGATGCAGGAAAAAAGGCCAAGGCTCCTACAGCTTTAGTAGTTGTGTGGATGTAGGAGTTTGTACACCTGCTGAAACTGCATATTCTACACAACTGTTAAAAGTGTAAGAGCCCTTTTCCCTTCTGCATCTGGCCACCCTACATCTATTAACATAAAGCCAGAGGTCGTGCTTCATGAAACCAAGGTATCGAATTGATGCTGCCTTGGGAGACCTTGATCCCAAGGTGCTAGTATCTCAAGAGCTTCTTTCCGCACATATAGCTGAAGCGTGTTCCTGTGCAAACCTGTATTTGTCTACTCAAAAGTCCCACTGCATTCAGTGGAACTTACTCCCTAGTAAGTCACCACAGGACTGCAGCCTTAGCATAGCAAACTGAGAAGAAGCTTGTTTTGCTAAATGTATATTAGATGATGAAAAAGTTGGCAGTCCTAGAAATTCAGCCTTTTGTGGAACTTGTACAGTATAAATGTAAGCATGTTTACTTAGAAGTCAGCCAAACTCGGCTCATTGAAACTTGCTTCCAAGTAATCAAATTAAGACTGGTGGTGTTAAAGGAATAGTGCCTTTCTTGAGTGTGCACTCTGGAATAGCTCTGCAGGGCAGAATCTTCTGCCACAGAGAACAAATTATGGAGATAAATTTCCAAGAGATTAACTGCTACCTGTTAAGGGAGCCTTAAAGGAAAAGGAGTTTTTTACAATAAAAAAACAACGGTGCCCTAGACAGTGCTGCATACAGCGATGACAGAAAGCCAAAATAGGTTGGATAGCCATGTCTATGTGGCAACTCTGAAAATGGCAACTGCCCTCACAGGATCCAGTCACTTGATTTTATTACAGTGGTACCTCGGGTTACATACGCTTCAGGTTACATACGCTTACAGATTCCGCTAACCCAGAAATAGTACCTCGAGTTAAGAACTTTGCTTCAGGATGAGAACAGAAATCGTGCTCCGGCGGCACGGCAGCAGTGGGAGGCCCCCTTAGCTAAAGTGGTGCTTCAGGTTAAGAACAGTTTCAGGTTAAGAAGGGACCTCCGGATCGAATTAAGTTCTTAACCCGAGGTACCACTGTATTGTGTTTTTCACTGGGTTGTAAATCATCTTTGGGATTTATTATATTTCAATTTTTATGTAGATTTATTTATTTTATATCTATCCATATGTTGGCATCCGTCTTTCTCAAGAGATGATGGAAGAGAGAGAGAGAATCTATATATAATTGGTGGGTGGGGGTTTGGAGAAAGATATAAATAAGCAACTTCCAATGAACCTAAATGAACTCCGATTTGAGTTAGTAGCTCTGGAAGCGGGGAGAGTGAAAGCTGGCGCTCACGGGGCCAATAAGAAGCCGCGCTTCCCGCTTCTTCGCAGCGGATTGGCTCCCGGAGACGGATTGGCTCCTCCTCCCCCCCTTCTCCTCCGCAATGCATCTGCGTTATTGCATCAGACACAACAGCCAGCCCGCCCGGAGGCGGAGCCGTCCTCCCCACGTGGAGGCGAAGGGCCGAGTGCCGGCTACGAACTAGAAGCGCTGGCGGCGGGACCAGGCACTTCCCACCCCCACCCTCTGCAAAAGGGGACCCGTCCGCTTACCTGGCCGCCGAGCCCCGTAGCCCTCCGCTGCCGGACCCTCGCTGCTTGTCCAGGCGGCCCCACGTGCCGCAGATGCCCCGGGGGAGGAGCGCGCCTGGGCAGCCGCTTCCAGGGCGCAGCAGAGGCAGAGCCCCGCAGCCCACCTTCTTCCCGCCGTGCTTGGCTGCAGCCGGTGCCGCCGGTCTCCACACCAGGCGACGGAGGACAGAGAGCCTCATGGCTGCGAGAGGAAGGACGCGAGGGAAGCTGCTGCTGCTGCTGCCGGGGTTCCCTGGCGGGGAGGCGGAGTTGTTGGCTTCTGGGGAAGGACGTGGCGCGGGGAGGGGCGCCCGACGGGCAAAGCGTGGCCGGCTCCAAGAAATGCCTGCGAAAGGCGGGGGCCCAGCGAAGCCTCGGCGCCTCGCTTGCGCCTCCGGGCATAGACTCGTCCGCAAAGCTCCCCTCAGGTGGTGAGCGAGCGGCTTGTCCTCTCCAGCGGACCCAGGGCAAGTGCCATGGCCCTCGCTTCCCCTGAGCAAACGTCGTCCCGTGGAAACATTGGCCTCATAATGAACATTGGGGTGGGGGGCATGTTAGCCTGTGCTAACTTGGAAATAAATCCCACGGAAAGCGGCTGGCCTTACTTCAAAGGAAACGGGAAAAGAGGGAAGAGGAGAAATAGTTGGTAATTAAAACTGCCAACCACCGCTTCAGCGTCTGCTGCTGCTGCTGTTGGTTGGAGAATCTTCCTTTGAAGAGCATCTCGCCCGGCTGGCAGCAGACTGTCTTTTCCCACAGTACCTCAGCGTTGTGCCTTTTCTGGGGCATTGTGGGAAATGAAATTTGAAATGGTGGCCGCCCACCACGGGTTACAGGGGGCCCAGGACAACACTTGGCACCAATTAGTAGGAAGAAAGGCTGCTGCAGGATCAGTAGGATACCCAGAGTTTTGAAGAAGCCCTTTGGCAAGGAGGGGAAATGGTTCTTTCTTAATAAAAGCGGGTGCAAGAGCTCACAAAAACATCTGCCCATGTTTCTACAGCTTTTATTGGTGCCTCAGTGGCCGTGGTCCCAAGTCAGGGGTGCTTCTTGTCATCCTAAACCACAATGTCCTACTGCTACATGGATACTATGTTCATTTCTCACAACTACCATTTTTCCTAGCCTATGAACCAGTGTGATATTTCTACACTAGCTCTTTAGGACCCCAGAGATTGCTAATACCTGGTGTCTGAACAAATGAACAACAAATCACAGCTCTCACTTCACTTGTTGACTGAAAATACTGAGGGGCAGAAGCAACCTACTAAGCTGGCTCATTTCACAGCAATTGCTTAGAAGGATACCTGTATATTTTGCTTCATATTTCACCCCCCTCTTCCTGGAGGTCTAAAGACTTACCCTTTCCCCCCCAAATGAAAGTGCACAGATTCAGGCCCTCTGCCCAGGGTGCCAATGAAGGCCTTCACAGGCACCATGGCACCCACAGGCTTTAGCTGGGTGACCCCCCATAATACATTAAACTAGAACACACTCTTTGTTTTGGATCTGTATCTTAAATTAATATATTCACCAATGCTGGCCCTTCCCAGCTGATTCAGTAAATGATAAAAGCCAAGTAAAGGAGGAAGTGGCAAAAGTTGCAAAGGGGTGAATCCCCTTGGTACACTGTACAGTGTGAAACAACAAAACAGACTGCATTTTCTTTTTCAATTTTGCTGCAAATAGTATTTATTCCCCCCCAGGCAGCTATTACTTACATATTTTCAGGTTTGGCATGCTTTAAACTCAGCTTTTAAGCATAACAAAATGAGAAAAAGCTTTACTGAAGAATATTCTACATGTACATACATTTTTTACATCTTCCTTAAAAAAAGACTCCTTACATGAAAAAAGTGCAATGTAGAGGTTGTCTCTAACCAGTAGAATAAAATGCTAACAAATGATTTGCAGAAATTAGGAAATACGCAGTGTGAATCTATCCAGAATGACTTCATTGTTTACCCTGTCCAGTAGAATCATGCTGACACTATCAACAAATAGTACAGAAATACATTAAAACTGGGATATTTTACAAACAATGTTACATGGTTAAAAATTATAAACCTCCTTTCAAATGTTCTTTACAAAAAGTTGCAAAAGAGAGGTATGACTCTTCAAAAGAAAAGAGAAATCCACCTTTAAACTAATAAAAATGTGATGAGTCTGCTATGACTTATCTAATTTGCAGCACATGTCATATTGACTCCTCTGCTGCATCCTTAATTCTCTGGCTCTATTGTTCCAGTTTTAGTAATGGCTGCTATTTCCCTACTGTGCCCTCACATTACACTTTTGTGCTACCCACTGCCATGAATGAAGTAATGTGCTCAGGAGAGTTCAGACAGTAAAATGGACCCACTAACCTACAATGTGGGGGGTGGTCTTGAAGAAGACCCTCAAATGAACTCGCCTTTTGTGTACCAAGAAACAGCTGCTTTTGATTCCATTCACATTTGTATTGTCCTGAGGCTGCAGAAAAGTTATATAATTTGCTCACTTGAGAAGGCTGTGCAACAAAGTGAATTTAACCTTCTATGTTACAATATGAAGGAATATATATTAGTGTCTTCAGAAAAAAAGATGCATGGTATTTCCAACTGTTCATTTACCAAGTTCAAACCAGGTTAACAACGGCATTTTTTTGCTATTTTGGCTACATAAGTTTTGCACGAGGACCTGTAGTGTTTATAAAATCTAGATCTGCTTTTTTTGTTGGGAGTAGTTTTCTTTCTAACTGGTATTTTTGGGGAAATGGCAACTGAAGATGTTAGACAGCGTAAGTCAAGCTCCCTACAAAGCATGAACTAGATACAAGGTTGGCAGCTCATTTGAGAATTGAAAACCAGTATTGCCCTTGTTTTTATGGAAACATTTTCCAGGGCTCAACTACTTGTGAATTCAGCTGTTTGCTTTTCTGCCAGCAAAGCAAAAAGTACCCCAAACATATTGTTTGTTCCTCACAAAGCTATGTGTTCCATTGAGCATATATTTCATTATTTTATCAGATTAATAAAATTCCTCTGTCGTTACAAAGGAACCTAAATGTGCCTATTGTTAATGCACTCAAATTAATTTCTTTTACTATTATTTACATTATTTTACATTTTTATTAAATAAAAATTGAAGTTTGCTAATTTAATATATACTTGCATTAGTCATAATCTATTTTACTAGACATAGCTTGAATTGCAGTCAGCTCTTCAATGAAACTGGGACAGCCTTGTGTATAAGAAATTTTGAGATCGTGGTAAACCAGAAATAAAATCCCAACATTCTTGAAATAGTATTTCAAAAATTAAAAAGCATTTGTTGCCCGAAGTTCAGATAAATTCATAAACCACAAAGCTTTCAATATCTATTTTTGGTAGAATGGAATATACACTCATCACTTGCAGGATTTTGTCAAAAAATGCCTGTAAAAGCAACTTGTTGACATTCTAAAATGTATGAGGGCTACTGTGCCATGTGCTAGAGCAAAGTGGAGTGCTTTTAAGTGGAAAAGAGAGAACTCCCACCCTTGGCAAAATGCATTTCAATTTCATTTATATCACTGTTATATGTCCTTCATCTGAAAACTGGTTAAACATTGTGTGTTTGCACACCGTATTTTTTTTTTCAAGTAAAAACACTACTGCTTCCAAGCTAAAGCTATGCAAAAAATAAGACGACAGAATACACAGCAGCATAAACAACAAGAGTCAACTCTATTCAGGTGTTTGGTACCTGCTCATACTAAATCTGTGAAGGGGTTATTGAGAATGTACAGACATGGGTGCCTTTCATGTTCTCCCAGCCCATGTGTGATAAGCATCAGTCTAAAAGGTTGGGCTATGTGAGCATGGATGTGCAAGTGAACAGCTCCTGCCCCAGGAACAGCTATCAATCAGCTCTGTGGAGGGAGCCATACCTGCATACAGATGGACCTATTCAGACGGATGCCAGGACATGGCCAGCATGTGTGTCAGTATTTAGATGGCGATAACAGCTTGTGCTATCTCAGTGTTCCTTCGTATGTTTGGCATTTATGGGTACTAAACATCTGATTAGGGCTGCTTACTACTTTCATGTGATAAAAGGGAGACAAAAAGGAATGTAGTGTATTGAAATAAAAGGATACCAACTTAAACAAATGGGGGAGGCGGATCCCTTTAAGCTAAATGGGCCTGAACTATCTCTAGTTTGTGTTCAGTAATGTATAGGTTTGAATTACTAGTGTCAGGAAATTGTTTCCAAAACAGGGAGTTCCAGCTACCCTGCAGGCTTGAATTGGAGAAAGGTGCTTTTCTGCTTGATCCCACAGATTCCATTTTGGTCTGTACCACAAGTGCACATTTTATTTATCAAACCTACTTGGAAAAGTGGGCTGCGGAAACGTAAGGAGGGAATCTTAACACTATTGGAGTTGAGTGACAATACAACAATAAGCTTCAGTCCAATCACAGTATTTCATACCTCACTTGATGAAAATATACGTGCAGTCCTTTAAGCAAGTAAACCTGAGAGTACTCTTTCTTTATCTTTCACTGATATTTCACTGCACATTTCACATAATATGCCATTCCCCCCCTTGCTTTTCAGCATTAATGCAATTCCTAGAACAAAATCAGAATTCTGGCCTACGTGACTGACTGTTAAGAATGGAGGCAAGGAAAAGCTAGCCAGAAATCTGCCTGCAACATAAAGCCAGTCAATAACTTGACAGTGCAAAACTAGTCACTTTAAATTTCTCACTACATAATAGTTAAAATATACACACTACAATGTACACTACCAGTACAGGCAGCCCTGTGTTAACTTTGTCAGCATTAAGGCATAATGTTAGGAATAAAAAAAAAAATCAAGCAAAGCTGCTTGAGCTAAGACACTGAAATTTTTCCCTTAAGGACTGGACAATGTTCTGCTGATTAGGAGATGGTACCCTCCATAGGTAATCATTCAATTTATCTGAATCACTACATGTGGCCAGGAAAGAGTCTGGTGCCTTAGCAGGAGCCAGGGGCATATTTTTGTTACTACAAGTTTCTGAAGCAGCGCAATGTACATTTATGTTTGGATCCGAGAGTTTTGTTTGGTTGTAGAAACTCTCTAAATCGGAGCCCTCATCTTCAGATTTTATTTCAACATAGTCGTCGTCATCCCCTTCTCCATCAGTGTCTTTGAAGTTAGAAAAATAGTTCTGAGTAGCAATTTGTGCATTTGAGAGCAAGTTTCTGTTAACTCTAAGAATTTTTTGAGAATCCTGCAGAATCATTTCAGAGCAATTCTCAAGGCCCTGCTTTGCTCCATCACATGCTGCAAGTCCTGGGGTGGCACCTGGCACAGATTCTTTATAGTGTTCAGAGAGAAAGTTCCTGTCTGAATGCAGCTGCTTCTTGTCCATTTCATGTGGATAATTTATTGAATCCCCAGACTTGCTGGCCACAATAGAGGAAGATGATTGTGACCTGCTATACATCTGTGACTTTGCATTGTTTTCCCGTCTTCCTAAAGAGTTAAAAACCTGACTGTGGTGCAAGTTCTCTTTGTTAGGCTGACTTATAATTGCGCTCCACCTTTGCGCAGGAATGTGCGGGCAAAGAGGAGTCTGAAGGGAAGGCACTGAGCAGGCTGCTGGCAACTGTCTCTGCTTTGCACCCATTTCCGAAGGGGAGCTTCTGGCCTTCAGGTGTGGGACTTCCGACCAGGGAGAGAAATCTGAGAGTTCCACATTACTGTATGTTGAGTGCAACCAGTCCTCTGCTCTGAAGCATTCCGCAGCTAACTGAGATGTTGACACTGGTGAGGAATACCTTACGTTTGATGGGTCTTGAGAACTGGCCTTTTGGGGTGAGGTTTCCCGAAAAACAATCTGATCGTAGAGCTGGGAATATTCAGCAATTCTGGCACCTAAAGAAAAGTGTGACAGAAGACACAATGGTCAAAACAAAGTTGCATCCATTATTATAAAAAAGCTGTAACATGGGAGTTAAATTTATAGCATAGTAAGGACGCATCTTTTTAATAAGTCTTGTTGATTCTAACAGGTCTTACTGACAAGCATGCATAGGATAGTAGCCTTAGCTATATTTCTCACTCTATTAGAGCCTTATTTGGATGTTATTACTACTATACATGGTGTTTTGAATCCCCGCGACGGGGTGAGCTCCAGTAGCTCGGTCCCCGCTCCTGCCCAACTAGCAGTTCGAAAGCACACAGTGCAAGTAGATAAGTAGGTACCACTCTAGCGGGAAGGTAAAGGGCATTTCCGTGCGCGGCTCTGGTTCGCCAGAAGCAGCTTAGTCATGCTGGCCACATGACCTGGAAGTTGTACGCCAGCTCCCTCAGCCAGTAAAGCGAGATGAGCGCCGCAACCCCAGAGTCGGTCACGACTGGACCTAATGGTCAGGGGTCCCCTTTACCTTTACCCTTTACTACTATACAATTAAGATCACAGAGGGAGAGTGGGGGGTTGCATATGCTGGCCACTGCCAGGCCCACACCTACACTGTCCACAATCTAGGGGTTTCTCTGTAAAGGGGGACATGCATGGGCTGCTAAGCTACCTGTGTGACCTTCTCCAAAGGCATTCAAAGTATTCAATGTAAGAATGGTTTAAAACAACAACATTGTCCGCATACCAATGGCTGGGCCTCCTTGTTTCTTCTCTTCCAAAATGGCCGCTAAGTCCTTGTGCCTTGATTTATGTTGCCGGCTCAGAAGTTGCTCTTGCTCTGGGCTTTTTACTTTCAAAAGCTGGTTTGCCTTCTTAATTTTTTGGCTGTACTGTCTTGCCATTGTGAAGACCCGGTTCTTTGTTTTATCCACAGCATCCAGTTCATTGTCAGTACTTTCTGCATTAGCACTGCACAGAATACTACTGGCAGTTTCATAAAGACTATCGACAAAAGCTCTCTCATTGGAGAGGGAAGATCTGTTGAGACTCATCAAGGAATTTGCTCTGCATGGTGTTTCCTTACATAGCGATGCTTCCTCCTCGAATCTGAGGTTGGCTTCACTCAACCTGGCAACTTTGTTAGGCAAAGCTTTTGGGAAAACAGGTGTTTCTGGCAGTGAGAGAGGGGGGAGTGAATATCCCACATCTTTAGTTAACTCACAAGTAGTTCTAGTAGGAGTGTTGTTGTCTATGTCATCTTTGCAAACAGGAAAAGCTGCAAGGACATGGTCTCTCGTCTTTTCCTCATTCTTCTTGATGTAATTCTCCAGGTCATTCCATATTTCATCCACTTCCTCAGATAATTTGTCTGCAGCAGATTTGTGAGAGTGTGAATCAGAGTTTGATGAGCTATCCACTAAGCTCAAATAATCATGATCTAATGGAACACAATGATAGGGATTTTCATCTTCACTGAAATGGAGGCTTTCTTCAGAAACAAACTGCCGCAGGTGGTCACAGCATGCAAAATCTGTTTCCAGACCCAGAAAACTCCTCTTTTTGGAACACTTAAGGCGATCACATTTGAAATTGGTCAGTGATTGCTCTGGGAGGACTATGGTATCATAGATATTTTCCTCACTGATCCTTAGATCATGAGAGCTTACAGGTGGAGTTCCTCTCCTGGGAGTAGTTTCATTTCTGCTGGTAGAAATAGAGGTCCTGCTTTGAGGCGCCTGTCTTTTATTGAAAGCAATGTCTTGGTCTTGAGCCTCATAGAGCGAGTCTCTAGCTGACCCTTGTGGAGCACGGTCAGACGCTTCCCTACGAGTGAGACCCATTAGTTTCAAATCTTCAAAACTTATATTGTCATAGACATGATCTATGTCATCAATAGTCAGTTCTTCTGAAGATTCTAGGTACACCTGCAGATTGTCCATGTCACTCCTGGAACTTTTTATTTCATTCCGAGTAGCATTCTGACCAAGGTCATTTTTTCTGTATCTTGAACCAGATGGAGAAGTTTTACTTTCCCCAGCACTGCTGGCCCGCCTCACAATTCTGTGAGAGTTAGAGTTAGAAATGTCCCTTTGATGAGCTAGCCCTACGTGCCAGCTGCAAGGGCGGCCTGAAGGCTCTCTCTCTTCACAGCCAATGGAAACCAAGTTGGATGTAGATTCTGACGGTACAAACATCTGATAATCATCTTCGTCCTCTGTGTTCTCTTGCGGGGGGCGTCTGCTTGGGAACAGGGCTTGCCGAATCTGGTGGTCTGTCCAGATGTTTCTCACTGCATCTGTTCTGCCCAAAATATTCGCCATAAATGAGCTGTTTTGTGGTGCAAACTGCCGAGATGTATGACCACCCCCACTGCAGGAAAATGAAAGCTTTGCGTTGACCTGGGAAGGTGCTTCATTTGTAGGCTCCTTTGCATTCTATGAAGTTTTGAAACAGAGCACACTATTAGTCTATGATCTAACTAACATGCAGAATCATAATCACATATAAGAGGAGGGCAACCTTTACTGAAGTTGAGAGTCTCATTTCCTTGAGGGAAACTGGCTAGGTGCTACATACTGGTGCTGGACAGAACCAAGACAAAAAGTAGGTGTGGACACCTCTTTTCCTTCTCTTTCTGCCTTTAATTCTCCCCCGTTCATCATCCATTCATCTCTCACACAAACGCCATGCACAAACACATACTCCATTCATCAACCATCCATTCTGCCTCTCATGTACCCTAGCCATTCACAAGCATTTGTCTGCAGGCCCCTCCAGATGGTTCAGAACACCCTGGAGCCTCTGGGTTCTGTAGGCTACAATCTTGAACAGATACACAAATGAGTAAGTCCCTTTGAACACAGTCAGTGGGATTTACTCGCAAGAAACCAGGGATAGGGGGGCACTGCATTATTTTCCTGGCTTTTTAAAAGCAAAATTTGAATGCTCCTTTCCTTAAAACCTCCTTTGAAATGCCTGCAAAAGAAGACATTTTATTTCACACCACTGAATACATTAAGTTGACAAATCATAAAACCACTTTTCCATAAAGACTGTACCTGAATTTCACATTTACTGAGATTAACACTTCTTCGTTTCTCAAAATTTTCAGCAACTTGACTGTTTAACCTTTTGCGGCCTCCCTTTGGTTTCTGCTGGGAATTTTGTTGTGTGGTCTGCAGAAAACAGAAGGGTTACAGTATGATGCATAGTCCTTTACACAGAAAGGCCTTCAGCCAGAGCCAAGTCTCAGAAATGTCAAATGTTTGACAAGATACTGCATTATTACAGTGGAAAGGACTCTCTGGTGGGGCCTCCTAAGCTGACAGAGGTCAGCAAAAGGCAATGCGCTAACACAAAATGTTTTTGACAAAGGACATATATTTTGCTTGTTGCAGGGTAGATGGTGGGCTCCAGGAAGAGTATTCTGGAAGAGTATTCTGCTTTCTGATTGATATGGTAGCTGTGATGCCATCATCCTGAAAGCATGAGGCTTCTACATTTCACGAAGTTTTGGGTGGTGGTATTTTCCTCTCAAATAAATGTACAACGGCTAGGAACATATGCAAGTCTTGTTACAAGCTCAGAAAGCCTGCCTAAGCACAGACAGGGAAAAGAGGAATGGCCCTTGGCCTCTAGAAATTTCCACAAAAAATGTAACAGATTATTACTATTTTTCAAAATAATATTATTATTTTAAAATAATAATCATGTAAAAATATTTTGTACAAATATACACAAGTGGTGTGTATCGTGTATAAATATACACATGCAATATTTTTTTTCAGTATGAGGAAGGCACTGCAAGGGAAGATGATGTCCCCTTTTCTCTCCCAGCATGAAAATTTCTCTCTCTCTCTCTCTCTGTGTATGCATTTTTAAATGTGTTTATCTAAACACATGATTTTAAAATGCAATTAAAATAACAACAACCACAACAACAGAAAACTGCATCACAAAATTTGGGGAAATGAAAATCCAAATAATCATTACATTCCGATTCACACACTTCCAATCTGGGAAGTGTGGATCAGGTAGGTTCGCATTGGAATTAACAGAAATAAATCCTTCAAGCACCAGTAATTCTCATCCTTTATGTACCCATATCTGACACACACCTACTATTCATCTTTCCATTTCACAAAGCAAGTTGGCTACCTGTTCAGTCTCTTCCTCATCGTCAGCATCAGTCTGATCCATAACACCAGTGAGGGCGTTATCCTCTTGGTCGCTACTATAGGCCACTTCATTGGAGTCCAGTCCTTTGTAATTCAGTGAAAACTTTTTCCTAGGACTGAGGAGGGCTTCAGCCTGAGATAGCAGGGTTCCTTCAATACTGATCCGCTTGGAAGGAAAATATATATTTCTATGAAGCACCAGGTCCCATCCTTCTCATTTTAAAGCAGCTATTCTGATGTGGGTGTGTAGCACATTCATAGATATATACACATATGCATCTACATAAACATATATAAATGTGCATATACACACAAGCCACACATCATGTATTTGGTCTCTTTTTAAATCATCTCTCCCATAGCTTTTATTTCTCAGTAGTAGACACACACATCCTTCTGTATGTGGCTTAATATCAGAACACGGAGCAGTAAAGGGGAAGTGAAATGACCACAAGTTTAGTGCAGAAGTGGGGATATTGCTGCCTTCCAGACGTTGTTGGGCTCCTGTTCCCATCAGCCATAGCCAACAGTCAAGAATGCTGGGAGTTTTAGTCCAGCAACATCTGGAGAACCATAGGTGGCCAATTTCTGGCTTAGAGGAAATCAAGAGAGTATGTGGTAGGCAGCGCTACTTAAGTCTCTTTGGTCTCTTTCCCCACCCCTTGCTATGTTCCAAAACTGCCCTACCACGACACCCAGTGGGCAACAGAGCTGGGATATCATTGAGGGGGGCAAAACGGGAGACAGACATGTTTGACGCATGGCACATAACTGATCAAGCGATAGCATAGCTCTATTCATTTCAGTGGCAACTGCACAGGAGATCTTCCAGGTGGATTGTTTGCATGTTGTGGTTTGGAAAGGTGGGGGAATATTCAGATTTCCTGCCTCAGGTATAAAATGCTGTATGCCAACCCCGAGCTTATTGTTTGCAGTTGTGCACAACTGGAGGTAAAGAAGGGTAAGACCATGACAGCCACTAGGTGGCAGGCATGGATAACAATCGTAAGTGGAAAAAGGAAAACAAACTGTTCTGAAGTTATAAGAAGTATTCAGTACTTCAAATCTAACTTTTTCAAAAATCACTTTCAAGCTACTGGGGGTGAGGAGAATGATATGCCTTACCTTTTTCATGTCTGGATCCATGTCTAAAATTATTAGTGGGAAACAAAAAAACAAAACAATCCTAAGTATCACTTAGTAAAAAAATTATGTTCTGTGTTTGTGGAAAACAGGTTTAAGTCTAAAACACCTGTTGACTTTAAAATGGAAATTATAAACCAAAGTACTGTGTTTAACATGGGCCCCATCAATAGATAAGGCAAGCATGCTTGAACATTTTTGTAATAAATTTATCCCATGTGAAAAACTCCCCCTGCATTCAAAACTGAAAGGCTTGCCTGCTGGTTTTTGAAGGTTGCTATTTTTGTGTGTCAGATATTTAACAAATCTGACATTTCTCCCCTGACAAGAGATTGAACACAACTCCTCCCCAGGACAACAGGGTTTTGTTTTTTTATTTACATAGACTTAATCAAACACTTAAAGGTGCCACATGATTTGTAATACTTAATGCATAATATCACATACAGGACACATTGTAACTCACCACTTGGCTTTATGATTTTATGGGCTCTGGATGAAGGCTCTGCGGGAAAAACACATGTGCTTTTGTTTAAAGTGTTTATGCTGTCTCCTGATTTAAACGATATTGTAAAAAAGTATCCTAAATAAACCCAACTACAACCAACAGCAGCCAAAAGAGAAACAGTAACACCCCAGAAAAACTTAGTGGACTGTCCTGGACTTTGGTTTTACACCAAATTATATGTGTTAGTCAGTGCCAGGCAAAGAAGTTCTCAAAACAGGGTTTACACCAGGGATGGAGAACATGTGGCCTCCAGATGTTGTTGGACTTCAACTCCCATCAGCTCCAGCCAGCATGGCCAATGCTCAGGAATGATGGGTGCTGTAGTTTGCTAACATCTGGAGGACCACAGTTTCCCTACCTCTTCCATAGGGCTTGGTGCTGCTATTGAAAAGGCACAGCACAACTCACCACTTTTCTGATGGTGGGAGACCAGGAAGTACAAGGACCTTTTCGGATGACTTGACTGTAAAAGAATGCTCATATAGATCCAAACAATGGATCCAAACTACAAGAAAGTTATAGCAATGGATCCAAACTACAAGAAAGAAGATTCCACCTAAACATTAGGAAGAACTTCCTGACAGTAAGAGCTGTTCGACAGTGGAATTTGGTGCCAAGGAGTGTGGTGGAATCTCCTTCTTTGGAGGTCTTTAAGCAGAGGCTTGACAACCATATGTCAGGAGTGCTCTGATGGTGTTTCCTGCTTGGCAGGGGGTTGGACTCGATGGCCCTTGTGGTCTCTTCCAACTCTATGATTCTATGATTCTAGGAAACCACAACAAAATATTTTATTACCTGACTTCCTTCTCACCCTCTGTGGGGCGATTCCTTCTTTAGAATTACTCGATGCTTTCATTTCTCCTTCTGGGCTATAATGGAATCCTGGGTGATCTATAAAGAAATTAGAGAAACAATATGTAAGTATGACTTCATATATCAGGTGAGATTTTGGAGAAGACTTTATGATTACAGCATTACATTTCTCAAGGCTTCGTCATAAACAAAACTTAGAATAGGACAATGCAGGGAGAAGCGGGCTTGGTTTTACAGGCTGGAGCAGGCATAGGCAAACTTGGCCCTCCAGATGTTTTGGGACTACAACTCTCATCACCCCTAGCTAACAGGACCAGTGGTCAGGGATGATGGGAATTGTAGTCCAAAAACATCTGGAGGGCCGAGTTTGCCTATGCCTGGGCTGGAGCCACCTATGAACAATTTGAGAATGCCCCCTGATTGTTCCCAAGGATACTTTTCAGTTTTATTTAATATTAGTGAATGGCTTTGAAAGGGATGCTTGGGAAATGTCTTGGGTAGCAACATACAAGCTATGTAAATGTCTTTCACTCCACACACAATTTTGGAGAAGACATTCTGCATGCATAATAGGAGTCCCTTGGAAGGGTGATATTAAAAATGAATTGAAAAGACAGCATAGTTCATCATTAATTATTTAATGTGCTCTTATTAAGAATCTCAAAACACAAGGTGATGGACGAGCTGGCAAAACTTTCGTAAGCAGAAAATTTTGATCTTGCTTGTGGTTGCCAATCTTTTATAGAAGGGAAATAGAGTTACACTGAACAACACTGTTGCCAAAACCAGTTGTTGTTTAGTCATCTTAGTCGTGATCGACTCTCCGTCACCTCATGAACCAGAGCATGCCTTGGAAACTCTCACTTCCTTCTCAAAGCTTCTCCTTTTTTATGTCCATGGGGTTCTCTTGGCAAAATACTGGAGTGGTTTCCCAGTTCCTTCTCGAGGTGGATCACATTTAGTCTAAACTCTTGGCTATGACCTGTCTGTCTTGGGTGGCCCTGCACGGCATAGCTCATAGCTTCCCGGAGTTATTCAAGCCCCTTCGTCACGACAAGGCAGTGATCCATGAAGGGGCCAAAACCAGTACACAACCCTAAAACTGGGGTGGCTTAGCTCTATGATGGAGGGAAAAACTGCCTCACCTTGTAGAATTCTCCCCAACAAGGAGTATAAAAGCTCTTCATAAATACACACGGATGTAGAACATTGCCTATCATATAATTTTGCTAGTTCTTAATAAAGTTCAAAAATTAATAGGCTATATATTATATAATCTTACTGAAATTCCTTACGAAGTCAGGTGACAACTTCAAAGGGTGAAGTGACTGACACTGATAGCGTGCTTTCAAAGGTACTTGCTATAACCACCAATCAGCCCATAGGGAACTGCCTAGCAGAGTCAATCCCACTGGGGCTCACCGGCAGCACCAATCATCCAAACACTATTGCTGTTCTGCAGCCGTGTCTGAAAACATTTAATTAACTGCTACTAGCAAAGATTCTCTGTTACGGGTCCTGTAAACAGTGGTGGTAGCAGCAACTTTCCCTGAGTGTGTGTCATGTACATTCTCAGTAATCCTTATAAGAATTCTGTAAAATAGGCCAGCAATATTATTCTCATGTTAGAGATTTGAGTTTAGACACTGTGACACATGGAAGTTTGAGTTTGTGGCTAGTGTATCTAGCTTACTGAAACAAATTGTACAAGAGGGAAAGTATCTAAAAGTCTCACCCACGTTCTTTTTCAAAAGCTCTGAGCTGGAACCAGAAAACATTGTGGCAGCTAAGATTAATGCATCTAGTTGTCTATTACATATTTTTCCAAGTTTTTTAATTTAAAAAAAATTAAAATGCAAATGAATAGTTATATGCAAATATACTTACAGATAGCGTCCATTTCAAGAATTGCTTGCTTGGCCTGAAAAAATAAAAACAAATATTTTGCATAAACCATATGGACTTGCTTAACACCTCAGGTCAGCAATAGTCCTTCCCTCAGACACTGGGTGCACCACCACACCAAACCTTCTAAAATCTGAAAGGCAACATTGGTTTCAAAACTGTCCTGATTCAAGTGAACTTGGTGGAATGCAATTCATGTGCTGTTATCATAATGTGGCTACCCAGATGCATCTATCACAGAAGACTAAAATACACATATTTTATTTTTAACATATCCACACTCTTAAAAAGGCACCAAGCAAAAAAGTTCCTTTTTTAACCAGGCCTTTGGTTGATTTGATAGACATCCTATGCCTTTTTTTTAAATTAATAATAAAAATGTGTGTGGGGGGTGTTATTAGGTTGTTGTTTCTATTTTGATTATATATTTTGTGTTTTTATATTTTGATTTTGTTCTGTGAACTGCCCTGAGACCTCCGTTTATAGGGCGGTATATAAATTCAATCAATCAATCAATAGAAATACAAACAAACAAATAAGACAGTTGTTAATATTTTACCTTAGCTGGGATTTTGGCAGGGTGGTTTTCAAGAATTAATCTCTTCAAGTGAAGAATCCAAAGGCGTTTATCTTGCTGTGATTTGGCCTGTTACAGGTTGCAAGAATGCAGTAAGTTATAGCTAGAGATGAAGGAGTGAAGGTAGGTAACACCAGACAATAAATTTAGCAGAGTCAAGGGTTGAGCGTGAAGAAGGCTCTGACTTCCAGTGGATGGGATAGGGGAGAGATGGGGAATCTGTTGCCATCCCCATCATCTCTAGCCATGCTGCCTGAAGGGGGCCGAGAGTTCAGCAACATCTGAGAGAGTCACAGGGTCTCCCATACAGGGGTCTATACAGCTTTCCACAAGAAAGGTCAGAAATGTCTTGGCTCCACTACATCCTTCTATGATCATCAGAATAAAATGCTTTTAGTATATTTCTGAATATTATTCTATGTCTGGTAGCTGACAATTTATAAAAAACATATTTATTTATTTATTTATTTATTTAACACAATTGGCAACTAACATGAAAATGGTGAGACAGCAAAGCTGAACACCACAGGCTGTAATAGTGCCTTGTGTGTCTGCATGCCCTAGTTCCTTGTCTTTCCCCCTCTATGAGGTTATCATGTTGCTCCTGTGCAGATTAGTGGCTTGGGCAGGATATGAATTACTTCTTAACATGCTGTGTGGTGCAGGGCAGGCTGGGTTGCTTGTTCCTGAAGAGATCTGCTAGAATGGGAAGCAGGCACTGTTTCTATATATATCTGTATCTATTCACCCACAAAACTCATCCCATTAGTCATTTTATTTTCCAAGTCACAGTAATGTTCATTGACCTCACTATACTTTTCTAAAATTGACCTGTGGTTTCCTCCTCCAAGAATTAACCAAGATCAGAATTGAGGCATACTGTTCAAAATTCAGTGAAATAAAGGGTTTCAAAAATATTATTATCAGTTTCAGGCACACATGCATTTTCAAAATCCCTACTTGTCTAATTCTCAAAGTGCAAAGATGAAACAGAAGCTGAGGGCCAAACTAGATGTGCACTTAAATAGGTAGAATGCAGTTACATCTTTTGTTTTTTCCTTCATTAATTACAGGGGCTAGGGAGCCCAGCTGGATGGAAGATCATAGAGATCCTAATGAAAACCATTCCTCTCTCCCAACCTTAGGAAAAATTCCGCATTGGTGCAACATTTTAAAGTGCATGTCCAGTTTGCCCCTTAGGGTATTAAAAGCAGTTCCTGTTCCCACTGCATGATTGCATTAATTTGGGATTGTACTGCTCTCTAAAAGGAAGGGGGCAATTGGATAGAATGAGATCATAGGAAATACGGCCTGGTTTTCCTGCACAAACCTGGAAGTGGAATACTATCTACGTGGTACAATACACAGGATACATATCAGGAAAATTATATCCTTAATAACATGTTTCAGAATGCATTCAGTATGTTATGGCTTTTAAATACCTGAACCGTATGTTGCATCTTGGGATTTTTGTAATGGAAGACACTAAAGCTCAGAGGCTCCTTTGGTATGACTTCCACTAGCATGAGATTGCCACACTGCAACAGAGAGAAAGGCTTGTCAGAGGAAGATCTTGTGCACAGAATGGGTATTTATATTTTGGACATTTTGAAATAGACCATTTCCTCTCCTTTGCAGCCCTTGGGGTGCTTGTTCCCTTAGCCTCCTCCTGCAAGTACAAACAGACCTACCAAGATATGAGCTTTGTAGGTGAAAGTCTCTTCCCTCTTCTTCGTAATGAGCAGCAGCTTGTCAAAGAGGAACAGAGTGCGCTCATTTTTGGCTCTCTGGATGCGGAATGTTCCTTCCAAAACCAACTCGCCGTAACTAGCAAGGTCCGGTCCCTTCCAGTTAGTGAGTAAGCTTTGTATCTCCTGAAAAAAGGGAGGAGGGTGGGATAATGAAGCAAGCACATTAAAAACACAACGTTGGGAAATATCACATGGCAAGTGCTGTGTAATGAAGCCACTATCATGTTCCTCTCCTCTAGTCAACAGTGTGAAAAAGCATTGCTTCTACCTCAGGGATGACTAACCAAGGGCCACATTCTCTGTTGACCTACCTTCCAAGGGCCACACCCTAGCAGTGGGCATGGCCAAAGTGGGCATAACCATTTCACATTTGCTCTCCCTCATACACGCATACGCACCACCACACATACAGGAAGAGCTCAGGGCAGCAGAAATGGCAGCAGGACCACCACAGGAATTGTGATGCAAAACTGGTCCTTAGACCAGGAGGCAGGCCTCCATGTGGTTTCAGAACCCTAATGCAGCTTATGACCATTTGCATGGATGTGTGTGGATCAGGTCCCCAGGCAGAGAGTTTCCCTCTCCTGTTCTACATGAACAGAAATACTACAGCTGTCTCACGGTACGTTGCGGCGTACAGGCATTTGTCATATGATAGGCAAACAGAAATCTATTTCTAAATGTCAGAGTTGGCAGATGTGTATTTTATGACACACAGTCAATTTGCACTGCACTGTTGTCTGATTATCTTACATGGTCCCCTAGAGATGATGTAGGCACAAGGAGAGAGTTCTTAGCAAGCCATAAGGTTGGACATTAAGAGGGATAGATGGGCCATTATATGGAAAAGAATAGGAAGAAGGGGAGGGTGTTTTATAATGGTGCAAGATGTGAGAAACAACTTATGTGATCAAAGGGTCTTTGAAGTACACAAGAATTGGAAAGTACTAGCTACTTTTCCAGGCAGCCTGCAATTGTATACTTCCTGTTAACCTACTGTAAGTTTGCATATGGTTGCTCTTTGAATTCACATTAGTCCTTGCAGTATCTTTAGTTACATTATCAATGCACGCTGTATGCCTGAAACTCACAAAGCTTAACCACAGCAACTTAAATTATATTCATTAGAGTCTCAGATATCATAGAAGCTCACCCAAATTAAGAGTTGCATTGCTTATGTGAATGGATTCACCCATAGGATTTCTTCAAATAAGCAGAAGTCCAATATGATGTCTGAACCAATCCACAACTTGGAAATATGCATTTGTGAGATGTTTTGGGCAGTCATAAGCCATGTGAACAAGTTTTTAAGACTACAAATGAATCACTGACCGCAAAGAAACTGGGTGGGTGTACAAACGAAACTTCATCTTCTGACAGAGAAGGAAGATTTACCGTATTTTTTGCCCTATAGGACGCACTTTTTCCCCTCCAAAAATGAAGGGGAAATGTGTGTGCGTCCTATGGGGCGAATGCAGGCTTTCGCTGAAGCCTGGAGAGCGAGAGGCGTCGATGCGCACCGACACCTCTCGCTCTCCAGGCTCCACGAAGCTACCCGCAAGCCTTGCACACCCGGGGGGAGTTCCCCCGGGCATGCAAGGCTTGCAGGCGGCAGCCTGCAGCGCGGAGCACGGGGCGCCCTCCGGAGGACGCCCTGTGCTTCGTGCAGGTGTCTGCAAGCCTTGCGCACCGGGGAACTCCCCGGGCGCGCAAGGCTTGCGGGCGGCAGCCTGCAGCCCGGAGCACGGGGCGCCCTTTGGAGGACGCCCTGTGCTTCGCGCAGGTGTCCGCAGCCTGCTGCCCGGCACGTGGGGTGCCCTGAAGCAGAGCGCTCCTCGCGCCGGGCAGACATCGGCCAGCCCCACAAGCTCGGGGGACAGCGGGGAGGCGCAGCGCCGCCATCCCACTGTACCCCGACCTGGTTTTTTTGGGGGGGAAATAAAGGAAATTTTTTTTCCTTTATTTCCACCCCCAAAAAGTAGGTGCGTCCTATGGGACGGAGCGTCCTATGGGATGAAAAATACGGTACATTTGGGTTCTGATCTCTCCAAAGAAAGCTTGTAAGCACAATTGTGTCTTTTGTACATTCCACAGACACAGATTTCAGAAGAACCTCTCAAGCACACTTTGAAGGGACTTTCACATGTGACAGATAACACATCTCCCAGTATTAATTGGGAGTTCCCATGGTTGAGTGTGATGCTTTAAAATATAGGAAGATCAAATTCAACATATGTTAAAAGATGTTGTTATTGTTAGCATGCACAGGAAAGCAAAACCATAGCCATTTAGAATGCTGGTGCCCAATCTATATAAACCAAAAACCAAATAGAAAGATAAAAACTACTAACATGGAAAACTTGTCAACCCACCTGCAGCCTGACAGCATGTTCATGTTTCCTCTTCATGTCGTTAATATGCCACGCCACTCTCTGCATCGTATCTATGGCTTCTAAAACCACATCATAACCTTCAGTGTCCTTGTCAAGGTGGTTTTCTATCTCCTAGTAAATAAGCCAATGAAGAGGGAACTATTTACAACTCATAGAGGTCTGCAAAAATGTTTTGATGGTAAACTATGGTTAATAATCTGACACTTAGCCCCTCCCAACTGCAGCTCACTTCTTTTGTCTCTACAGCAGAGTTCCCTGGTCTATAAAATATGCAGCACAGAACCCCTTACCCTGCATGTGAGAGATTTTTCTTCAGCCCCATTTTCCCACTGATAGCCACCTCCATTGTATATGTCTCTTTTCCCTTTTTCCAAACCCCTCTTGATTCCAGGATCCTGATAATGTAAAGGCACTGTGTTATACTGGGATGGAGAAAGAAAAGTTGGACGAGACTGGCATATCCTCTGCTAACAGCAAGCACACACAATTTGTGACTGATCAAGCCCACCAGATACATATTGTGGCATGCCAGGTGTGTGACATTCTGGCCATTTTTGAAGTCTCAAGCAAGCTGCAAAAAATAGGTGACTTGCTGAGCCTTTGATGGGCTGCCCTAAATGGCTAGTGGATTGTGTTTGATTTCATGAGCCATAAGTAATATAGGCATCCTTACAGCAACTGCATTACTCTGCTGCGTTATAGTAGCAGCTATCAAAGCAGAATTTATTAGCATCCAATAAGAGAAATGAGTCAGTCATTCAGTATGCTTTCTTGCCTCTACTTTTGGCTATAGAACCTCAGTTTGATAATTATATCCAAGCATTAGACTTAGGCAGACACTACAAATTAAAATTTCTGGACTCTGAAATGTAGTTACCGGTATAATCTCCTAATTGAAAGCACATGATAACCATTAAAAAGAAACCAGATTTCTGAAAATATTGTTAAAACCATGGGAAAGAAAGGAAGAGATATGTACTTTCTCTACCACCATGCATGCATGAAAAAGGGGGGGGAACCTTTTTGTTGGGCTTAGATGACTTCATACAGGCCCACCCTCCTCACCAGCTGCCCTTGTCTGGAATTGAAACTTCACTTTTAAACACACCAGCTAGTGCAAGAGCCCCAATGAGCACAGTATGTAAAGATGTACAGCAGAAGAAGAAGAAGAAGAAGAAGAAGAAGAAGAAGAAGAAGAAGAAGAAGAAGAAGAATAGTAGTAGTAGTAGTAGTAGTAGTAGTTTGGATTTGATATCCCGCCTTTCACTCCCTTTAAGGAGTCTCAAAGCGGCTAACATTCTCCTTTCCCTTCCTCCCCCACAACAAACACTCTGTGAGGTGAGTGGGGCTGAGAGATTTCAGAGAAGTGTGACTGGCCCAAGGTCACCCAGCAGCTGCATGTGGAGGAGCGGAGACGCGAACCCGGTTCCCCAGATTACGAGACTACCGCTCTTAACCACTACACCACACTGGCTCTCTTCAGGACTGCACTGCACTCTTTTTATGAAAATATGTATAGGTCTGTACTGCATGTTTTCTGAAGAAGCTGCAGCATCAGAAAAGAAGCTGTTTGATGAGCACAGGAGGGGAGAAAGATGGAGAAAGGGGCAGGAAGGGTTGGAAATTCAACATCTGCAGAAGCCTAGCATGTCAGGGTGAAGGCTAGGTTACAGTACTTCTTTCTGGCATATGAGCTTTCATCAGAAAGTTTGTGCTTGCTTGTTTTTTGACTGCAGCACAAAAGCCTAGCTACACATTATAGTATTTGCACTCTTCAGCAGGCCTCCTTCAAACTAGGCACTTTACTTTTGAATAAAGAGCAGCTGCTGGCCCAATGTGAAACACACTGCTGATCTGGACTGCCACCCCATGCCAGGTTCCTGTTGACTATATGAAGAGGAGGCACTTAAAATGACAACATACGTGCAAAAGAAGGTGATACTTCAGTATCCGCTGAACAGGTTTTAAGAGGTAAGATCCTAAAGGTAGAGAATGTTGTAAAGCTTCTTGTCTCTCTCTGAAAAACTTGGCCAGGGACTTGTTCCTCATGCATTCGGTAAGTACAGCCACTGACCTGTAAAACAAATCAATAAAGCTCTCAGAATTATTATTATTATTATTATTTTAATCCTATATTATACAGAATTCCACAGCTTTGGATGCATGATAGGTCCTACAAGTGACTGCCTGCTTAGGATCAACTTCAAGCATTATGCATTTCTTGTGCAAGATAAACAGGAGTGTTCTGTGAAGTTTACAAACTTGCGATTGCCGTGCATGCATGCCACACAAGTAACAAGTCTTAGCATCCTACTTTCAAAATAACTGATTACCATGCAACATAATTAAAATAAGCATAAAATTACTTGCTTGCATTTTCTAATGGGCAAGGAAGCATTCATCCTCTTTGCCTTACTAATATAATCCACAAACAGTAAAGCATACCGTTTGGATTAAATGTTAGTCTGAAGCATTATGGTCACATTCTCTATTCACCACCTTTCAAATGATAAAAGGGAAAGAGCACACACAAAAATAAGGTACTCCTACCTTGGATAATTGGTGCAATACTGTGTATATATGTGGAACTCTTCACTCTGAATATAAGGAAAAGGGGGGAAGCTGATTTAGTATATTGATTTTATTACAGCTCCCTAGAAATTCTGAAACCAACACTTATTTGAAAGCAGTAAAAAAATCCCAACATATTACAAAAAAAATATTTAAAAAATTACTCTTCCGTATTGATAGGCATGTAATTCATTAGCTTTATTCCAGTCTGCATGTGAATTGGATTGGAAACTGATTTTTAAGTAAGTTTTTATTGTTGATGCTTTTATTATTTTTTTAATGATAAGCATTTAAAAAGAAGCAACAAAGCTGACTTGTGCCAAGTTTCCCTGCAGCCATTTCTTATTTGCTACAGGCAAGTATTGGTACTATACAGAAGCTTATTTGAAAGTGTACATACAATGCCACCATTTGGGGTTTCCCCCCTGTATAATCTTCAGAATAGGGAACAGGATTTCCCATTCTGCACCTAATGCACTTTTCACATAGTTCCAAACACAAGGAGCAGCTCCTGAAGACTCGAGAACAAAACAAAAAGAACAAAAAGAACAAAACAAAAACAGACTAATTCTGTAATTTCAGCAGTTCGTAAGGTCTATTTAATGCAAACCATTTTGCTCTGCACCAACATGGGATGCGGATGGTGCGGTGGTCTAAACCACTGAGCCTCTTGGGCTGAGCCTCTTGGGCTTGCCAATCAGAAGGTCGGCGGTTTGAATCCCCATGACCGGTTGAGCTCCCGTTGCTCGGTCCCTGCTTCTGCCAACCTAGCAGTTCGAAAGCACATCAAACTGCAAGTAGATAAATAGGTACTGCTCCAGCGGGAAGGTAAATGGCATCTCCATGCGCTGCTCTGATTTTGCCAGAAGTGGCTTAGTCATGTTGGCCACATGACCCAGAAAAACTGTCTGCGGACAAACGCCGGCTCCCTCGGGCTGTAAAGCGATATGAGCGCCGCAACCCCAGAGTCATCTGCGACTGGACTTAACTGTCAGGGGTTCTTTACCTTTACCTTTAACTTCAACATACATTCACATGCAAGTTGTAACATGCAAATAAGATGACTGCAGTTACAGCTAGCCCATTGTCATCATCAGAGCTAAGGGAAAGGGCTGTCATAAATGCAATTTGCTTTACTCAGGAGCCTCCAGTTCACACCTTGTTTTGTTTAGGGCAGCAGATGCTTGAAGATGGTCACCTGTTGCTCAGTCTTGTCTTGATTGGGGGATGGTGATAAGGATTTCTGTAGTGTTTCACAGTTTGTGATAAGGTACATGATAAGTGTGTGGTAAAACATAAGCTATCTGCCTTTTTTCCTTTTAGGATTAGTAAAAACTCCTTATCCTGCTTAAAATGCAATCCAGTGACAATCCACCCAATAATTATGGCAGATTACAGCTGAGCCTCTGCTGATATTTTATCTTTTATTTAAGATGGGAAGACTTACAGCTATCTTCACTGGCATGAGACACAATAAGCTTGCATCACAGCCTATGTCATGCACACGCTTTTAAAAACAACTCCAGCTATAGCGGAAACCTTCACCTACAAATAAGTAGTAATCAAGTGAAACCACAATCTGCAACAGAGACGTTACAGTCTGTAATTCACTGGTGGAATCCAGTCACATTCTAGTTATCACATGTAATGGGGCAGGGGCTACCAATGGCTTCTCAAATGCAGAATTCAATATTAAAATTATACCCAAACTGTAAATAAGAATTTAAAAAGAAAGTATGAAAAAGCAGAAAATAGCAGTCTAGCTTACAATAACTGTGCTTAGATTTCATAGTTATTAAATCATAATGTTATGAGTTGGGGGGAGGATAGGCTGTATGTTGAGACCCTTCTAAGTTCCATCAAACCTGCACTTCTAGTTTGCATTACTATACAGATAATGTATTCCTGAACCTGTAGCAAGATCCTTTGATGTTCAACAAGAGCTCAGCAACATGGCCAGCAGAGAGCCATAAATACTGTAGACCATGAAAGTGTTAACATCATGCAGTACTTAAAACATAGAAATCTGTGTATATTTTATTTTTAGGCATATATATTTCCAGATGATTCTACTGTGTGAAGTTTAACATGACAAATAAAATCTCTCTTGTAAAAAAAAATAAAAAAGAGGGGGTGAACGGGAGAGTGGAAGATGTGAAACAGATGCAGTTAGCTCACAACTGCCTTAAACTTTCCCCTTCTGATTACCAGCTGAAAGGACAAAACTGTCCTCTTATTTCTGAATCTAAAAGACATAAAGCCCATGGACCAGAGTCAAAAGTTTGGACATCTGCCTCTCTTAAAGCACAGTACTGTTAGTTCAAATGCCTCAGTCAACCACAGCTGATAAGAAGAATGAAAAAGGATGTTCCAATCACAAAGCCAAGAAAACTAACCATATCCACACTTGAAGAAAATAAGTACAATTCTTCTGAAATGCAATAATGTATTTGTCACTTGAAACCTGAAGCAAAATCCAGACTGAACTGGAAACATTTATGCTGCAGAGCTTCAAGTTTCAAAACTAAATGGCATTTGTCAGTATATTTGCAACACAGTAAGGAGAGCCCTGGCCAAGTCCCACCACCACCCAAGAAAGTAAACTTGGTATAATTCAAGACATAAAGTCTTGAATTATACCAAGACTGAATGCATGGGGAAAAGCAGACAGAGAGGAGAACTTCCAAGTTTCCTAGACTGTCCTTTCTAACCTAACCCGTGCTGACCTTCCTCAGGTGCCAGACTGAAACTCTTAGAGTTGCTGACCTCATTTCCTACTTTCTACTCCTACATCCTCACCAGCTGCATTTGTAAACTATGGCATGGCTGAATCAGGTGGAGGAGGCAAGAAGAAAAGAAGTGTTAACTATGTGTTTCACAGCTGATGTTGCAACATGGCAGCGTAAAGCAGGACCCCGTAAGGACATTAAGTACAGGGTCTAAAATTACGTAGCTGCACCTTGGTCCTGATCAGACCTTGACCTGTTCAGCTTCAGCTAAGGATCACCCTATGTACCTACGGAGCATGTTCAGGAACCATAGAACTCATTTCACCCTAGATGGAATGGAATGCTATTACCATAATAAATATATATATATATATAAAAGTTAAAGTACCCTAGACAAAGGTGACCATGGGGTTGCGGTACTCATCTCACTTTCAGGCCAAGGGAGCTAGCGTTTGTCCACAGGCAGCTTTCTGGATCATGTGGCCAGCATGACTAAACCGCTTCTGGCACAACGGAATACCATGACGGAAACCAGAGTGCACAGAAACACCATTTACCTTCCCACCACAACAGTACCTAATTATCTACTTGCAGCGGTGTGCTTTCGAACTGCTAGGTTGGCAGGAGCTGGGAAAGAGTAATGGAAGCTCACTCCATCACAGGGATTCGAACTACTGACCTTCTGATTGGCAAGCCCAAGAGACTCAGTGGTTTAGTCCACAGCACCACCGACGTCCATAATATAAAACATGAGCAGTCACGGTAAAAGAATAAATCCTACACCAAATACAAGAAACAGCTGAGAATAGCACCATGTAGAATACTGGTGACTTCATCCACCATTCTCTGAAGCAGAATGTGGTTTCCAGTCCACATAGCCAGGTTGCAAAGCTGGCACATTGGATAATCAGATATGAATTATAGGAGCTGGATAATTACGTGCAGTCTTTGCAAAAAAAAAAAAAAAAAGTGTTAACAAAATCACTCAGGCAACTCATTACTCATACCATGGGATACCATATATGCAGTAACAGAAATGTACAAGCAGTCCACATGTCTTGAGAGAAATTCCCACTCACCATTGCCACTTCAAAGCTTGTGGGGAAGAGGGGCATTAGAGATAGTCCTTTATATGAGAACCTAATTTCTTCCTGTTTACTCAAAAAGGTTTCTTATACCAGAGTTTCATAGTAAATGTGAGATTATGTCACACACCACAATAATTTGAATTACTAACAAATACGGCATGCAACTATGGATTTTTTTAAAAAAAAATCCTTTTGACAAATGTGCTCTCAGTCTATTTTATGACAGTTCTAGAGGAAAATATTTAAAATATTAAAGATGATAAATACAGCTTTAGCCCAAAGAGATGAGTCACATTTGCTTTTCTTCCTTTAAATGTAATAATATACAGGAATTTAGCAAAAGCTGTAATGATCTGAGACACAGATGTACAATTGTACAGCTCTTAATCATTTCAATAAGTCTGTCCTGGTAGTGATCTGTGAGGAAAAAGGAAATGGTCTCAAAATGTTTTCATAGTTCTTGATCTGTTCAGAAATATTTAGGGAGGGAAGGAAATAATATATTTTAATGTCCATAAAAAAAATATTTCTTTTAACTTTGAAAAACTTTACTACACAGCTAACTCAGTTGCAGACGTCTGGGAACTGACTGAATCATCCTGAGTTTTATATTCAAAGAGGCTGTAATATGCAATAGCTCAGATCAATATCACCTTAGTATTACTCACCTTAGAAACAAAACATTCTGCTATAGCTACAGGATCATTTTCACAGTTTTCCAAATCTTGCAGAAGTTCACTAGTTGACACAAAGAAAGAAAGAAAGAAAGAAAGAAAGAAAGAAAGAAAGAAAGAAAGAAAGAAATTTTAAAAATAAAAATATGGAGAACCACACACTGATATATACCAGCTACAATCAAAATAAGCATTGCACTTGTCATAATATTTGAAATAAAGTAGCCTGGTTAATATTATGACTTGCTATAGGGCTAAGTCCTCATTAGTTATTTGGGTTACTAATATTCTAACACTTCCTTTATTCTTACCCTATCAATAAATTATGCAGCATTTGCCTTCGTTTGCCCAACATGCCTTCACCATTTTGCTTGTACTCTTGCCTCTACCACCAGTTCTGTCTTTCATTAAAAGACAGCCAGTTCTTTTCTGTACTGACTACGAGAAAGTGGGAGCATGGAACTTGCGCACCTCCGCAGCGGCGGAGGAAGCCGCTGCGGAGCCTGAGGCGGCGCGCCCATAGGGGCAGGGCAAGCCACCCATAGGGGTGGGGTGAGGGTGGGGCACACTGCGGGGCCTCCGGAATCTGCCTGCCTCCTCCCACTCAGCTGCACTACAGCTGGGGGGTGGGTAGGCAGCGGGCCAACCATTTGGGCAGCACAGAGCCAGCGGGTGCCCAAGCCACTGCATCTCTCCCAGGAGAGATGTGTGGCTCGGGTGTACTGCAGGCCCCACGGTGAGTGCTGCCTGGCATTTTGTCACCCCCTCTCAGTGGTGACACCTGGGGTGACCAGCACCCACCGCACCCCCTTCCTCCGCCCCTGCACCTCCATAGTGTGGCTCTTTTACAAACATCACCATGCACCTTTCTGCATCTCTGTCGCTCTCTTTCACACAGAGAGAGTACTGTGTAGCTTAAAAAACCTTGAATGGGAGGGGCAACACAAACATGCAGAAGAGCATGAAGAGCAGCACTAGGGAGGCCTTCCATGCACAAGCACAGTGATCCATGCACGTAGCACCCATAGTGCTGCTGTATATTATGGGGCCACATGCCTATCTCTCTCTCTCCTATTGAGGAAGGATTCTCTCTCTAGCCACTTCGGTTGCTACTCCCTTCTCAATTATGTACAAAAACCCTTGAATCACAACGAGGAGAAAAAACATAAGTCATTGCACTGCTTACACTACTTAGGAAAGGTGGAAGAGAGGCAGCAAAGTATAAAATGGTTTCCTGCACCAGGCCATACGCTCAAACAACCCTGCCCTGTTGTGTTTATAAGCAGGCTCTCACGTGCAAGCTGTTCTTTTAACTTTTGACACGCTGGTAGCCAAATAGATTTTGACATTAATTGTTGCTGTAAGTGGATGCATGCTTATTTTTAAACAAAACTGAGTGGATAATTAGCAGGGTAAGTTTATAAGCTTTACAGCAGATTTAGAGGCACCAAAGATAATCAGGATTGCCACAGTCTCATTAGTCTGCTGTTGGGGAGGAAATATCAAAAGCATCCATCAGTAACTGAACTTACAGTTACAAACCTGATTCTTTGCATTTCACTTAGCAGGCCCTTTGAGATCAGTGAGGTTGTTGCTACGGAGCAGGCATAGGCTTGCAACATCCAGTACAGACTAACACAGTGTGCACAGTTGTGCTTTATCCCCACCCCAACTCTTTTGATTTGACTGTGGAAGAGAGAAGCATATGTCTCTGTGTATCATATTTAGCCTAACCTTCGGCATGTGATCCTAACCATAGTTACTCAGAAATACATTCCACCGACTTCCAGGGAACTTTCCCCCAGGTAACTGTGAAAACAACCCAGGTCTTATTGGGTGCAGGTTGCATACAATGGGCAAGTTGCTGTATATTGGCTAGGAGATGAATGGCAGATTCATCCCAGTGAGACAGGGAATGGCAAGCATTCACACAGCTACACAGCAGCTTATGACGGGGAATGCTGCTTTTGGTTGTGAAAATAATGTCAACCAGCAACTCCAGTGAGGAACTTACCTCACAGTACTGTATGTTCTTTACAAGAGGAGGAAAATGGGCATTAGCTTAAAAGGTCAGTACAGTTGTGCCAAGGGGCATCTTGGCTAGTTATCCTTGATCATCTCATTTGAGTGGGTTCCCGGCATCCCTTCACACTTTGTCTCATTAGCTATGTTCTCGTTCCCACATTTCTTTATTTTAAGTCATGGCCTATTTAATCCCTGTGCTTGGTGCCCACAGCTCTGTACTTCCTGTTCCTGCTTACAATTACCCTTTCCTGAAAGAGTTGCATAGTATTGGGGAGGAGGGCTGTTTGTAAAAATATTATTAGGTCCTTGCATCTCTGTAGGATCAAGACATTACAGAATAGTAAAGGGAGGGAATCACTCCTTTTCTCCCGGCCCAGGCAGAATGTTAAATTTTACAAATGAAGAATAGCAAGTGGCTTCAAAGAATTAATAATCCAAAGCTGACTGTCATTTTTCAAATGCCCTGACAAGTCTGTGCCGTGCCTAGTGAACTTCAGGCTGCCAAAAACTGAAAAAGAGAGATAAATGCAGTAAAAAGTCTAGCAGCCAAAACCACTTAGAGGGCCATTCTTTTACACGTCTTTATCTTTTAATTTAAATTTCATGTTTGTATGCATTGCCTGGCACTACTTAGCAAAGGCTTTTCTTGACAAGAAGCCAATAGGTCAAAGTAGAGAAATCGTTCAGTATTGCATGTCTGCAGAAATGACTACGTAAAATGTTTTTAAAAGGGGCATACATTTAAAAAGAAGCGGCAGAACCCTATGCCGGCCAACTCTTGATGCAAGATAACAGTTATCTATGCCAGCAGCACTTTACACTAAAGCCCATATTAGATCTTTGACCCTGTAGTCCATCGCTCTTTAATTACATAAGCTAAATATGAACATGGAGCACTATTGCAATACAAAGCTACATCGTCAGATGTTTAATCTCTGGACTAGAAGGGTAGTATTTGTGGGCGAACAAGTGCATGTGCACAACTGAACTGTTTTGGGAACCAACTATGGAGGAATGTGTACTTTTATGCTATCTTCATCTACACCACAAAATCTGACAAAGTAATGACTGGGTATTCAGCTTGTTATCCCCATGATTCCACGACATTCATCTGCAAAAGCTAATTAGAGGTAGTTAGAAGGTAATTAGAAAAAGAAATGGAAGGGTTCTTCTTACCTTTAATGAAAATAAGCAGTGCAGGAAAATGCAAATAAATAAATAAAAATAAAACCCCAACAACACCCAAAAGTATGAAGAGGACCTCTCTGCCTGAAGCAAAAGCTTCCTGCCTAAAGAACTGGTACAGAAACTCACCAGCAGGTATTGACAGATTGGTCTTCCCTTGCTCAGGGCTGCTGCCTGTAAATTGTTTGGGGCTGCTGCCCAAGTGAGGGAAGGTTGCCTTCGACTGACCTTCATTTACGGGGGTTGGAAGCTGAGAGGACTGTTATGCAGTGGTTCCACTCCTTCCTCGTAGGCCATGTCCAGAAAGTGGTGTTGGAGGATGAGAGTCTGGACCCCTGTAGGGTGCCTGAGGGCTCTGTCTTCTCCCTCACGCTTTTCAACATCTATACAAAGCCACTGAGAGATATCTTCAGGGGATTTGGGCTGGGTGTTCACCAGTATGCGGATGATACCCAGCTCTACCTCTCTTTTAAAACATGCCTCAATCCCTACCCATTCATATGCAGGGCTTATTCCAATGGCACTTGTTCCAATGGCACTTGGGAACTCCCGTAAATGTCTTGTGCTAGCATTTGTTTTCACAGCACAGATACCTTTGGGGGGACTTTGGCCTGAAGCACCAACCACCCCTATTTTAGTATTACTTTAATATTTAATCTGTTGGGGGGAGTGCACGAATGAACAAAAGCTTGGATTTGTGGTCCCCAGATATGTTTTCATTTAAGTCCAATATTTACTCACCTGTTGAAATGGTAGATATCTTTTATGTTTCCAAACAAAGCTGATCGTTCCTCCATCCCCAAAGAGAGCTTGGATTGGTCAGTGATACAATCAAGGTAATCCTATGAAATAAATGAAAAGGGTTGTCTTAAACATGTCTGCTCTTTTCTTCCTCAGTAAATGGAACTATCTTTAATTGTGGAAGAGGACTCTGCTCCAGATCAGTTTCACTTTATATTACACTAATCCCTTCAGTAGCGCCACACTGAACAGTCCTTCCATTATGGAAAATAACAATACTTATCTGTTCACCAATACCAAAGGAATAAACCCAAAGACTGAATGCTTTGCTGCTCAGACTGTGCATGTTTTTCAAGCTGCAACGTATTCAGATTTCACCCACAGTGACAGCTTAATTATCTCCATTAATTACTCAATAAGGTCAATGACATCTTCCTATATTAAGCAGGGTTTCTTTTAAAAACAACATAAAGTATCATCACTAAAGCACATGCACTTCATACAGATAAGAGGAGACCAGGAAAAGTATTACCATATTTCAGAGCTATTGAAAAAGTACTTTTAAAACTCTCAAACACAATGCAATATAAACGTCCTGGTTCCCAGTTTATAAAGAACAAGGTCTCTCTTCTTCTGCAGCCCCCACCTGGTATACTAATGAGAAACTGCATGTGCTCGGGAACATATTGCAGAGAAGATTCATTTGCATGCTATTTAGTTGTGGAGATTACATTTTAGGTCACACAAGCAAGAGAGCTATAAACTAATTGGGGAAGATTTGCTTTAAAACAGTGATTTGCAGGTTACCAGACAGCCCCTTCCAGAACTGCAGTACCAAGAGTGGTTTAACCAATGCTTTTTTTTCTTTCTAAAAAGATGTTTAGGGGTACTCTCATTTTCCTACTCATATTGAAATACTGCTCCTCAATGAGACCAAACTTAAGATTCACAAAATGTTTAGGGGTATGCGTACCCCTGTGTCCCCCCAGAAAAAAGCACTGGGCTTAACAATCAGTCCCTCTTCACAAGGATCTCTGGGAATGACAGCTCTAAGAGAGGAATAAGGGTCTCCTAACAGCTCTCAGGACCCATACCCAACTACAGCTCCCATAATTATTTGGGGGAAGCCATGATTGTTTAAAGTGGCATCATATTGTTTTAAATCTATGGTGCTAGTGGGGTTTTAGTGTACAAACTGACTCCATTGAAAAATACTGCTTCGGGAGACTTTGAGTGCCAAAGCTCTCTCATTGGTGTTAGAACTCGAAATCGTCCTGATATTATGATAATCAAATACCTGTGTGAACTAGCATTAAAACTACTATTTAACACAACAACAAAAGGCCTAGTGTGCTTCCATAACATTTATAAAGAAACTCTGCAGGAGAAAGGAAAACAATAGACTAAGAGTGAGAACAGCTGGAACCATGTTAACAAAACCCTGACATGATCCTGAGCCTGAGGGTTTAGACAACGTGTGGTGGCATTTTACCAATGGCAACACAACATTCCATAGCACCAAATTCAAGGGATTCTGGGAAATGTCAGCTACACCATGAGGATCTTGTTATACGGTAACTGAATTCCAAAACCCACATGAGAGAATCAGATAAAAACAAAGGGGAAACTTATTTGAGAAAAATCACTGGGCATGTTCACAATAGGTTTACTTTTCTAAATAATTTGATCGTTTAAACAAACAAGCAAAACAAAATATTGTAGCACCAAGAACAGCACATAAAGATGAACATGAGTTCTTAACCAGTTCTGTCCACATATAAGCAGGTTTTGACTTCCAGCACCAAAGAGCAATTTTATATCTACACACCGAGGGCTTTACAACAAGGAAGCTCCATGACATTAAACATTCTGGCATACATGATCTACACCTCTACATTCCATTCCACCCAGCCTCCATTAACTTATGACCTCATCATTAAATCTGTTCTCTTAAAATATGTTTGTGCATTAAGTCATTATAACAATGTCCCGGGGGCTTCCCAAAACTGTGTGTGACCTTTTGTTTTCACTCACAGTCTCCCTTGGAGCAGAGACTTAAGAGGCTTCATGAAGCAGAAAGGATTGCTCCACACACACACACTGCAACCTGGGTCAAAAGGGTGGAAAAAATGAGTACAAAACAGGAAAAGCTCATTCCCAGTTGTAATTTCTAGCACATATTTGCGTTCAATAGAATGAGATGTAACAAAGTGGGCCTGCCCTAACAACAACTACAGACCAACAGCAACCAGCTTTTAAAAAGGGACAAAAACTTATATAGAAACCTTACTACTTTAAAGTGGTTCATAATCTGCTTTTGTAAGAGCAAATGTTGTTTGATGTGAAAAAGAACAAAAGCGGAGGTAGCTAATGAGGTCCATCCAAGTGATGTTTTCCTATCATTTCTGTCCCTTGGCAATGCTGGTGAGTTAGAGTCCAACAATAGTGGGAGGGCACTACTTTGACTAAACCACACTAAAATATCATGAGAATACAGATGCCTGTATTGCAATGATACATAATGAAACACACAATATATTGTACTACATAATATCTGCATAGCCAAAGTACCTGATGATTGCTTTATAAGCAGGCTAGTCAAATTATCTGTTGGATATTTGGCACAACCATCAATAGTTTTGGACAAGTATTTGTAAGTGAAATTACTGAACTAGTCTACCTAAATTCTGATTCCTGCCCCCCAGACTTCTGGCATCTGGCTAGCCACAAGATAATGTCACCATATAACACTACAAAATAATCTTCAGAGAACTATAAAAGCTTTACATTGCACAATAAACACTGGGCAGGAAATGGGTAAAAAAATAAATAACTGCATCAACAGGGTTAAAGGAGAGTGTGTTATTTCTTTTAACAGAACTTCAATATCCCCTTTCCTCAGTCTGCAGTTCACCTCACACGATACAGAGCTACTTGTGAGGCCCTTTGGATGTTTCCCTACCAAACAGCTGATTAGAAGGGTTCCCTGTACATCTTTCAGGTACGTCTGGGGAACAGGATTGCATAGTACACCTGTGCACAGGTCCACACATCTGTGTGCTTTGCAGAGAGATGCAACTTATACCCTATTGGCAGGAAAAACTTATTTAGCCCAAGGGCCATAGTCCCTTCTGGGCTTTTTCGCTGGTTAGGTTCAATTCTAATCCTTCTAACCTCCTTTGGGGTAGGTTTGCAGGTATGGCAGAAGGAAATAGGATCTGCCCATGTGATGCCCACCTGGTAGAAACTCTAGCTCACATGGCCCTTAAATGTAAAATGTATGATGATCTCCGCCAACAATTTTTAGACCATCTATGTATTCCAACATGGAAACCAGAGACAGAGTTTATATGCTTCTTATTACAGGGGAGAGACCAGGAGCTCACCAAGAGAGTAGCTAAGTTCCTCTATTTGATTTTCTGTCGCCCAAGTACACTACAGGATCCTGCCCTTGCTGGAGACCCACAAAGATGAAATAGATTGCTCGCCTCTTCTTCCCTTTGGCAAATGACTGTACTGTTGAAATGGTGACGAGATCGCACTGGCCTGTATATTTTGAATGTTTGTATGTGATGCCAATAAAGGTTTGATGATGATATTCCCTTCTGGACAACTTGCTGAGGGTCACATGTCAGCGGTAGGCAGGTCCAGGGCAGAGGCAAATGGCAGAGTAATTAATGTAAATGTTTCCTTCGTATAGTAGGCTAGTTTCTACCCACCCACCCCTCTCCATTCTCTATCCAAGTAAGCAAACAGTTCATCAGAGTTCATGGACAAATTCCAGCCAAGCAAAAGCACTTAAGGAGTATATAATGCAGAGGTGGTGAGCAATGTGCATGGAAGGGTCTACAAGTCATAACCACTTTTTCAGCTGGCAGGGGCTGAAAAAAAGTTGTTGGAAAACTCTTAGCAGGAAGTAGGTTGTGAGGGTTGTGATAAGAGTGTGACAAGAGAAGGAACAAGTCAACTTTCTCATGATCATGAAGTGTAATACAGCAGATGGAACCAAAACAACAACAACCCAGTCCCCAGAGATGCATCGTTGCATCATGTTATGCCTGGTCATTTAATAGCTCTGCAAACTCAACCTGGAAACAGAAATGTCATTTAGAAATAAACTTGATCTCTCAGTGAGTCTCTGAAGGAAAATGATCAAAGCTATGCAACAAAGATTCTGGGTTTTTTTTTTCTGTTTAAGAATTCTTTGACCCTTTAAGGTCAAACAAAACTACAGCGGCAAACAATGTCACAGCAGCTGCAAGCATATGAAGCCATAATAAAAAGGCTGGAAACTCCCTAATCGCATAGCTGGCAACCGTCATAATGAAATGGTCTATGAATCTTTATTAAAGCTATCAGAGCCAAGTCTTATTGTCTCCCTGAAATTACAGCAAAACATTCACTGCTGTTTCTGGAGAAGAAAAAGGAGAAATGTTATCTTTTTTGTGTTTTATTTATTTTTGCGGGGAAGCATAGGTGTTTTGCCCTTTTTTCTGTGTGTGAGGGGGAGTGTCTTAGCATCGCTAGTTTTGAAATGGGTATTTCTTAGTTTCTTAGATTGTCAAATATGCTCCCTGGGCATCAAAAGGTTAGGGATCTCTGTTCTATAGCCCAAGCAGCATGATAAACATGGGAATGTCTGAGTTCATAGGTGTAAGCCCCAGATGTAGGAAAGGTTTGGGCATACACTGTGGGGAAGCATAATATAAGGCATACACACAAAAAATCAATGTGAGAAAAGGACTGTGGCTTTCCCATGCTATTTTCTCAGCCATGTAATAGTGAGGACATCAGATCATTTACTATTCATAGCACTGAGAAGAAAGCCTGTTAAAAGATTACTGTGTCTCGCACATCAACAAAGCTGTATCAACAAAGACACTTCAGCCACAGAAACAGAATATGGGAATTAACTAGATTATTAACACATTTATCACTTGCTATATAAACAGTGCTTACCTGAATTGAGAAACAGGTTTAGCAAGAGGCAATAGATGGGCAATTTTGATCACTTTCTCAGACATGGAAACAAAAACAATTCTTTGTTTTTCAATATTTATGTATATATAAAATAGTCCAATAATGGGCTTGGTTTAAGCATTTTTGGAAGACTATAGATTAAAAGCCTTTTCCCAGCTCTATGAAAAAATATGCAGAGTTACAAAAGATCAGGCTTTGTTTCTATACAGCTAGCCTCTTTCCTCAGTATTTTTAAGTTTCAAATTTAAATAAAGCATGTTATAAGAGCAAAAACAGACCATTTCCTAGTGAGATGCTAATGTCAGGAGGCAGAGAACTGAAGCAACACATACTTGCAAATAAAGTGTTATCCTAGGCTATATTTGCTTAAAAAAACCTTAAAATAATGCTTATCACTACAGATATTTTTGAAACAGTTGTGCAGTCACACCAATATAGATCAATAGCCATGATCAGGACAGCTTAATCGGGTTCAGATCAAATACACTTGAAATAACCAAACTAACAAATTGAATTTCAATAGGGACAAATGTAAGTTTCTACACAAAGGCAGGAGGAACCAGCTGCACAAATATAAGATGGGGGACACCTGGCTTGTCAGTAGTACAGTCATACCTCAGGTTGCGTCTGCTTCAGGTTGCGTGTTTGCGTCTCGCGTCCCACAGCAACCCAGAAGTACTGGAACGGGTTACTTCCGGGTTTCGCTGTTCGCGCATGCACAGAAGCGCCAAATTGCACCACACGCCTGTGCAGACGTGGCGCTTCGAGTTGTGGGCTTTTCACGTTACAGACGTGCCTCTGGAATGGATCCACTTTACATGTGAAAAGGATCTAGGGGTCTTATTTGACCACAAGTTTAAAATGCATCAACAGTGTGTTGCAGCAGCAAACAAAAGCTACTTAATGCTATTCTAGGCTGCATCAATAGATGTACAGTGTCCAGGTCAAGGGAAGTAATAGTAACACTTTATTCTGCCTTGGTCAGACCACACCTAGAATACTGTGCGCAGACATGGCGCTTTCCCCTGCGTCCTCTTCGGCTAGCGGCTGGAGCTCCGGAATGGATTCCGGTCGCAAAACAAGGTACGACTGTATTAATGACCCTTTCAATCATAAAAAAAAAGAACAATACTGAATCGCTTCTATCTACTTTCCAAGGTGATTTAGTAAATTTAAGGAGGTGATGGGAATCCACAAAACCAATTCATCTATAATACACAACAACCCTTAATGTCACACTTGTGATTGGCCTTATTATTACATCCATCTGTTGATGGATGGCCATCCTGACTCGGCCCCAGACACACTGACCAGATGTTTGGAAGCTGTGGCTGGATGGTTACGCGGAAGCCGGTTGAAGTTAAATCCTTCGAAGACAGAGGTCCTCTGGCTGGGACGGGACGATATGGGATTGGGGGGGCAACTCCCATCTCTTGCGGAGTGCAATTAGTGCCAGCACCGTCCGTTAAGAGTTTGGGTGTAATCTTCGATACCTCCCTCTCTATGGAGGCGCAGATTACAGCTATAACAAAGGCGGCATTTTTCATCTCCGCCAAGCTAAGCAGTTGGCCCCTTATCTCTCTCGCCCTGACCTAGCCACTGTGATCCATGCGACGGTCACCTCCAGACTGGATTATTGTAACTCGCTCTACGTGGGGCTGCCCTTGAGACTGACCCAGAAACTCCAGCGGGTGCAGAATGCCGCGGCGAGACTCCTTATGGGGTCTTCGCTGCGAGATCACATTCATCCGGTACTATACCAGCTGCACTGGCTCCCGGTGGAGTACAGGATCAGGTTTAAGGTGCTGGTTTTAACCTTTAATTACTCTAACAAGAAATATAGATCTGCATGTTGCAAAACTATGCTATCCCATCTATAAAATCTATTAAACCATAGTTTACTTCCTACAGAGAAGAAAAACCATGCTTCTTGTCCCAGTCCAGACTTCCCTATCCACTTGAAAGGTTCAAAACGTAACCATTACAATGTCAGATACCCCAGGAATTATATGTGGGGAAAAGGATAAGATCTCTTGAATTTAACCCATGGGGTTACTCTTTGGAAATCATTCCTGCCAAGGTATCCTCATGTGGGTGAACCTCAGTCCATGGCAAGCTGAGACGCTACACTAACCAAGAGCAATACATGTTGGAAGTCAGATTTTGTATTTTGCAATGGTAATTCATAAGCAGGTCTCCATGATGTATTCTAGACCCTTCTAGGGACATCCTGCACAGGCTTATCAAGAAGAAAACAGTTGTGCAAAATGGCTAGTTGACAATTATACAAGCAGCAACCTGCTTACAATAAGATAAAATCATTAGAACGCTATTGCTACCAAACTTACACTCTGTTTATTTATGTTTCTCTAAAGCAGCAGCATCATTTAGTTTTGTTAAGGAATAATTTCGGGGCGGGCGGGCTCAGCGGCTAACCAGTTGTCCTGTATATTGCATTTAACATTCTCTTCCCTTCCTTCCTAATAAAAGAACCAGAGATTTCCAAAAGCTGAAACAGATTAACTCTCACCCTTTTTTTATCTATTTTGATTTGCATACACAATAGTGCTTGCTAGTCAGCCAACCAACCGTTTGGTTGAGTGATCCATTCATTGCTAACAAGAGCAGCAAGTACAACAGTGTTAATCTTCTGGGGCAATTCTATAGCTCAATACAGTTAGGAGTGCCAGCAAACTGTCTTTTCCACTCAGAAGGTGTATAAAAAAAGATTAAGGGAGGATCTGTAGAGCATTCATTTATATTACTGAAGAATTACATACCAATTTGTGTTGTGGCATCCCACCCAGCTGTTGAAATCAGCTTTGAGCTATTACAGGCAACTTTGAAATATTCTCCAATGGTCAGGATTAAGAAACTGGCATAGTTACTTCTGACTACTGGTGTACATCCGGTGTGTGTGTGTGTGTGTGTGTGTGTGAGAGAGAGAGAGAGAGAGAAAGAGAGAGAGAGAGAAAGATCCAGTTTTGCTGAGTTTCTGCCAACCGAGGCAGAAACAGAAAAACACCGAAGATCTGGAATGATGCAGCCATCTCCTTCCCAGTGGTGCTTGACCTGGAGCAAAGCTCCAAGCGCATCCTCTGCCCAGACCAGCAACCTAATCACAGCTACAGAAGAAGACTGAGCAGTAACATTTCATTGGAACCCAACTTGTATGATGTCTAAGAATCATATGGTCATCAATGTTAATCATCACTAACACTTCAAGGGCATACAGCCAATGTAGGATTAAACTCTGTTCTCCTGCCCATTGGCTGACATCACTGTGCGGAAACAACATGGTAGGCCAAGGTTGACTGACAGGCTGGCGTCTCCTCACTCCTGCACTAGCAGGTTATGCCCCATTCAGTCACTGCCACTCTGCATTGCAGAGGGTGTCATGTGGGGAGCCTGCTGTATTTAAAGCCCTGCACGAGCAAGGATGAGTATAGCAGGGTCCTTACTGAAGACCCTCACCCTCTAACATGTGGAAGGTGGCTTGGTTGGGTGGCAGGGACACCTCAGTGTCGGGCACCAATGAGTACATTCACTCTCTCCCTCATCATAGCACCCCTTTAATGCTTGAATAGGACTATGGCAGAAATTGCTAACCTGGGGCTCTCCCAAACGTTGCTGGGATCCAGCTCCCATCAGCCCCAGCCAGGATGGTTAGGAACAAAGGGAGCTGCCAGCAGCTTCTAAGATTAGCCACCCCTAAGCTGTGAGCTCACCAAATTTTGAAACCAGGTTTTGAAACAGTTCAAAATCTCGGTTAAGAATGAATGGGGTTTGTCTTAATTTTTCTAAGCTGTCTTAAAAACAACACCACACAATTCATGGAGCACAGGGCAAATGAAACACCTGAGTCTAGCACTGCTAGAGGATATACCTATCAATCTGTGTTTGCTTCTCTGTCCTACAGATTTCATACAACCTTGTCAGCAAATATTTTTTAAGGCTCAACTGCCCTCGAAAAACAGTAATGCCTACCTTTGCATATGTTGTAATGGGCCTGTGGCTTCAAAGGGCATAATTATTCAAGTGTGCACCTAGTCTTTCGAGCTGCGTATACATTCAAAGAGAAAATGTGAGCTGGGAGACAGGATTCTGTGGCCACAATAGCAGTCCTTCCTTTTCCAGGTGATATGAAATACTTTAATCACACCACAGAGAATGCCATCTTACTTCTAATTAGCTACTAGATGATTATACCACTTGTCATACAGCTAAGCATGTTCATGACTGCCTTCCCAGGAGGCCAAAGCGAAGGTAAAGCCTCTAACATTTTAGCTGCTTCTGACAAAGTCAAGCCGATTGCCACAGGGCAGACACTGCTCTGCATTTTTGCTTGATGTAGAGACTACTTTCTGGGATAAAGCATGCTGCATGGACAAAGTAAATTCCTAAGAAGGATAATTGACCCCAAATATGAGGCAGCATACAAAAAAAGGGAGCAGAGTTGTACTCTTTTAGGAAGTCAGAGGGAAAGAAGCCCCAAGATGAGAGGAATCGTGTAGTGAAACCGCCATTAATACTGGCAACCATGTAAAGCACTACCCACATGCCACATTTACTAAAACTGCTAGGCAGGGGCTCAGCAAACAGCTAGAAAGCAAGAACAGTCAGTGCAATGTTTTTTCAGACATGGCCTTTTAAAAGCCACGTGGTGTCTTCAACATCAGTAACTGAGGAACGTTTCAAAAATCTCAGCACATGTACAAAAGCCTGAGACACTATGTTCTTCTCAGTCTCTATCTGAGCCTGCTTATTGCTACTCCAATTCTTAACTACTCCTCAAAAATAAGAAGAGGCAGAAAAAGGATACCACCAAAAGGTGTTTTTAATTCTCATGGAAATCTGTAATAAACCAGGTCTAAAATTATGACTCTTCCTTTATGCCAAATATGTTCCTACCTTCCATTAGAATCTCAAGAAAATATAGTTTTAGAGTGAATTGAGAGTCACTACTGAGTAGACAGCTAGCAAGAAATGCATCTACCATCACATAAATTAATCTTAGCAGGAAGCACTAAAATTGTGGGAGGAATTGGTGATATGGTTTAGGACACAGAAGGTCACCCATTCAAGCTTCACGTGCCTCTTTCCTTTTGCAGCCTCCCCACTGTTTAAAAAGAGACAGAAGGGGGACTGAAAGGTTAAAGTGGGAAGGAGAGAGCAAAGCCAAATTGTGAGCCCTGAAGCATACAGACCCCCTGTAATTCAAACATGTCTAAGCTGCCCTAAGCCTTGATGAGCTGCTGCAGGATGTTTTGTCTCCTGCATGCTGTAACACTGCCAGAAGGGCATCAAAACCAGCAGAATTTCCCATAATTTGGATAAAGCGGCATCTTCCAGCAATAGCAGTGCCTGTGAGACTCCCTCTCCACTGGCAGAGAAGCATTGTACCCCTTCCCAAGGCTACTTGGGAAGGAAATGTAAGATTGCAGCTTAAATCAAATATAGCATTATTTTTTTAAAAAAAAAAATCTCCAATATCCAGCACTGGAGGTCACCAATGTTATCTCTTAACATGTGCTCATGTTTCCAACTGGCAGTTATTTTATGCTCTATAAGTTAGTAAACACTGTTTTTATTGTGAAAATAAGAAGAATTGAAAACTGGGTTAGCAGCTGTATTGAAATTTCTAAACCCTATTCAGATCTATGCAGGACAAGTATGTTGGACATAAGAATTGCTTGCTTTAGCAGTTTTATTTCATTCTTGTTTAAGAACCTTTAAAATGCCTTCCATATAGATGGTTTTTACTATAAACCAGCAGTTAAAGAACCTAATGCAACTGTGCAGGAAAAGACTTGTTTCTGGGGATTAATTTTTTTTAAAGAAAACATGCCTTTGTATATCAAACCTTGATAATCTTTTTTGCCTTGCTGTCTGCTTTTTTGTGTCATCATCAGACTAGTATTTTCTTTTCCGGATTAGTGATGTACTTAACAGAGAGAATTGCCCGAAGCTACACATTATAAGATTTCCAGATTATGTGTTTGTCTCTATGATTTGTGTCTGCACTGGACAGGAGGCCAAAGAATCATAACTGACAAAGCAATAAATAAAAAATAGTTCACCTAGGAGCATGGATACGGGAACATTTGGAAGAGCTGGTCACACCTTCAAGAATTCCACATTATACCAAAAAGAACATTCAAATTCCACATTTGTTTGATCATAGAGAGAACCGGATATGATACATGTGGTATTAATACTCAGCAGAGGCAGGAAGTTTCCAGTCACTGGTGGAGTTCCATCTCCCTTGGCCACTCAAGGTTTATGATATCCTTGTGGCTGGAGGCCCACTGCTGCACCTAAAAGTAGGAGCACCTTTCACTAGCTCCACATAATAAGGAAAACATGGTGTGTGCACACATCCCAGCAACTTTGCTGGGGGTGATGGTAGAAGAAAACAGCTCTGAATACCAAGTACCATTTTAGAGAAACCGTAGAGATTCATGAGAGATTCTATGAACATTGGAACAGGAGCAGTTTATAAACCCTGATGACAAAGAGAAATGAGTTGAGGGCAAAACTATTCAAGAGATTTTGAAAACATGATACAGTCAATGCTAGAAAATATCTAGCAAACAATGAATGATTTTGTAAAACCCTACTACAGGAGCTACTACCAGCAATTCATATTGCCTGTCCAGGAAGATGTCTCTACAAATAGAATTATGCTGCTTTCCCAATATCATAACTGACAAGAGCATTTATTCACCCACAGAAAGCTGACTGAGCTGCCCACCACAACATACCAATTCAGTGCAATAAAGCCACATGCTCTTGGTATTGTTTGCAAGAGGATTTATTTTGCACATTGTCCATCCCATTAGGGTTTAAGAGTGATCCACTTACCTTCATAATACTTTTTAAATCCTGCACATACGTCCTCTCTGTCTCCAGGATTTCTTGGACCACTCTGTCAACGTACAGGAGCTTTGGGCTTGGAGGCTCAGCGATCAAGGACATGACACAGTTTCTGCTACCTTCCTTAGATTCAGCTCTCCGTGGCATACTTGGCCTTCTCCCAAGACTTCCGTCAGAGGTCTGCTCCTTTGGAGGGTTGTTTTTTCTCAGCTCCTTGCTGGAAAATCGCTGGGCCGGGCTCAGCTCTAGCTTTATGGCCCCTGCTTCCTTATCCTGGTTGAATAAGCCCAGGTGATTGTTTGAAACTAGCGTTGTTCTGCTGCCAAAGGAACAGTGGCTATCCCTGGAGGATGCAGAAGATGAGGTGGAGCTGAAGCTGACAGGACGGTCACTGTCTGACAGTTCCATGGTCTTAATCCCACAATAGTGGAAGTGTCCGTCTTCTCTGTGCAGGCTCTCCCCTGTTGTCTTGGGGGTCGTGCCTACCATCACAGGAGGCAGCACGGCAAGAGGCAAATGGTAGCCATCTTTAAGGGAAGGAAAAAGAAACAATGCGTTTGTTAAATAAAGCGTCATTATCATTGAGTCTCCTCCCCAAAAAGGGAGACGTCCAACCTGCTTACCTTTGACAGCTATTTGAAATCATCACTCACAGTCCCAATTTACTATAATAAACCAGCTTCCCTAGAGTTTCTCCCTAGACACTTCCTTGAGGCCTATATAAACAGCCATTTGACTGATTACTTGTACTGAGAAAGCATACCTTACAGCAGGCATGTCCAAATTTCGTTTCAGAAGCCGAATGCGGCCCGCTAGTTGGGTTTAATCAGGCCCCTGTGGCAGTCTGGCAGTTTATTTCCTGGGGTAAAATACTAAAAACTTCAACCAACCCTAAAAAAAAGCTCAACAATTTCAGTCCTAATAAAAACTCAACAACAACCTCAATCCTAAAAAAGGGGTTAACAACTTTGGTCGACCCTTTGGTCAGCCCTCACGGGCCTTCACTTCATCAAATCTGGCCCTCTTTGAAAAAAGGACACCACTGCCTTACAGGTAAGGAAAGCTTCAGTAAGTTGGCAAATAAGCTAGTGAAACATTTGGTGGGCTAGTAACAGTTGTAAACTGGTTTGTAGAATTTCTTTGTATGTTTTCCACTGTACTCTTTTCCTCTCTCTTTCCTTCTTGATACTGTATGCGGACGGGAGAGCTTTCAGATTTAAGTTTTATCTTTATATATTATGGGGATGAGATTATATTCCACCCCTCTTGTTTGGAGAAGGAACACTCAAATTAGATAGCTGAAGATCTCTTGGCATACTATTTACTGGACATATCTTCTATTTTACATGTGTAAGTAATTGCTTAGCCTGTTCACAGCGACATTACAAATTCATTAGGTTTTCATACTTTAATTTAAAAGGGGAGGGAGAAGAAGAAGAAGAATATATGTACTTAAATAATAAATTTGTGAAGACTTTAAGGTGTGGACAACACTTTCTCATTTTTTACTGCAACCGAGTAAGCAAAAACCCTGATCCACCATGCTGGAGTGGGTTTGGAGGAAGTGGGAAGACACTACCACCGAAATGAAGTGTTTTCAGAGAAGGGATGAGCCAGCACAGGATCTGCCCATATGCCATCAAGCAACAGAATTGATCTGAGTCCCTTTGGTGCACTAGACTGGGAGCTGGAGCAGCAGAGCAGTCTCTGTTCTCCACACTCTGCCCTGGCTGGTGCTAGCAGTGAAGCTGTGGAAGGATGGCTGTGGCTATGATGCTCCATTAAGCCTCACCATTGCACTCTTGCACAGCTCTCTCTCTCTCTCTCTGTGCCCAAGAAATAATACAAATATAATGTTTTTTGTGATTAGCAACTAAAATTATTACAAAAATTAGTATATGTAGCTTCATTGAAAAAGGAGTAATTTTCCTTGGTTTCTGATAAAGAATTATGTATGTGTGTTATCAGCATTAAAAACACCACTAAAACCAGAATAAAAATACACTGCAGATTTAGACTGGCTTGAAACCTGGATAAATAAGATAACTGGGAATGTCTTCCGTTAATTTATCACAAAGACGTATAACTTAAAATCTGTGACAAAGGACACCTGATTAGCTGCCTTAGCTGAGGCAGAAAGAGTTCCTGTTTCTTTCAATCACTTTGTAGTCCTTCTTCCTGTTTCACTGATACGCTGTCTCACTTACAGATAACCTGAATGAACTAGTAAGTCATGTTTACTTTGTCAACACCGCACAGTTCAGTAATATAAACTATAGAAAAAGAAGCAAAGAATCCTCAGGAGGGGCCACATTTAAGGCAATACAAGCAAAAAGGAAGATATTGTGCAATGTGAGATCTTGATCGTTTTTACAACCACTTAGCTTTAATTAAGTTGTAATGTGCTCTGCTCTTAAAAGCCTTCAAGTTAGAGGACCTTGACCCAGGGTTTAGGATAGGAATGGAGAACCTGAGACCTGCAGGTGTTGCTGGACTCCAGGTCTCATCAGCTAGCATGGCAAATGGTCAAGGATGGTGGAAGGTGTACTATATTGCAACATCTGGATAGCCACAGGTTCCCTATCACTGGTTTAAGAGCATGAAAGCTCTGCAGCCAAATTCATGGGATCTGAATATTACAAAGCTGTGTCTGAAAAATTTAAAACTAACAGGTATTGAGGAGATGTCCATCAAACTTGCAGATGACACCAAACTGGGAGGGGTAACCGATGCTGCATTAAAGATGACCTTAACAGATTGGAGAACTGGGTCAAAACTAACAAAATGAATTTCAATAAGGACAAATGTAAGGTTCTACACTTAGGCTGCACAAATATAATGGGGGACACATGGCTTGCCAGTAGTACATGTGAACAGGATCTAGGGGTCTTAGTAGACCACAAGCTTAATATCGCACCAGTGCGATGCAGCAGTGGGGGAAAGCTATTCTAGGCTGCATCAACAGAAATATCGTGTCCCAATCAAGGGAAGCAATAATACCGCTCTATTTTGCCTTCGTCAGGCCACACCTGGAGTACTGTGTCCAGTTCTGGGCACCACAATTTAAGGATATTGACAAGCTGGAATGTGTGCAGAGCAGGGCAACCAAGATGATGAAGAGGCTGGAAACCAAGCCTTATGAGGAACAGCTGAGGGATTAGGGTATGTTTAGCATGGAAAAGAGGAGACTGGGAGAAAATATGATAGCCATCTTTAAATATCTAAAGTGCTGTCACATAGAGGATGGAGCAAGCTCTGGAGGGTAGGTCCTGAATCAATGGATTCAAGTTACAAGAAATGAGATTCCGACTAAACACCAGGAAGAACTTTCTGACAGCAAGAGATGTTCAACAGACTCCAATGAGAGGTGTTGACTCTCCTTCCTAGGAGTTTTTAAGCAGAGGTTGGGTGGCCATCGGTCATGCATGATCCAGTTGAGATTCCTGCATTGCAGGGGGCTGGAAAAGATGATTCTCAAGGTCATAGTAGCAAAGGAAACTTGCTTATGCCAGGTCAGACCATTTAGTCAAGTATCTCAGTGTTGTGATTGGCAGCATCTTTCCAATGCCACAGGCAGAAGTCCATCACCTGCAACCCAACCATTTAACTGGAGAGGCTGGGGATTTAGGCTGGGGCCTTCTGCATACTGCAATGGTCCTTTCTTTTGTCCTATCTTAGAGGCCTGTAAGTAGAGGAGACCTGGCCCAAGGAAAGCAGTAAGTGACACTGTTCAGGTGGATATCCAGGTCTGCTGCTGAATGGTAATGCATAGAGGAAACACTTGTTACAAAAAATAAAGTTACGATTATAAATATATGTGGGTCTTTAAGGAGATCTAGAATTCTAATAAACGTTAGACCAAAAGAACAGGATGCTGCATTTTATGATCTATGAGATCTCTTTAAATATGGTAATCCTATGGTATATACCTCTGCAGAAAGAATACTTCAGTGGAAATACCCAAGGTGCTTGACACGTGGTTGTTGCAGAAAATGGCTGTCTGTGTCAAGCAATTTGTCCTACTTTATAAGATTTGGTTAGGCTTAACATTTCATTTCCCCAAATTCTGCCACCCTGCTCCATATCACTGGCAGCCAGTTGTAGAGGCAAGGAAGTATTGGGGTAAATCTGGCAAAATTATACTGGAGTGGAGGTGGGTAACAAGATGACTGCATTTTGGGCAACAGGTTTTTATCAAACATTAAATCCATTTTCACCCTTTTATTGTGCACTGGGGGTGGGGGGTGGGGAAGAATGCCAGCTCTATATGCTTTCATAGATCTACAACTGACAGGGCTTTGGTTTGGTTTGTGCAAGCTAAGCAATGGAAAGAGGGCTAATTGCATGTTTATCAACACTCACAGATAAATGTGTTTCAGCAACATGATCCCTTTCTTGCCCATACCTTTCCACAAATGTAGTTAAGCTCCCCACCCTGTCTGGCCTACTGCCTGTGAAGGCACATACCGCTGATATGCCAACAAGACACTTTAAACACAAACAAATGCACAGAGTGAACTAGAGAGACAGTGATACAATATCAGGCTGGGAAATGCACTCACAGGTAACTTTAGTACTAGAAACTGTATGTTACAAGATCAAATATGAAAAAATAAGTTTCCCATGGTTAATAGTCTAATATTAACTTACATGAGGTTTTGATATCAAGCATGCCACATTCAGGTTTTTGCCATTCATTATGCATTTTAGGAGATGCTGATGCTTTCAATGGTTATGCTTACAGCAATCACTGAAAGCACTCTTATTTCTGACAATTTCAAAGGTCAAAATAATGTAGCTTGATAAATCTAGCAGTGCCACATTTGAAACTTCACACCCATTTGCATTCCTTATACTAATTGCTGAAACTACATGCGAACATCTGCATCCCACATTAAAGCACACGATTCATGCTGTTGCCTCCCTGAAACACTTAATTTTAAAATTATTATCCACATAATCAGCATTACACCACTAAATCATTATCATTCATTGCACATGAAATCAAATGTTAATCTGAGCTATTTCCATTCTTAATAATTTAATTAGGGAGCTTTTAAGCAATTAAGGTCATGCTGCTGCACAACACAAGAGTAAAAAAGGTTGCTTGTAAAAAGTTGTGATCAAATTTTATTTGAAAGCTAAGGACGACATGCTCCAGAGCTTGACCACCTTACAGTGCGCACACACTCACAGGTGCTGTTACTGTCACAGAAACTTCCCACACAGATACGGCACTCTGTCCTGAACATAGATGACATCAAACACCACTTTGCATAGGCAGCATGGACAGCTTAGCTGCAATGTAATAAAAAACAAACAAACCACAATAATCTTCAACAGTTTCAAGCAGGGCCACTAAAACTGTATTCATTACAGCATACAAAGCAAATTCAGCACACTACAGAAATATTCAACAGCCTATTCAAGAAGTGCAAAACCTGCAGCAAGTGATGGGCTCCTTTCAAATGCCCCCAAATGCCCATAGGAAACTACAAACTTGCCCACCAGTTTGCCTTTTGTTTCCCAAGCTCAAATAAGCTACCTGGCTCTATCACACAGTCTTCTGTCATAGCATACAACATGTTTGAGTCCCCAAGCACTGTTCCAAAGGAAAGTCCTCTGCGACGGTATCTCACCACTGTGGAATGTCTTCAATGATCCTTACGCAGTGAACGGACAAGCTCCCCCCTCTCTCCCTTACGCTCCCTCGCACAACTTGCAACCTACCTGTGTAATAGAAGATAAATGCATTCTCCAACTCCGGCAGTTCCCCCAAATCACCTCGCTCAGGCACTAAGGTAAAATGAGATGGTCTCGCTAGCCTATTCAGCTCCTTTGGTAGAAATACTGCCTGAGTCAGCTTTCGGCTATCGAAACCCTAATGCACAAAAGGCTCCACAGGAACCTGATTCACAACTTTCTCATTGCCCACACCAAATGCAGTCGTCGGCATCGCTAAGAGCCTTAAATGAAACATGACATCATTCAATTCAGGAACAGGACAATAGACACCACTGTGGGTAACTTTAAATGCACACTTCACTGAGCAACACGCCACTAACTAGTCTCTTTAGGTGGGGGAGGGAGCGGCTTCCAACATTCTGATTGCTTTCCTTCAACCAGTGATTAACTCTATACAACACTGAGAAAAATGCAAAGAAAATATGAGCTGGGACAGATAAAATCAATGTCCTGTTAGTGCAGGAGAATAATAGTTTTAAAAGTACAGAAATGGGTAAATTGATACCCCTGAATTGCACCAACATGTGAAGACAGTTTTGGCATATTAAAAATGGCTGACGCTGCACTGCAAATTTAACAGCAACATTTTGGCCTTTAACTTTTTATCTGCCCTCCCCCACCACTGTAAAAAATAGAAATTAAAGATTTTCTTTAAATTAAAAGGATGCATTCTTGCTAATAAATAAATAAATATAATACAGAGAGGAGTTTGCATACACATATACCTGATGAAGGATTTACATTTTTCATATTTACACTTACATGTTCATATAAAACATGAACAGAAAACACTATAAATATTTTTAGTGGTTGTTTTTTTTTAAAAAAATCAAACTATAATATGCAGCCATACAACAAAATAACACCAATGCCAGGTTCCTTAAAGTAATGGTATCAGGGCACTTATTATGTCCAGTCCAGTTCTGCACTTCCCTTAATACCTGGATCAGGTACTTCTAAAATGTTAGTAATATCAAAACTACCAAGCCACAATTTCACAAATTTCAGTCTGTCTAATAATTGCACCACATACAGATGGAGCACACATCTTGAATGTAAAAGGTCTCCAACAATCTCATTGAACCACCATGGGTCGTATAGTTTCTGGTACACCTATGGGAGATTGCAGTCAAATCCAACAATGCATATTCTTGCTCGTTAGTAAGTTTTGGAACTAACGACCACAGAGGTGTATTGCTGATAGGCAGAGACTCAGACCATAGAAATATAATTGGCAGAGAGGGCTCTTTATGAAGTCATTTCCCCTCCTCTCTGGAATGGGAAGAAACAAAGAAGCATTTCATGTTCCCCCCTCCCTTCCTTTGACCAGCAATGAGGGTAGACATGCCCTCTGCTTGCTCCAGCTCAGGCACATGCCTAAGACTGTTTCTACTGTAAATATACCATATTTTTTGCCCTATAGGATGCACTTTTTCCCCTCCAAAAATGAAGGGGAAATGTGTGTTCATCCTATGGGGCGAATGCAGGCTTTCGCTGAAGCCTGGAGAGCGAGAGGGGTCGGTGCACACCGACCCCTCTCGCTCTCCAGGCTTCAGGAAGCTATCCGCAAGCAGTGGGAGAGCTGTGGGAAGTTGTGCAGCTCTCCCACCGCTTCGCGGAGAGCTGCCTGGACCCAGAAGCCTGGGGGGCGCTGAGCTCAGCATCCCCCAGGCTTTGGGCTTCGCGCAGCTCTCCACAAGCCGTGGGAGAGCTGCTCAAAGTCGAGCAGCTCTCCCTCGGCTTGCGGATAGCAGCCTGTTCTGGGGGGAAATAAATCCCCCCCCCTTATTTCCCCCCCAAAAAACTAGGTGCATCCTATGGGCTGGTGCGCCCTATGGGACGAAAAATACGTTAAGTATTTTACCTGCATATAGCCTCTCCTACATATTAAAACCCATCCCACAAAACCAACTATCACATATAGATTTCATAATATGCTCGACCTTGGCCTGACCCAGCAATGTTTTTTTAAAAAATGTTTTTCCAGCAAAAGTGCATACTCAAACAGCACTTCATACGTATTATCTATGCCTTAAGTATTGAGAGAATGTGAGTATGTCATACTGGTTTGTAAATTAAGAACCCTATTATCTTGCCTTGGTTATGTCATCCTTTGCTGCATCCACCTTTGCTGCCTTCTACTTTATTCCCCGCCCCCAGCAGCTGATTGGGGCCTTCTCTAGTCTCCTATGAGGCTCTCCTCTCTGTCTGAAGGACAGAGGGGAGAGCTAGCATTCCTTGCTTCCTGTTCCACAGTAGCAAGATAACTTCCATCATCCAACCCCAGTTTCTACAACACCCCTCCCCAATTCTCCTTCATCCGCCTCATCTGTCTGAGCCTGCCAATCCATGCCTGATCCTGATAGGGCCTCATGACTGATGACATCACTTCAAGTTTAGGCGATCGACCTTAGAAACTCTCAAGCTGATACAAGATATGAATCAGAGAAATTGAAAAACTACATTTCAAACAATGCACAATGGTCACATAAGGGACGTTGTCTCAAACTGTTCTGTGAACATCTTTCTCCAAGGTACATGTCAGGGCTCAGGTGTGCTCATTCAGCAGGTCTAAACCCTGCAAGCAACTCTCTCACTATGCTGATCTCCATTACCATGTGGTACACTGTGGACCAGAGGTTTAGGCACACTGAGTATCAGTTCATGTAGTTTTGTTTTTACATTAAAAGCTTAACTGGCAGCATGTGGAATTCCCACATAGACATGGTTTATTGCAACATCGAAATAAAGTTTTCTTTTTAATCTACAGTAAAGTTACCTTTACTACTATCCAATGTAACAACCTCTGAAAATTCACAGAATTGCCAGAACAGGAAATGGAAGATGTGGACATTTATAAAAGGATATCCTATAAAGAAAGTATTATTTTGTCCACATGGGATCTAAATTTTGTTTATTGCTGCAAGTCTCTATTATTATTATTATTATTATTATTATAAAAAAAGTTGTTTGAAATGTTCAGAAATGTATGGTTTTGAGTGCCCCTTTGCCATAAAAATTAATCATGCTTTCAAAAACATATACATTTCCTAAATGCAAATCAACTATAAATGACCGAGGGGGATATTGTGGTCTCAATTTAATGATTTGCAAGCATTACGTTTCCTACTTCAGGAATCTTAACAAACCATAAATGAACTACAGTCAACTCAGGACCTTCTAGAGGACATTCTGACTTCTTCCCCAAAGTGCAGGGCAATGTATTAATAACCCTCTGCAATGCAGTGCAATGATTATTTAAACCTGTACATCATACTGCAGAGATTTCTATATAAAACAAAAGCTTTTATCTTGCTGATACGCTAAAAACCCAAGTTTTGTATACACATTGTATATACATTGATTCCAGTTTGCAGAAAATGCTTTCTTTCTTACTTTTAAAAGTTTAATAAGATCCTCGACAGAATACTGTTTGAAAACCCCCACCCAACCTTATAGCCAAAATGATTCCAGTTGTGATCTGCAATTTTTCCACTATATTCCAAAGCACTATTGAGGCAAATACATTATCCTTCTAGTAGTAGACTGACAACATCACTGCTAATTCTAGGAGTGCAATATATTCCCACCATTAAGATCTATTTCCAGTTTGTTCTTTGTCAGTCACCTTATTTTCTTTCTCAGGATCATAACACAGAAATGCTAGAAAGGTTTATTTACACAATGCTTTTGTTACTTTTGTAAACTCTAGATTATGGTTCTGTTCATTCTGTTCATCCTCTGCAACTTACAGCAAGAGAGGAAGGGCTCCCTCCAGACTTCCTGCAATAGACTTCCTCACTCACCCCTAGCTCAAAAGCTTCCTTCTGTGGAATTCAGTTTCCCCAAACCACCATCACTGAGTTCCATTTATTACCCTAATATTCTTTGAAGTCTGCACAGCTATTATTTCTGCAGCTGAAGAGATACGCTTTTTATTTAAATTTTAAAATTTGTACCAAAGACTAGCTTGTCTCTTCAACAGCTAAACCAGGGGTCAGCAAACTTTTTCAGCAGATGGCCAGCCCACTGTCCCTCAGACCTTGTGGGGGGGCTGGACTATATTTTTTTGGGGGGGGGATGAACGAATTCCTATGCCCCACAAATAACCCAGAGATGCATTTTAAATAAAAGCACACATTCTACTCATGTAAAAACACGCTGATTGCCGGACCGTCCGTGGGCTGGATTTAGAAGGCGATTGGGCCGGATCCAGCCCCCGGGCCTTAGTTTGCCTATCCATGAGCTAAACAGTTAAATGGCCAGTCACCTAGACTTTGCTGTTCTTACTTTCCCATTCAATTAACTGCACTTCAGAGATAACTGTACATGAAGACAAAGCAACTGACTTAGCCTCTTCCAAAGAAGATTACTCCACAACTTTATGACAGTTCAAGTCCAGCTTTAGCCTGCCCCTGAATTCACATCACAGAGACATGTCTTCCTTCCCACAAGTTATCCTTGCATCAGAATGAATTCAAAGGGTGGTGTGGGATGTTCTATTCATGCTGGGCAGGGTAGACAGAACTCTCTTGGCTACCCAGTCACTCACCTTGTGCAATGCTTTAAAGACATTTGGAAGCACCAAGGTTGACCCATGCTACTTCTAAGCAGCAATGCTGGCGAACTTCATAATACAGTGGTACCTCAGGTTAAGAACTTAATTTGTTCTCGAGGTCCGCTCTTAACCTGAAACTGCTCTTAACCTGAAGCACCACTTTAGCTAATGGGGCCTCGCGCCGCTGTTGCGCCGCCGGAGCACGATTTCTGTTCTCATCCTGAAGCAAAGTTCTTAACCTGGGGTATTATTTCTGGGTTAGCGGAGTCTGCAACCCGAAGCGTCTGTAACCTGAAGCGTATGTAACCCGAGGTACCACTGTATAAGTTTGTATGTGTTAAACTGAGCATCAACTTTCCAGCTAGAAAGCAAAGGTACAACACATGTGCAGTTGGCATTCATGACTACAGGGGTGTTTTGCAGGCATATGAACAAAAGTGGGGGAGAATCTTGCATTCAACAGCTAACTTCCACCCCTGAGAATTTTCAGAAAATGGTGATAAATACTAAACCAATTCTGACTTGAGGTGAAGGATCACTAATTGTCTCAAAACAAAGCAAAACCCAGATGAAGTGAAACTAACTCCTTCCCTGAATCACCTTCTCAGCACATTCTGGAATAATAAAAGGATGTGAAGGGTTTGTGGCAACCACCAGTAATGCCCAGTTACCAATGACAACCAAAACTGGTTGACTCCTTTGGATTAGTTTGCACTTTTAATTAATAGCTGGGCTTGAAGCCTTGCCTCCAGCCTAATTCCTTACCTTACAAGCTTTTCAACCCACTAGCACTTAGGTCAACTCCATTTCCAAAGTATTCCCCACTCCCCAAGAGAAGATTTGGAAAAGGTGTCGACTTGTTATGTTTTTGTAGAATACACCCTCCTTCCACTCACATTACTAATGCTCCTCCAGGTAGTCCAAACGCAGGTGATGGATGAGCATATGGAAAGAAGGAAATCTTAGAAAGAGAGCATATAATCAGAGGGTAAAGATTTTCCTAATCCTACACAGATATGAAATGATTTGGAATATGGTAACATTGCTGGAACTTATGTATCTTAGGAAACAGAAAAATTGGACAATTAAATTTCTAGAACAAGGGTCTCAACAAACAATGTTTGGGAATGACAAGTTCCTGGATAATATAAATGTTTATAAGTTATTTACAATGCTTTATTAATTGATCAGGTAAAATTGACCCACAAGGCAATTTCCTAAAACACGCCCACCAGTTGTCACTAGTGATGCCAACTAGTGGGAAGGCAGCATTTAATCCTGCACTGGCGATGGGCACTGCTCCCAGCAGGGAAAAGGATCATGCAGCCAAGGCAGCCAGATTTAATCCTTGCTCATCAACTGGGAAGTGAGGCTTAAATCCCTTAGCAGAAATGCTGTTTGAAGCAGCACACACTTCTCCTTTAAGTCAATGAGCTGGCAGCAGTGGAGTAAGGAAGAGGAGTCGCCCCCCCCCCCTGCCACTGACTGCCCACTTGCTTAAAGAAGCGCAAGCTGTTTCAAACAGCACTGTGTTAAACAGGGTAGTGCCTACAAAATCTACAACGAAGAACATTGTCTAGTTTGAACGGACTTAAATATAACTGCCGTATTTATTGTCTTAGGCATAAAGCAGCCAACTGTGCGAAAATAGTTTAAGGGGCATTGGCGAAGTTGCCATTTTTAAACGCAACTGCCCTAAACGTTCATGAATACATTCAAGCGGCACAGGGCTTTGCTGCATTCCACCCTGATCTTTCCTTACCCCATGGGTCGGCACAAGAAAGCCTTCCACACAAAAGTTTCCAACACAAATGAGTAACAGCAAAAACACTGACCACACAGAAAGGTCAAGCTGCTCTCATTACGTGTGCACAGCAGGGCCACAGCATGGTAAGCATCAGAAATTTTCCCGCAGATATAAAACACTACAATTTTTCACTTTACATTGTTGATTCTATTTTTTTTGTAACTGAAGGATGCATAATTAGGAACTTTCAGAGTATATTCATCTATTAGCATGAGTTACATTCAAGAGCAACAGACACAAAGCTTCCTTCCCCCTTATCTGAGGTAATGGACTATCCTGGATTAACTCAATAAACTAGAATTTACCTCTGTTTTGCAATTTGTAACTAATTTATGAACTGATCAGTACTGAGGTTCAGTCCTGCATTGCAAGCATGTTCTCAAAAGCCTTTCCTTCTTGTCTCAAACTTAACACTGAGAGGGTTAGTGGTGGCACAGAAATGTCATCTGTGATAGCGAAGTCAGAAATGGAGCTTGTAATGAGGGATGACTACTCCACATTTATGCACAAATTTGGGTTTCCGCTACCCTGATGTCCACCTTATATACCCCACCAGTTTTCATGTCAAATAAATGAATAGTTTTGCAAAAAAAAAGAGGGATTCTTCAATTCATAATATACTGTGTGTTAGGCTGATGTTACTCCTTCCAAACGACATTTCTGACCTTTAGCTGCTATGGAAACAAGTTGCCTATATAGGCCAACTCTTTAATTATGCAATGATCCATTTTCAAAAGAAAAAAGGGGGTGTCCCAGGCTATCTGCTTGGCAGAAGACACTGAATGTTGAACACTGTTCGTTCTGTTGTAAAGACTTCTAAATTTAAGTGTGATGAACAGTACAAAAACAATGTATAATTTGCTGCACAATAAGGGGGCAGGAAAAACCCTACCTTTGCACACAGGATGCAAAGTGGGGTAATTCAGGCTACACACAGCAGGAATCTACCATTTTCAGCTGACTGCAATAGGTAGACTAGACCAGGGGTGTCCAACTTCCAAGAGACTGCGATCTACTCCCACCATAAAGAAACTGGCAGTGATCTACGTAGAGCTTTTTTTAGGGGGAGGGACCAGAGTTGTTGAGCTTTTTTTAGGTAGAGAGATCAGATCAGAGTTGTTGATGGACAGGCCTGGACTAGACCATTCCTAATATTTTTCAATTACTGTTTAGCCTTGCACAATGGAACATGAAATCAGAATAAAACTGCTTTTAAAAATGCAAAATACCATATCCAGATTGGATCTCACAATATTTCTATTCTTTCTGAGTGAAGTAGTGGGTTCAGGGAGGGGCCAGTACCCTCTCACTTTAAGATTAGAGCAAGGCACCAAAATCTTTTCTTAAACTTACTTGCCAACTGCAGAACATTTAATTGGTCAGTTTCCATAAGTAAAGTCCTACAAGAAAGACTCCATGACTTAAAAATATATATAGCAGAGAGCACAGTCACCAGGATACTTGAACAAGAATGTGGCACCTCTGGAAAGGACAAATGAAAGCCAGTGGCCTGCTACCAATGGAAGAACGCTGCATTGGGCCACTAGGATCAAAGGAGTAAAGCAGTCAGTGAAATCAACAGGGACGCAATCACATAAATTGTGGGTAATTTGCGGGAAAACATAGAACTGAAGCAGCTAAAGAAAATACAGTGGACGCTCGCGTTGCAAACGTGATCCATGCGGGAGGCACGTTCGCAACCTGCAGTGTTCGCAACCCGTCAGTGCACGCGCGGGTGGCGATTCAGTGCTTCTGCACATGCACAAAGAGTGATTTTTTTAGCCCTTCTGCGATGGACCGAAACCCGGAAGTAACCCATTCCGGTACTTCTGGGATCGGCGTGATGCACAACCCGAAAACGCGCAACCTGAAGCGTCTGTAACCTGAGGTATGACTGTATAGTTGTGCCACATTATGATCATCATACAAAGACTGCTGGAAGTGGTGTCTTGTGTGATGATTTACCGTATCATAACACATCGTTCTGGCACGAAGAGTTTTCACACTGGTATCAGCCTCCTTCTAGAAGTAGTAATGCTAATTCTGGTTACATCACTGAAGAAATGAGATAATTGCTACTTCTCAACTTTTAAAAGGAAACAAAAAGCCAGTAACTCTCAGCCTGTGCAGACGTTTCATTGCTGAACAATGCGGCACATTCACTACTGAATGAATCCCAGAGCATGGCGAGTCTCAGGGAGGCCACTAGACTGGTTATTATTGCACTAAGCATAACCCTCTCATAAGAGCTATTAGCTGGCATGCTTGGTGGAAAATCAGTGTTTCTCTGGAAGCAGCTGTTAACCACTACCACCCCACTTCAATTCTCCTTTTTATTTAAAAGGATAAGGAATGACTAGGCTTGGCATACTCCAAGTTTTCCATGCAAATTTTTATCTTTTAGAACTCTCTCTATGCAAATGATATATACAAAATATCTGGCCCAGAATCCAAAGAATTACTTACTGTGAAATACTTTAGCCCACCCACTCCCCATCTCATGCCATATAACAAACTGTTCTTTAAAGTACCCTATGTTTCTAAAGCAGTTTGTCATGCCATATACTTAAGCTCAGGAAACACAAATCTAAGGCCGGCTGGATGTTTGGAACTGCTTATACAGTCTCTTTGGGTCCCAGACCTGCCAAAATTCAACTTTTTTGCTTTGGTACTAGGTAAAGATTACGGGTTTTTAAAAAAATGTATAATGCAAGAGTAGTGAGCAGAATGAACATGTGCATTAAGGACAGAATCATTTATACAGCAGACTTCAGCTTTGCATTATTTCCAGCAGCAGTTCACAAAGAGTCTAGCTGTTGTATATTTATTTTTTAAAGAGCTTGCCTCTTTGGCAGTGAAATAAGCCAGCTAAGCAGTGACTGCATATAGACAATGCAGCTACAAAGCCACAGATCAAGTTCAGTAAAGCCTGTAACTGTATCCAATAGTTACATTTAATTATACAAACTAATGAGGGAATACATACCTTGTATGTATATTGCTTTAACTGTTCAGCACAACAAATAAACACAAAGTGTGGTGTACTCACAGCAAGAGAGATTTTGATCAGATGTGTATGTAAAAGGTATATATGCAGCAGTGATCATGCTAAAGCAAGAGCCCTCTCTTAATTTTTGAACCTTCTGCCTTGCACTGCAGTCCCACCTGTTCAGGAGGGACCCCATATCCTCTGGAAAGAGTTACTGGGGGGGGCGTACAGGGGAGGAAGGGAAAAATCAGTTTTGCAAGCTGCCTTTCACTCACACAAGCAGTGGAGACAACTCACTAATTAATTAACAATAGAGTTTGGAACGCAGCATTCAAAATCTTCTTGTAAACTTGCCTCTAGTGGGGAATGCTTTGTCTGGAAGCAAAAAATGGCATCCTATTATAGTTGCAAGGATTGTGGAAAGCACCAGACAAAAGGATTATGGATCAATTTGTAATTCCAGAGCCCTTGGCTTTGGTCAGAATTTACTAGCAGCACAAACTGTCATGGAATGTGTGCTCCATCTGCTTCTTGTTACCTTCATTCATGAGAACTGCCATCTAAAAATGATAATTCCAGAGTATTTTTTTCCATATACATACAAAGCTTGATAAAAATTCAAATGTATCTTTAATATGATTGGTAAAGGACATTAACCCTAATGGGACATTGTAAACGCAAGTAGTTTTGTGATACCAAACTCACTACTGCCACCACCAATGTAAATGCTTTCCCTAAAACCTTAAATTATATAAATTATAAACACCTGCATTTCCATAGGTTTGTATCCTTTACATATGGCATCTCCTTTTTATAGGGCACTAAGTGTGCCAAAATGGGGGCAACAAGCAAAGTCATCATTTTGACATTAGCCATTCTGACCTCAAGATGACAGTCAGGATCTAAGACACTGATGCTGATGTAGAACAAAGTGTGAAAAGGGTTCACTTCTGTCTGTCCTGAGACAACTGCACTGAGAAGTACAGTGGAGGAAAGTATCATGGTGGCAGGCTAAGGGTTTTTTGGGGGGGGGGGCAATTGCCCTTCATTCCTCTTTACCAAGTTCATCAGGTAAAGGAAAAGGAAAATAGACACCTAGCCTCACTAAGCAGGAGTTAAGAGGTGGCTTCTCTCTTTTGGAAGTATGGGCAGAATGAACATGCGTCTCTTGAAATTGACTGAGGGGGGTTGGAGAAGCTGAATGAGGTTTGAATGTTTTTAGCTAAGTTAGTTGAAGATGAACTGATTTGGAAGGTTGGGAGTTTCAGAAAGCTCAGATCTCTCTCTGCCGTGAACCATAGCTGTCAACTTTTCCCCTTTCTTGCGAGGAATCCTATTTGGAATAAGGGAATTTCCCTTAAAAAAAGGGAAACATTGACAGTATGCCTTGAACTCAAGTTTGTGACCTTGGGCAAGTCACTTGCCATTCAGCCTCACTAGTCTGCCTTCTGCAGACCAGGTAGTGCAGAAGCAAATGTGGGATCAAAGGTAGCAATTGAATGTTTAGCCCCCACCTCTGCCTTGCACTCAGATTGTAGTCTTGGGCTATTCCATTCAATGCCACAAGCCAAAGAGCAGTGATACCATCCCGAAAATATTTTACATAGTTTTCAGCTAAAAGGAATTGTCATTATGCGATGGCTGCATTTATCCCCAAGGATATCGAACTCCTTTGGAAGAAACTTCCAAGATGCTATTATCTGAAGACTGAAATGCTTATTTCTGGACAATTATCAGGTTTCTTTCCTAAGCTTTGGTTACCCCAAACCCCTTATTTATTTTCTTAGACTGTTGACTCTATAACACACACACACACACACACACACACACACAAAATAAGGGCAAAAGCAAAGCTGCTGCAGTGTGTTTATAACCTTTTTGAATCTATAAATATTACAAGCAATAGGACATTGTTTTCATATATTTACATCCTAATCCATGCAAGTTAAATGGGACTTGTTTCCAAGGAAGCAAGCCCAGGACTGAAGGCTTTTGGCAATCACAAGAAAGCAGGCTATGAAAAGGCATAAAAGCTGAAGCTCACTAACCGCAGTTATATTCATTTTTGAGCAAAATCCTTTCAAACGTGCTTAAGACACACAGTTATAAAAACGCAACACAGTACGTGTAAAGATGCATAAGAGGAGAAAACAGACACAGAGGAGAGTTAACAAGAATCAAAGGAAGTACAAGAAAAGAATTGCTTACCCTACAGATGCTTCCTCTGCAACAAACAAGCTCATTTTTCACAGGGCTGGATGGGTAAGCCTACCCACACTCCATTAAATCAATTGTTCATTCTGCAAATTGGCTTAAGGCTGCTCTTGGGCATTTTATACATAGAGATGCAGCTGCCTAGAAATGCATCTGCAAAGTGAGGCAAAAACAAACAACACCACATTCACATACCGATGAGAGAGAAAGAAAGAAAGAAAGAGAGAGAGAGCGCACACCCACGGGATCGCTAATGAATTCTCCGAAAGAACCAGCCTAAATGGCTATTCACTGAAAGGTGTTCAACACAAGATTAACAAGTGGCTAAGAGCCACCCTCTGGTTTTGATTTTTAAAGCTGCAGTTTTTTGATACCACTGCTGGCAACCAGCCATCACTGCAGGCCTCAAAAAGTAGTGGAAAGCTTAAAAGGGGGAAAGAGCCTGCCGGGAAAATTCTTCTAAGCCTGCAGCTCTGCAGCACTCTCGTTCTTTACAATAAGGAAGAGCAAGAACCCTCATCCCATCGCCAGTCTTTCAATGCAAACTCTAAAAAGGAAATGTAAGGAGGTCTATGTGACGAATCACTTAGCCCAGCTCTAATATAGTAAATATTATGACCTGAGTATTCTTGCAAGGTTTGAACATGTGGGCTACTCTTAAAAATAAAACCACACACATACACATACACACAAATATCAAATATGCTCTCACCAGCAGCAACATGGGTAAAACGGGGGAAGAGAATGAAGATAATAAAGCTAAAGAAACGGATTTTCTCAGGTATTTCTCCTGTTTCAGGAACTGACGAAGGGGAAGTTCCATAATCAAAGATCAACAGCATCAACCATCAAAGAAATCTTTATATTTTACATACATTGCAATTTATGGACAACCAGTTGTTTCAGTCTGACATAAACCACAGTCCTTTATATACACAATGTAAATAAGGTATGCTGTGCTAATAAAACGAGTTCCCTTTCCCTTAACAAGCAAAGACACAAACCTACCATATTTTTCGCCCCATAGGGCACACCGCCCCATAGGACACACCTAGTTTTTTTTGGGGGGGGGGAATAAAGGAAAAAAATTATTCCCCCACCAAGTGCGGGGCTGGCGCGGGGGAAGCCTGAGCTTCCCCCGACCCCAGCCCCGAGAACAGCCTGCTATCCGCAAGCCTAGGGAGCCCAGCGCAAAGTCGCGCTGGTCTCCCAAGGGTTGCGCAGAGCTTCCTGAAGCCTGGAGAGCAAGAGGGGTCGGTGTGCACCGACCCCTCTCGCTCTCCAGGCTTCAGCGAAAGCCTGCATTCGCCCCATAGGACGCACACACATTTCCCCTTCATTTTTGGAGGGGAAAAAGTGCGTCCTATAGGGCAAAAAATACGGTAATAAATATATGGTTTTACAATATAAATTACAGTGGAACAGCTTTCCTTTCATATGTTTTACAGTCATGCATTTCATTGCTTAGCTCTGTCTATATTTTAGAATACTCAGCTTTATTCTTCTTGGAAAAATTATCTGTGTAATTTCCCTATTAACTTTTATCTTAACTGCTGTCACACTAAAAGAATTCTGTAGAAGGTTTTAGGAAATGTGAGTTTAGGTTAGTTTCCAACATATTAAATTGCTGTGATTTAATGTTCTATGTGTCTTGCGAGTCAAAGGAAAACAAAACCAAAAAATCCTGTAAAACACTAATGTCTTGTGTATAGATGAAATCTAAAGTTCAGCACTGAGACTTGAAGAAAGTTTCCAAGTTTCAGTAAACTGGTCATAACACACAAGTTTATTTGAAAGTTCTTTTGCTTGTTACATTTGCTGGAAAAGTGGGGAGATAAATAGTTGCCTTTAGGTGGCAAAAAAACCAAAGTCAATGGTAACTTTTTAGAAAATGTTTGACTAACTCAGCCTTGCCCAGTCTGGTGATCTCCAAATGTTGCTGGCCATATTGACTGGGGCTGAGGGGAATTTTAGTCTAAAACATTTTGTTTGGTGACTGCTGCCTATGTCATAATCTCAGAATTCCAAATCTGCCCAGGGTGCCAAAAAAACTTCTGACAACCAGATAGTATATTTTCACAACCTGGTTTAGTCCATAGGAGCCAACTCCTATGGGCTGAGGTCCCATTGCCCTCCATAAAATATTTGAGGGGGCTGTGCCCCTAAGTTGATGGGCATTGCCATTCAAATGGGGTGTGTGTGCTGCATCTTGTGATTAATTATACCTGGGGCCCCCAATATTTTATTCAAGTTGGCACCACTGTATAGAGAGGAATAGGATTCTCTAAAGTTATACCCTCAAACCTGAGTTTTAACCAAGCTTAGCAAGTGTCACAATAGTGTACTTAAACCAGGAAGAGAAGGGTGGGATGCTATTTTCTTTAATCACAAAATAAACTTTCTGTATTCAAACTAAATAAGCTACCAGTGTTTAGGCTAAACATATTTGATAGAATTATTACAAAAGTAACCAAAAGAGAGAAATGTTTGGATATTACATTCAGGGCTATTTTGTTGAGAAAGAAAAAAGTGATGACTTTAGATAAGAATCATGTGGATGTCCCAGCACAATCCTGCGCTGGAATGTTAAGACCATCACATTTTTCTTTCCTCAGTTCTCAAATATATTCAGTAATTATTTTAACCTGAACTTTGCATGGCCTTAAATGTAAAAAGCAAGCACACAGAACAGCTCTACTCAGTGCTATTTGGGTGGTATAATAAATAGGCATGATACTTGAAAATATCAACTAACTTCAAGCTGAGGACAGGAGGAAGTTCCTTGGCAAATAAAATTATATTGCATCATTACATGCTACATTGTGATGAAAGATTAATGACAAATCCAGTCCAGGAGGGATTGTTGTTTGAGGAGTGACACCAGACAATTCTTAAAAATACTCAATTAGGAGATTAAAATGACTGATCCCATTTTGATTCATACCATAGATTCAGGTTCTTTAGTCTGAACAGGTAGAACACAACACACTGCCATTCAGCTATCACTTTAGCTGATTTAAAACTGGTGTTTACTTATTCTTTCAAATTTTCAATCCATTACCTAAACTGATGGACAAATGTATTATAAGAACACAACAAAGGCAAATAGTCTACCTTCATACTTTCTTTTACTGTTCAGAGTAATCTTTGTCTAATCTTGCGAATGCAAGATACAATTAGAATTAAAGGAAAATAAATCAGATGTTAAAGCCATTACCAGCAAGGTTTCCTCAATGACTTGTCACAGGAGCCTTTCTTAAACCTTGACGTGACCTCAAAAAAGATGCTTGGTCTTGATGACAGCACCGTTTCCTTAACACGAGAAGCCTTCACAGTGGTCCTAAGGACACGACTATCACCAACAAGGACTACCATCAAAAGATAAGTCTTACCAGTACTTGTTGCAGGGGTGGGAGCATGTAATTTTCCAGATGTTGATGAACAACAATTCCCACCAGCTCCTACTCTTGGTCATGTTGGCTGAAGCTGATGAGAGTTGGTATGTAACATCTGGAAGCCCACAAGTTTCCCATCCCTGGACTATTGAATGGCCATGTTCAGCCAGTCATATCTCAGCTCATTCAGATAAGATGTACAACAACCTCTTGTCCTTGTGTGCTGCCCACTGATCATCAATGAGTACTAGGCATGATGGCTATGCTTTGCCTCCACAGCTGGAGGCGGTTTGCTTCTGAATGGCAGTTTCTGGAAACCACGAGAGGGGAGAGTGCTCTTGTGCACTGGTTGGCCACTGTGAGAACAGGATGCTGGACAAGATGGACCACTGACCTAATCCAGCAGGCTCTTATGTTCTTAGGGAGTCTTAGATGTACCTACTTCAGGGTTGTTGTGAGGATAAAACTGGGGAAGGGGCGACCTGTGTTCATCACTTTGAGCTCCTTGAAAGAAAAAAATGGGAGGTATGTTTTACATAGGACTAAGTAAAATTTCTTCATTGAGGCTTTAGAATATCCATTTAACTTTTAGATATAAGATTTCAAAGGAACCAAGATGCGGTGCACAATGTCTGAGTTTTAAAGGAGCCAGAACTCTTGCAATATCTATTACAACTGAAACCAATACCCTAAATGAATATTTGTAACAATTGTATCTCCCAAGGCTGAAATATAAAGCAGCAAATAATTTTGCTTTTTTGGCAGATGGCTAAAATACCTCTAGCTCTGAATCTTTGAACTGGAATTCTAGTTTATTCCATGTATCAAAGTCAGTCCGCCAAACACAATAATTAAATGCCTCCAGAATAAAGGAAACTTGCCAGAATTTCCAAGTTCAATTGAAAAATAAGCATCAACTTGCATAGTCAAGATGCAGCAAAAGAAGTTGAACTTTATACCTCAAGTTATAGATGAAAGCAGATGCTAATATTTTTGTTTGTGCTGTCTCCATAGGAACGAAAAGTAACAAAAGATGAAGATTTCCAAAGAACAGTTATCAGGTTTGATTTAGTACCTCCAGTTCACACGTACTAATACTTCCCTTGAGTCACAAATATTGAAATAACGTGAAGAGAAGCAACAAAGACCCATCTTGAAGCCTCCCAGTTATCCCTAATCTGAAATATTACTTCCCTCTTGGGCTGGTCCCAATCTTTTAGATAAAAGTTGGACCATAGTAGTTAATGCCAACTTAAACACAGATACATAGTTATGTCCAGGGGATCTGGACTGAGGGATCTAGCCTTCAATAATACTGATCTCATGGGGAGAATCCCATTCACCTCCCAGTCTCAGGAAGCTGGCCATGCCGGATCTATGTGTATGCAGCTGTTAAGGCACACCTCTGCATTATTTAGGATGAATGCATTGTTGGGCCCAGTAACATATACCCCCCAAAACATTCCTCAGATGAAAATAGGGACATTTCTCACTCTCCTCCCAAACTGTCTCTCCTTGACCCCTCATTTTTTGTCCCTCAACCAGAGCATTTCCACCACCACTATACCAATGGGCCATGGCACCAACACCCTTCATAATCCTGAAAATCCCTTAACCCCGATTTTATTTTATTCATTGGTAGATTTGCCAAAAGAACAACACAAACCAATAAATAAATTTTAGAAAGGGGCAAGTTTTTTCTGGGGGTACGCAGGGGTACGCATACCCTAAATATTTTGTGAATCTAAGTTTTGCCTCATATTTCAATATGAGTAGGAAAATGAGAGTACCCCTAAAAAAAATTTAAGAAAAGAAAGCAGTGTGTGTGTGTGTGTGTGTGTGTGTAAAGACTCTTCCTTTCTTCATGCCCAGGATGTCCCTGCCAACTGCCAGCTTCTCAGAGCCGGTGTGTCACAGCCACTACTGCTGCCATCGCTCAGAACAAGCACCAGCGCATTCTCCACCCCGAGCTCGGTGGGAAAAATAGGGACATTTTGGGATCAGATCAGAAGCTGGGGTGGCTTTCATACTTCCAGGACCTTCCCTGGAAAATAGGGGCACTTGGAGGGTAACATGGCATCAAGAAAAGTTGTCATGTTATTGGCAACCAACTATATGTACCTCCATGCAAATGTGTGCAAAAGAGGACTGGCGGGGAGGGAGAATACCATTCTTAGGTGCTCTCTATATACAGCACCTCTCATCACAGTTTGTCTGCTATAAGACCCAGTTCACACCTTACTGCAAAAAAGAGAACTTCAAATAAATATGAACTAGTTAATACTATGGGTACAGGATCTGACTTCTGCATTATTCTATGATTCTGTGTCTTACAGCAACCCAACTGGTATGCCACCATCTACTTTATTTTCCTCATTCTCCCTCAAGTGGGATGAGAATTGAGCTGCAAATATAGTTGGCAGAAAAAGAATTCTGCTCATCCCAATAGTAAACTGCACCAATGGAATACATATTCCTTACAGTCACAAACCCAAAGCCCAAGTAAAAGGACTACAATTAGCTGTTGTGGTTTTCAAAAAAAGCTAGTAAATTGTAAGTCTTACAATTGTCAAATTACTTAAGAAAACACTGGATGTACCTTGAAGCTTTTTTGGGGGGAGGGGGAAATCCAGCATGGAGGTTTTCTGAGGTTCCCACCTCTATGGTTTGCTATATCAGCTTGTCAGTTCACCTTAAATTTGAAAGTTAACGTAATAGCGACTATACCTCCAAGCCTGATTTGCTGAAGAAATAACAGTTTAGTTGTTTGACCAATCTCACAGAAAGAACATATGCTTTTCTATTAATATTTTATTGCTTATAACACATCAAAGTTGGCTGCCTTCCTACTTTGTCAGCAAGCAACAATTTCCCCCTTTTAAGCTAATTCAAACCACAGGGAGCCAATTAAAAAAAGTGAAGCTTAACACAACTATTTCCTTCTAGTAATCTCTCTAAATTTAGGGTTTATCAGGCCTTATGGGGTCTTCTTTCCAGAGCAATTGGCATTTATTCATTTAACTACCATGTGTATAGCTAAGGGAATGAAACAAGTTCAAACGTTACCACTTGACTTCAAATTGAGAAAGACAGAATTTATTTAAAACACACTTGAGATTTCTTCTGAAAAGTTTTTCTTTTAATACAAGGAAATATGTTACAACATTCCTTCTTCCTTTGTCAAAAAGGGGCTAAATTAGTATTTTGGCAGTCACCAAAGGCTTTTTCCAGTGATATTAAATTTCGCCATGTTACAGGATATGGACACTAAAAGGCTACTGAAGGCTAATGTTGCTGTTATTTTAAAAGAATCCTTAGTTGTTGTTTTTTAAGGCAATGATGTGCTTCAGTGAGGTAATACGAAAACATTTCCCCATTTTTTGTTTTCGTTTTTCAGTGAAAAAAAAGTTGGGAAGGGGGAAACAAAAGCATATACAGTCGTACCTTGGAAGTTGAACAGAATACGTTCCGGAAGTCCGTTCGACTTCCAAAACGTTTGAAAACCAAAGCATGGCTTCTGATTGGCTGCAGGAAGCTCCTGCAGCCAATCGGAAGCCCCGCCGGATGTTTGGCTTCCAAAAATAGTTCGCAAACCAGAACAGTCACTTCAGGGTTTGCAATGTTCAGGAGCCAAAACGTTCGGGAACTAAGCTGTTGGCCTTCCAAGGTACGAATGTATTAAATTCTTAGTAAATCCGGTGAAGTTTCAACTTCTGTTTTTTATTTATCTGATGTTTTTAAAACAAAAAGCACTTTTATCTGTCCTGACCATGCAAAATGAACTCAGTAATCTCAGGAAAGGAATGCAAACAACAGCAATGCACAAGATGGACTGCAAGTCCTGTGTTAAAGCTATCCAAAGCTTCAAAATTTACATGCAATTGCATACTGAAAAACTGCATGCAATTGCAAAATGCATAGAATTATTATTATTATTATTTTGCATTATGTGAGGAATGTAGATCTGCCTCTTTGCCGAGACACTTTCATCTCTGCTTTAATTTTAATTTAGTAGTTTGTGCAGAGAAAGGAGATACAATTGAATACACAATAGCAAAGCGCTTTTTGGCCTGAGGGCCGAAGCTTCCATACCCCTGGGCTAAAGGTTAAAAGATTCTGATAAACCTTCCTAAAATAAGCCAATCACAATCAGAGAACAAAGTACTGTGTTGCATGAACACAAATGTTTATTTGAGCAGCTAACAACCCTTTTTATATAATTCTTTTCCATTTTGTTTGCATTACATTTTCGACTCAGAAATAAAGCAGAATGGAAAATAAAGAAACCCTACAAACATGTGTGTGTATATATATATATATATATATAACTTGGCAAAGAGGAAAGTGGGACATCCAACAATTTAAAAATTGTTCTCTATGGTAGAATTGACTAGATGTCAAAATAAACTGTTTTTAAAAACACCTTCATGTGGTAGCAATTTTATCCAGCAAAAATCCTTACTTGAAGCAAAGAATTCCAAACAACAGAGCTGCATAACAAATTTCCAAATCACCCATGATGTGTAACAGGTGAAAACACATGAGCTGTGTTATTTAGATTTGTTTAAGGGAACCTACAAAATGCTTAGCCTCCAATAATTTGTTCAATATCAGATCTAGTTGGTTATCTTTAGAATAACAATTGGCAGCTAACTGCAATACAGTGGACGCTCAGGTTGTCAATGTGATCCATGTGGGAGGCACATTCACAACCCACAGCACCACGTCTGTGCACATGCGGGTTGCGATTCGGTGTTTCTGCGCATGCGTGACCGCTGAAACTCGGAAGTAACTCGTTCCGGTACTTCCAGGTTTCAGCACATCCGTAACCTGAAAAAACGCAACCTGAAGTGTCTGTAACCCGAGGTTTGACTGTAACGAAACTCTCAGGGCTGCATCGCGCATTACAAAATTTGTTCGTAGAAGGCTGTTTAATGAAGAGAACAATGCTATTGTTGGTATTTCACAGATTGATGCTCACAGCTTCCCTCCCCATGTCCACAACAAAAACAAACAAGCCATCAGCATATGTAGTAATCAGATTATCACATCATTTACAGACTACTCAGACAATATTTTTTTCAGAGGTGCCTTCTGCCTAGGAATTCTGTAAACATGTGAGGAGAGTCAGAATCTACAACACGTGGAAGCTTTCATCAGTGACAGCTATTTTTAGCCACCTATATACAAATCCAAATTGCTGCTAAGAAGGGTAAACAACATAGTAAATTCATGGCTATTTTTAGAAAAAGGTATTTAGCATTGCACTTTGACATATGTATCATCTGACATATATTTAGTACCTTTCACTAGCAATAATCCATTCGCCAAACCCGTGTGCTGGCATTGATATCAGCATGTGACACCAGAGTGATTTAAGGATTCATGCCTCCTACCAAAAAACATTATCATCTATAAATGACAGGCAAGCACCCAATACAACTGGTACATAAAACTCCAAATATATTAATGTACTCTAGATTGCAGTAAGTATCTGTGAACAAGCCCCTTTAAAAACTCTTTCCTTATTTAATATTTATACTGGACAGCTCAGTTGGTTAGAACATGGTGCCAGTAACACCAAGGTCGCAGGTTCGATTCCCATGTGGGACAGCTGCACATTCCTGCATTGCAAAGAACTAGATGATCCTCAGGGTCAATTCCAGCACTACAATTCTTTGATTCTTACAATAAGTACAAAGGGATCTGCTTAGCAGGTGAGAGAGTGGATTTTCATACAGCTATTTAAAATAAAAAATCATATTATGTTTGAGGCCAAAAATAAAGCAAATAAGGCAACTTCTCTCAATACTTAACCACCAAAAGCACTTCAGTCTAGCACAGGGAGGGATTTTAACTGAGCTCAAGATAAGGAAGGAAGGGTTAACTTTCATGGAAAACTCACGCAAATAGGCTTGTGTCTGAATACATCCCCAACTTCTGAGCACAATTAGTGGCTGTGGAATACTGCCTGTGCCAGACTGCTGGAAAGGCGAAATGGATATCCAGGGGGAGGGAAGAAGGGAAGGAGTATCCTGGAAAAAGGCATGGATGACTGAAACTTTCTACAGGAGACCTCTCCACAATGCAACATTTTGTTATAGATCCCAAATGTGCTTATATATTACACACTATGATTTATGGTGTATGTTGTTTGGGATTTCTAAGAAATATTTCAGAACACTGAATATTTCAGTCCCACCATCCATCCAACAGAGATGATATAATACACACACATTTTGTGTGTGTGTTATAAAGTCACACACACCTTAAAACTCACAGGCCATTCAAATTTTACAGGCATGATTAAAAGGAGTATTAGATCACAGCTGACTGGAATGCTGAACTCCAGCTGGACACCAGCCAACTGGGACTCATGGTAACCATTGTGTTTTTAAAGATCCATTTTAAAAGAGTCATTAATATTCTCCTCAGGACTTCAAATGCATGGCAAGTAATCCAACTTGGCAACAAACCTATGGAAGATGGTGTTACTTTCTACTTTCAGCCAACTCACTTTCTTGAGCAGATTTGAAGGGTTAAGGCCCAACACTTGCTTTCATGCATCAGGGCATAACCAGCAAGACTTCATGATGTAAACCCAGGTAAATATTTGTTTTGTATTCTATTTATAAATACTTTAATTACAAATTGGTTTAATGTAGGGTGCACCAAACACTATATAATTTTGATATTCCTTCAACTGTAGCACATTCAAAGTCAGCTGAACCCCAAAATACCTGCCACAAGGTTTTCACATTCAACTTGTTTATCACAGTCTTTTTTACTTTCACAAATACTCTAAGCAGTGTTGGAAACTGAGATATGAAAGCTAGGAGCTAAATGGCACCTTAAGCATAGGTTATGGGCGCAACAATGGAATGTCTAGGCCCACTTTTTTATAACAAGGATACAAAGCAGAAAATGAATGAACTGCAGCTAAAATCTTATATTCATTTTTCACATGGTCTAGTCCTCATCTGAAGACTGAAAAAAAACCCAAAGCCATGCTTCCCCTGCCCGCCCCACTAATATTCTTAAAAGAGGGTCTCTTCTCCAGTCTTCAGAGAGTGGCTGGAAGTGGGGAGGCAGAAAAAGGTCCTCCTTTTCTTCCACTCTGCAGTTTTAATCTGAAACCTTAGGTGCAGTACTGTGTCCAGAGCTCAGAAATGGCTCTCGCTAATGAAATTCCTTGTCGCAAAACGCGCCTAGAACAATGGGAGTTTCGAACACTGGCTTTAAGATAGCAGCCCAAATGCCTCTTCTTAAGCAATGTATATGGATTAGCTTGAAAAATGACCTCTTTACAATTACCGTATAGTGGGAGTAATTTCTACAAGCAGACCAAAGGAGGGGTAACAGCACCAAAGCCAATACTTTTCAGATTTGAAAAAAATAACAACTTGCAATGCTTATGACTGCCTCATGAGTTGTTCTTCAGTGTAGTTTGTAAATTTATCCAGAGAAGGAACCCTCTCTCCCTGCCCAGTTCCCTCCCAGCTGATCATTTACCTGCCCTAGAAGTTATAGCAACAATAGTAATAAATTTCTGGAGGCCTCTCTCCCTGATATCTGGACTCTGGAAATGTTATGACAGTGTTCCAAGAGTGAGAGGCCATTATGCACTCACTTCAACAAAACTAAGTTTTACATCAGCTCTAGAAGATGCTCGAGCAGTGTTTCCCAAACTTGGGTCTCCAGCTGTTTCTGAACCACAACTCCCATCATCCCTAGCCAGCAGGACCAGTGGTCATGGATGATGGGAACTGTAGTCCAAAGACAACTGAAGACCCAAGTTTGAACTCTGAGCTTCAACTCTGGACAACCTGGAGGGAAAGAGACGCCCAAATTTAGAGAATAGTTGTTAAATATGTCTGTCTCTCTGCCGGCACCATTCATATTTAAAACTTGACAGATTCTGGCCCATGTTATTTAACATCTTCTGCATTGAACGGGAAGAATAATTCAAGGTGTTCATTGTCATCTATATGCAGGTGACGTGTAGCACTTTTAAACTTTTCAACCTAATACAAAGGAAGCTGTTGAGGTTCTGAACTGAAACCTGGAGAAATTAATGAGCTGGATGAGCACTAAGAAACTGAAGATGAATCCACAAAAGACACACATGCTCCTGATCAGGAGAGAGATGGCTTTGGAACAAGAATTCTGCCTGGTTTGAATGAGAATGCACACACATAAACACATCTTGAAAAATCAGGTTTGCAGTTTGAAAGTGTTCCTAGACTCAGTTTTCTATCTGGATGACCTGGTGGCAAAAGTGGCCAGTTCCAAGAGAGTCAGACCTGGCTACAATTAAGAAGAAAGAGAGCCTGAGTTAAATCAAGATCAGATTAGTGCAATGTGCTCTAAATGGGGCAACTTTAGAAAAACCTTTAGAAGACACACTTGATCCAGAATGCAGCAGCAAGCTCATCTATAGGACCATGTTACACCTGCAACTTCTGTGCCCACTGCCATTTCTTCCAGACACAACTTTGGCAATTACCTTCAGATAGCTGAATGATTACCCATACCACCCTGTTTGTTCCCTAATATCTGGAGAGGTCCTTTTGTGCCATGTAGCTGTTTTAATGGCTGCATCCATATTGTGGGACATTTTGCTCCATAAAGTGTGGATGTCCCCTCTCAGGCTGTCTTTTGGCAGTAGGGAAAGACATTATTATTTAGATACGTGTTTACTCAAGTATCTGCTATAAATAATCATGGTTTATCAATGCCTTTTATTCATATCATAAAATATCATATCATAAAATATATTGTTGATTCTGAATTACAGTAAGCCACTCTAGTGGGATAGAATTTCTATGGGAGTATCACAAGAGGACTCTGGTGCACCAAGGAGATCAAAATGGAATATATAAGCCATACCTGAGCTACAATTTTTAACAGTGTGTTATGATCAAAAGTGGAGGAGGGGTTTTCCCCCTCCCAGAGTGACTTAGAAACTTTTTTTGTATTCAGAGGATGGCGTGGAGGGTTGTAGTAATATTACTCATGACAAAGGATCCTGCTGAGCAGGGAAGATTAGCTACTCCGGTGGTCCAGAGTGTCCCATTACAACCCACTCAGGGGGGGAAATGGAAATATGTTAGATGCTGTGTGACAACTTAATCTACTACTCCTTACAGTGTACAGACATCTGGCTCAGCCTGTATAGAAATAATTCGACAGAAGCAATAGAGAAGGTAGAAATTATCATCAAACACACACATTTACTATCCTCTGCACTGTCATTTGAATTATTATTAGTTTAAAATGTGACCTCTTAAGTTTTTATCTACACAAGAATTTTATTCTCCATTTGCAGCAATCTCTTTGTGTTATAAATTATCATGAACCAAGCCTTTTTATTTGGATACACGCACAAAGGAAGATAAAAAAAGGAATACAGAGTCTGGACAAATTTGTCTCCTACAGCTGTCCAGGAAGAGATGCTAAAAATGATGGTTTATCCAGATGCCCTGCAAAATCTAGGGGAAGCAGTCTTCAAAATAATGTAAAAAACTTATCTGGCTCACCAGGAGAATACAAATGCCTTGTTAGGTTACTACAGCCCACAAACTAGCCAGCTGTGAAGGAAACAGCCTGGTGACAAACCATACCAGGAAAGCAGGTCAGGATTTCCTGCTGTAATAGAGCCTGCTACTCAAAGAGAAGCTAAAACGAGGGTCAAGCTGCAAAAAGGTTTTCTTGCAAAAGCTATGTCATAAATTGATAATAAGTAGCAGCCTAGAATTGGATTTCCATTCCACAGCATTTTCGATTTTGTGCCAACCTTATACTACCCAAATTACCTTGGTAATCAAATTTTCCATAACCTTTGCACTACAGGTGCAAACATACAGCTTTAGCTTCTGAGTGGCAAGTAATTACTTCCCAAACCCAAGGTTTTTGTATGCAGCCCACAAGCTTCCGTTGAAATGCTGATAAATTCATGGACATTTTTAAAAGGCTCTAGCCCTCACAGATTTGAATATATGAAGGTCGAGTTTCTAATGTGAGGATTAATGCCAACCAGGATGCTTGTGACATATTTAAACAGATGTTATTTCAGATTGCTCCAATTCTCATTCATACACAAAGTCACCAACAATTTTAAAAAGGAAAATATCACTGAATAGAAACACTGGAACTACGTTAGGAACAATCTGGGCTAACGATCTGCATAACAATCTACTCTTGCAAGTTCTAACACACTTCTCTGTTTCACTATGGACTAGCATAGTAGTTGTTCACTAGAGAGTGGGTTTCAAGGCTGTGATTAAGAAACACACAAATAAATTGTTTAATGTATTTGTATCTCTTAATAATGTTTCCATATATTCTTCATGTGTGCACACAAAACAAAACAAAACAAAACAAAACAAAACAAAACAAAACACCATTGCTTTGGTGAAAGAAAATAGACCAGAACATTCATAGGTAATTTTTGTTGACCAAAAGGGCTTGGTGGGAGAGAAGATGAAGAAACTACCTGCCAATTTTTAGTAAAGTAATCACAAGACTCTATTTTCTTTCATTCACTTCTGTTTATTGTTTGTTTACATGCGTATGCAGTGGCAGCTGGTAGCATTTTGACATGGTAGAGCTGCAATGCTTAACCTTGCTTTGTTTAAACTTTAGGAATGTGTGCCAATACACATAGCACAAGTGCTACTGTCTTCTCCTTGCTAAATAATATTAATAATAATTCACCCTAATGTCCCAAAGCAAGTTACAACATTAAAAGACAATTGGAGCTACACTTCTATGCACAGCTACGTGGGAAGAAGCTGGCTGAGGCTGATGGGACATTGAAACGAACCAAGAAGTTCATTAAATCCTACAACCCGTAGCAGCACACAAGATAAGCAAACCAACGCTGTGGAAAATCCTGGCTGCTTTCAGGCTAATCCTTAGCAACTAGTGAATTTACAATATTCAGCAAGCAAGGAAACTAATTGGATATTGATGAGTTTCTATGCTGAAATATTAAATATCAACACGTCATTGAAGCAACTTGAATTGCAAGAGAAAGAAGCTTCACTGCTCATTTTTCTAGAGAGTACAAAAAATAGCTTTTAGAGACTCTTCCCTCATCATAACAGCATCCTCTTCTATTTTTGAAGCACTGTCCGGAGTTCTAAGCTATAACTTCACATGAAGGACAAAGTCCGCAGGGCAATAAAAATCTGAAACACAATTAATTCCTTGTTTGACTATCTTCAGAAAAGAATAAGTGATAGCAGCACAGAACCCCAAACAGATGACTGACATTACCAGATAACAATTAGCTTAGGTTAATGGGTAACAGTTTGTCAGGTTCCTACAAATGTCAATACAGCACATCGATAGCTATAAAACACCCACGGGAATGGTTAATATCACTCTAAGGCAAACTGCCTTATTGAGGAAAAAGATGGACTGGCTGATCAAGTCATTACTACTACTCAGTTCCTGCTTGTGGGTTTCCCATAGGCTTCTGCTTGACCACTGTGAGAACAGGATGTAGGACTAGACGGGCCATTAGCCTGACCCAGCTGGCTCTTCTTATGTTCTAATTATCTTTACCACCCCCCAAACCTAGGAAGCAAAACAACAAACTCCAGATTAACATGGAAAATGCAGAGCTTAGGCCTTACTTTGCTTTGGCTATTTATTGTGTTCAGTTTTACAAAACATGGATCTGAAGTGAATGTTGAAATATCACTACTTGATGTATCATCAAGCGACTTTATTACTATTCAGGCTGCAATCCTGTAGCCACTATAGAAGTCAATAGGACTTAACTTCCAAGTCAATACATACAAGATTACGCAGTCAGTTTAATTTTGCTGTGCAAGTAGACTTATACAGTCGTACCTTGGTTGACGAACGCCTTGTGACTCGAACATTTTGGCTCCCGAATGCCGCAAACCCGGAAGTGAGTGTTCCGATTTGTGAACCTTCTTTGGAACCTGAACATCCGACACAGCTTTCGCAGTTTCCTTCAGCCAATCGGAAGCCGCGCCTTGGTTTCCGAACGTTTTGGAAGTTAAATGGACTTCCGTAATGGATTCCATTCGACTTCCAAGGTACCACTGTACTTACCCAACATTGGCTATCACACATAAAAACTTACCAAGTCACCAAATACCACACACACCATACAGGAACCTAACATGTCCCTAGCCACCCAAACATTGTTTGAATCATCTCTCTCATTTTCCCTCACCACAAACTAACTTTTCAGAAATGAAACATTTTTGCATAATAATGCCTAAAATAAGCAGGAAAGGGGAGAAACACTACATTTGAGAAGATAGTTTCACCAAAAAAGGATTGATATTATATTTCTTACATTATGTATTCTGAGAAAATGAAAGAACAAGTTTTCTTAAGAGAAAAACAATACCGACCTTCATTCCTGGATAAGGTTTCTTTACCCTCTGGTGTTTTATCTGGCATCTCAGCCGAGACCAATTCAGTGAAACCTGAGGGACATAAAGAAAGAAAACTGTTCTCATACCAAAGCCAGCAGGGGAACACTTTTCTGTAAGTTCAGGATACTGTTACAAGCTAATTCACACACATCCTATAAAACACTTCAGCAAAAGGGCAAACAAAGCTAACAAATTGATATATGTGAACACAAAGAATTCGCTGACCCTATCATGTGTCGTTGAGCTTGAGTAAAGTACCAACAGTTTGGGAAAACATTTCCTTTAAAGCAGGAATAGGGAACCTGAGGCCTCCAGACATTGTCTGACTACAACTCCCATCATCCCTGACCAGTCCCAGCACCAGCTGTTGGCCATGTTGGGCACCAGCCCAGGGCCTGACCACTGGCCATGCAGGCTGGGAATGGTGGGAACTGGAGTCCCAAGAACAACAGGAGCTCCACAGATTAGCCATCCTCATTTAAGGAATACACAGGCCCATATAATTGAAAAAGGGTTTTTTGGGGGGGGGTGAGTTAACTTAAAAATTCAACAGAGAAGTCCTGCTAGTGAACACTAGCCAGTGAATCAAATATGAATGAAAATATCTGGCAAACCCTTTAGGGCAGGCATAGGCAAACTCTGGCCCTCCAGATGTTTGGGATTACAATTCCCATCATCCCTCACCACTGGTCCTGTTAGCTAGGGATGATGGGAATTGTAGTCCCAAACATCTGGAGGATCGGAGTTTGCCTACGCCTGCTTTAGGGCCTTGCCTTCAAGTCAAAACAGTAAAATCATTTTTGAAAAATAAAGCACACACCTCCATTCTCTGTTCAGCTAAGTAAGTCCCACCAAGTTCAATAGGAATTGTTCTTGTTTGCACAGCATCAACCTCAAGACATCCAGAGGAATGCCAAGCAGAATAATTTAATCCCAGCCATTTCCCCACTATTTGCTTCACTGTGAAAATATATTATAACCTCGCTTTATCAGATATCAGGGTGATGCACAAAATAAGGCCAAAAATAGTAATGAGACCATAGATAACAACCATAAAGCAGAAGCAAATGTCAGTGCATATCCCTCAGGATCAATTAAACATAATTCTCTCTGGCCACACCACTTAACATTTTGGCAACCACGTTCTGCATTAGCTAAAGCTTCTGGATCTATATCAGGATCTGCTGCCCCTGTGGATCCTGCTGCCTGAGGTGGTCACCTCACCTTGTCTCATGTGTGGGCCAGCCCTGCTTCTGAGTCATCTTCAAGGGCGGCCCCACTTACAATGCACTGCAACAACCCAATTCAGAACATGGACTGCCATGGCCAGTCTATCCCTGTCTGGGAACCACCTGAAGCTGGTAAAAGGCACTCTGAGCCACCAAGGCCACCTGGTCCTCAAGTAGCACAGCTGGAGCAAGTCCAAGTTATGCACCTCCTCTCTCAGAGACAGTGAAACCTGAGACAAGAGAACCACCTGCTCACTGAGTCTCAAACTTAATGGGATTCAACTTCAGCTCTCTGGTCCTCATACTGCCCATACAACTGGAACCCAAACACAGTCAATTTAAGGGGGGAGCAGGGTGCTGCACTATTAAAAATTACCTTTCTCTCTGTTCCACTGATAAGATTCCTTCTGTAAGTAGACAGTCACCAGTAAGAGTTTTGCCTCTGGTACAAGGACATAATTGGTGTCTTCAAGCTAATAACGAAACCTCACCCCAGTCCCAACCAACCAGAAATACTTCATAAATTCAATTACTTAAAATGGATTAATATTTGTTTCATCAACCAAACCACAGAGGAAGGTTTCTATTTCCACACATTTCTGGGAATAAGCCCTACAGAACAAAATGAGACACATAGCATTGTACGGTAAGTGATCATTTTGGATTTTTAGCTGTAGAATGGGAAAAGCCGAGTGAGTACGTTGGGTTTGTGTTTTTTTAACTTAAGTGGCCTATTAAGTATCATGAAACCTTAGAACATCATCTTCACCCTTGCCAACTTCCATGACTAATTTTAGAGAGATGTGAAAACAATGTCAAGTAGCAATTTGCTCAAACTTCAATTAATCTTTCTTTGCTAACAGTACACTACTTGGCCATGAAAGCATCATGTTACAAGAAGCACTCAGTCACAACAGAACTGAAGTGATTTATTTAAAAACCTTCCCTGCTTGTATGCTACCACAAGAATGAGCTGTGCTAGTTAATATCGTATTGGCTAGACACACTTCGGGGCTGCATTGTTGCATTAGTTTTGCTGGTTATACTGCTAGCACTTCTGTCCTGATTTTTAATGTTCCTTTTACACTGCAGGCTGTGTAATTGAACTGTGGCTTTTTGAATGACATACTGCTTTGCTGTGCTAAATTTTAAAGGGCAGAAAATATAAATATTGAAACAATAACAGTGGAATTTGAATTGCTTATTTCCCCCAACTTATGTGGTCCTTAAGCCTAAGGTCCCAAAAGTCTGCGCGGGGGGGGGGGGGGGCACACATGAAAGAGAATGAACTTGAAGATGAATGAGAAATCGTTAGAAGTTCAACACTGATACAGACTTAATTGGCATTTTGTTCACCCAACAATTATGGAAATGGCTTCTACAGGGCCAGCACACCCATGAGGCAGAGTGAAGCAGACGTCTTAGGCAGTGCTTTTTTCTAGAAAAATAGGTGCCGGTATTCACCATGAAGTTGTTAGAGTAAGTGCCACACTGTATAACAACAACAAAAAGAGGTGCCTGTACTGCATACCATTGAGTACCCCCTGAAAAAAACTGACACACCGGTCTGAGGTGGCAGAATTCCCTGAGATGGCACCACTGCAAGCACCCTGCCTGCCCCACCACAGCTAGAGTCGTAATGCAGGCATCAGCACTGATTTCCGCTGGATTTTTGCGAGATCTTGCCAAAATTTCATGACTGTGTCAGAATCTGCCATTAGAGTTGCTTTGTACCGCTACTGCACAACTTAGGGAAGAGAGGCTTTGGTGAAGGCGGCGTGGCACAGGAGCGCCACCATGTCATGGCCGCACCTCTCATTTCACCTCAAGTGTCAAAATGGGATGCACCAGCCCTGGACTTCTAGGTGTAGTTCAAAGATCACTCAACTAATTCAGTGAACTTCGTTAAACCAAACTACTTCATTCCAAGCACTTCACAGAAATATCAAAACCGTGTTTTCATGATTACATATGTTAAGGCATCATATTCTTAACAACTCTTAACTCGATTTGACTGGTTAAGAAAAGAATCCTCCATTATCATGAACACACAAATAATTAGTAGGGACCATGATTAGCATATAATGACGGAGACACTGGTATTTTATACTGAAAGTTTGTTATATGGTTCGTTATATTCTCAGTCTAAATGGGATCTGCCCTGTCTAAAAATACATCTCTAATATCCCTATATTTTCTTCAGACTAAACTACCAAATACAATAGCTATTATGTGTAACACAGGATATGCTTCCCCCTGCCCCCCCTCTACTGATAATTGAGAATGGATGCATATACAAAAACGAACAAATATCCAAATCAAATCTGAGTTCATCACGTCACATGCTGATTTGTAGAGCGGTTATCGACAAGCTGCCTATGAAGTCACATAGCCTTTGTCACTAGAGGGAGTCCTGATCACACAGCATGTTCGGTAAGGCAAAACAAAAGGAATGAAAGGATGAGAAAACTGCCAGAAAAAAAGATTGCAGGCACCTTTGAATGTTTCTACAGATTTCATCATAAGAAATGTTTAAACAAAACATGCCTGTTGAACACACACACAGAGACACACACACACACACTCCCATCAACCAGCATGACTAAAAGTCAGGCGGGATGGAAGTTCTTGCCCAGGAACACCTGCAGGGCCACAGGTGAGTCACACCTGCTGTAAAGGCTGCAGAGACAAGGCAAAACAAACCATTACGTAGCAGACAAGTACAATACAGTAGTCTTTTGGTAGCTTTTTCTTTTTTTCTAAGCAGATAATGGATTCTACAAAATATAGTGGGAAAAGTTCTAAACTCTTTTCCCTGGGGGGTCATTCTGATTGATAGGAGGGAAAGATATTCCACAACAAATAATGGGTGTAATGAATAAAACAGTTTCCAATGTATGTGCATGAAAAATAATTATGTGGGCAGTCCAAATGCATAAGATTTGAATGTTTAGCCAGCCTGACCCATTCCAGTGGCTGTTTCAATTTAAGGTCTCACATTAAATGCAAGGGAGCTTACTGGGAGATGCTGATACACGGAAAAACACTCACTCTGAAGACAATTTAAGACCTGCAGCACACAAACAACTGAACTTTACACAAGGGCAAAATTTTACAACTATAATTTGTATTGGCAAGGAGAGAACGAGGAAATGGGGTAATGTTTGGCTTGGCATTCCTTATGGTTATGTATGAGCAAAAGTCTATTTAAACCTTGCGAGCAAATCATTGTAACATTGCAATGTGGCAATGCTGCTGACTCATTAATTCTACCTAACAACCTAAGGCAGTTAACACTTTTGTTATCCCAATGAAGTCAGCATAAATAGCCTTTTAATAATCTTCCAAGGTTACTTAATGTGCTACCAACCAATGTATACTCAGTACAACCTATTTTCTTTGAACCAAAGCAGAAAGTTTAATTTCAGTTTGCCGAACTTCTAGCATTCAGTCCAGGAGCAGATCTGCAGGTAGAAATATGAAATGCATCCTGGAAGATTATGCTGTGAAACAACCCAGACACTGAAACCAGTAAGTTACTTAGGCCCTCCAGATGTTTTTAGACCCCAGCTTCCATCATCCCCCAACCACTGACCATGCTGACTAAAGTAGATGGGGATTGGAGTCCAACAACATTTGGAGGACCAAAACACCCCTCACCCTGTACGATACAACCTCATATTGTTAAATAAGAAAGTGGAGGTAAAGCTCAGTGGTTCAGTCTGATCTCACCACAATTCCCAGCTCTGCCTGTGTCAGTCAGAAGGCATTTCAAGAAACAATGCCCTCAGCTATTCTCTGCAGTATAATTGCGCAGATACTGATAAAATGAAAGCAAATCAAACAAGGCCTGACGGACAGACAGACTTTTGTTACTGGTGCGCATCCACATTATACAAAGAATAGAATGAGTCATGCCTATTGGGCAAAAAGAGTTTAGGGGATAGATGCCAGAAAGGTCACAGTGCCCTACACCAGCATATTCAGAATAGTATGAAGACTGCTGTGCACCTTCACTGGCTGGCACATGTCAGCTTTCGAACCAAATCGTTACTAAAAACAGTCCTCTTAGAGGAGAAACACTACAGGTTTCTGGTTAAAAAAAGGACTGAAGAACACATACAAACAGCCAGCTACTCAGAAATGCCAGTTTATTTGCATATACACTAATTCACTTAAACATAAGCATGAGTGCACCTTTTTGTGTACACTGCATGAGTGCACTGTCTGGCAGCCAACCACCTGCCCAACCTTTCCTTACCAAATCTGAACATATTATTAAATGGCAAAGCAGGCAGCATTTTAAGTGGCCAATTTAGAACCAGCTTGTTTTTTCTAAGCATTTTAAAGAAAAATAGTGACCCAAAAATTGAGGTTGGACATGTGCACAGTAAGAGTCAACTGCCAAAAAACTTTTTAGGCTGGTATCAACACGGCCAGTTCGAAGCCAGCTCATCAGTACTGAGTACATTTGTCACCCACAGACAGTTAGGAAAGGAAACCTGGCACTTTCATGAATCATTTGAAATGGACTGTTGCATTTATGTCTATTAGCCGGTCTTCCTTTAGCGGCAAATTCTAAAGCCCCACATGCTGCAAATTCTGTAAACCCTTCCTCATTACCAAAAAACGATGCATTTTTAAAGGACCTGTATTGAACTTAGGCCTTTGCCAGCACATGGGCACTCCGAGATTTTTTTCTTCTCAGGTGCTATACAAAAACATAGGGCAAATGTAGTCTAGTAAAAGTTCTTTGACTGCAATACTTCTAACCATGTCTAACTGAACAAAGCTACATACAACGCAGCAATGGGCTATGAACACATTATGTAATGCAATACTGTATTAATAAACAATCCATGTACTCCTGCCAGCGCACTTCAGGGTAGGTCCCCTTTAAAGATGATGACTCATGTGTACAGCTAAAACTAGGTCATCAGGAACAGCAGTCTTGAGCCAAGGAACCAGTTGGGTGAGGGGAACACCACACACACACACACACACACACACACACTATAACCCAAGAGGTGGGAACACATTATGTTGCCAGGAAACACAAATAAGGAAAGGCCTCACTTCATTCAGAATTTCTCACAGACTAGTGAATAGCAAAAGAGCCCAGTATACTTTCTAGCAACATGCACAATATGAATATAATGTAATTGTCCATTTCCTGATGTCTTATCTATATTATGATGGTGATGTTTTTACTTGTGCAGATATTTTATAACTTTGCAGGTCTAGAGTGGGGGGGGGGGGAGAAACATTCTGTTGACTCCGCAAGACTTTGCCAGAGCCCAGGCTTCCATCCATACCAACATGCTTTAGAGGGAAGGTAGCAAAATAGACTGTTGTAACGTACAGAGTTCAGTCTCCACTGCAACTGTGGCTTGCGGATGCCTTTCTGCTGAATCTGCAGATTGCTAAGAGCCACAGTGATGAACTATAATGTGGAAGGTAGCCATTCAGCCAAAAGCTGTCATTTTCCCAAGCTTATCCTATGTAGAAGTCTTTAATCATCTGCTAAGATAAAAGCAAGATCCATTTCCTGAACTTGGCAAGCAAAAAAATGTGAACGTGCTCATTTCAAACCCATTAAATGCAACAATTATAATATTTCAGATTTTCATTTTTTAAAGGCAAAATAAACAAAGTTTTTGCTATCTTTCAGTTCACATATTAAAATTATTTAACAAATATTTTGCACTCCTTGTGGTTCAAGTGAGCTCAGGGGCATATTTTTATAGGCACAACTTGCATATGGAGCATCTGCATATGCTTTTCAAAGTTCCCAGTGCAAGGTCCTTATGTTGTATTGAAGTTCACATCAAGTTTGATGAAACTAAATAATTCAGAGGGGGCCAATTAGAATATGCAAAGCATGAGACTCTTCATCTCAGGGTCGTGGGTTTAAGCCCCACATTGGGCAAAAGATTCCTGCATTGCAGGGGATTGGACTAGATGACCCTGATGGTCCCTTCCAACTCTACAATTTGATGATTCTATAATCCTCCTAAGATGTATAAGTAAATATAGCTCAAGTCATTAGATGGCACAATGCAGGCAGAGGCAGAGCTAGCTGCTCCAGCACCCAGAGCAGCCCACAGGGGTGGGGCTAGCCGCCTGCGGGGGTGTGCCGCCGCCGGGCATCCCGGGGGGTGCACTGGCGGTGGTGTGTGTCCCGGAGGGGGGGTGCCGCCTGCAGCAATGCCACCCCCCTCAGGGATGGCACTCGGGGTGGATCATCCCAACCACCCCCACCTTTCTCCGCTACTGAACACAGGTATGAGCATATATCTTGGCCATGGCATTTGTCATTTTCCATGCAATTGTAAATGGTTGTTGTATTTACTATATGCATGAACATCAGCTGATTCACAACAGCTGTCACCTTAGAAATTTGTGGTCACAAATTTTCAAAGTCCAGTTAGGTACCACAGCTCTCTGCTGCAATCATGTCTATAAGGTTACCAGATTTTTTTCAATGAATCCGGGGACACTTTTCAACTTCAATGGATTTTGTATGGGGACGGATTTGTAAATCCGGGGACTGTCCCCGGGAAATGGGGATGTCTGGTAACCTTATTCTAGAACACTTTGGTGTAGCTTTCCACACAAATGGTCAACAGATGTAATATGTCTCAGGAATAAAACCACTCTTGACTTTTGTACTGTACAGTACTTTCTGCTAAAGAGATTCCTAGTCAGATTAACAACCATCTCTTCTACAGGTCAGAAAATTCCACACACACTCTTCAGAGGTGCAATAGAGGTGAATCATTTACCATGAGATACATGTTTAGAGGATTCTTACAGGTGTTATAGTGCCACAGTCTCCTTTGCCCAGTATTTAATAGCAGTTTTGGAAACCGACACTTAAAATAAGTAGAAAATGGAGTTTGCATTTTCTGTGGAAATTCCACCGTTGCTGGCGCAATCTTAAAAGCAAAACAAAGCCTAAACAAACAACAGCTTTGGCAATAGTGACATTCCTTTGATTAGGCTGAATGCTCAACTCCTTCAAAATAAAAACTATTAGAAAAATATTTATTTTTACAAAGGGTCAAAGGAAAAATATAATTTTTCTAGAGGGAAGCCAGATGTTTAGTTTCTCCTCCTCCAAAAGCGATACTTTTGCTGATAAATAGCATTTAGTCACTGTTTTTAAAAAGGTTCGTGTTTCATTTCCCCTACTTTAAAGGTCCACATCACAACATTTAAGCCAAGTATTCCATGCATGTTGAAATCGTTCCATGTACTTTTGTGGGAGAAACAGAGACAAGAAGCATTTTCCTAGTACAAGTATAGATGTTAAGGCATTCAGATATAAAATGCTGCTGCTCAACAAGTCATTATTAATTTCAGTAGCTAGTAGTACTACCTGGTTGGTACTTGTTTACATCAGCAGCCCAGTATATGCTTTGGTATACTTGTACAGGTTCTAGGTTACCCCACTCATCTCAGTAGAGGTAGCAGCTCTGCTTATTCTATTCTAATGAACAACAAAGACCTTGGAAGTGAGGGGGACTTTGTGGGTGCACATCTAAGACCCTGCAAAGGGTTTGGTAGAGATGCCAATAATTGCCTGTGATTTGGAGTTGTGCGTACCCTGTTTTTGTGAAAAAGTGTCCCAGAAAATGCAGCAGAAAAACATTAAGAGAGCTAGAAGATAAACATGAAACTTCTGGGTCTTGTGGGTACTGAAACATGATAGATCTTAAAGGGGAAGAGGAAGAGACATTTTCTGCAGAAAAAAAGAACACCTCCTTGGTTCTCCTAAGTCTGTATTTCACTTTGTAACACACATGCTTTTCAATGAGGAATGCAACCCATATCGCACAGTGAAGCTTAGCCTATATGGTTTTTATATGTGCTTCAAGAACAGAACAGTATATGATTTTAAAGTCAATCAGTTCTTGTTTAAGCACTTGTGGATCCAGTCACCAATTTGAGGATTTAAAAATGCACACTCAGGTCATATCCACACCAGAGATTTAAAGCACATGACTTCCCCCAAAGAAGCATGGGAACTGTTGTTAAGGAGGCTGGTAATTGTATCTCTCTGAGGGATAAACTACAGTTCCCAGGATTCTTTGGGGGAAGCCATGTGCTTTAAATCTCTGGTGCGGCTATTACCTCACACTCAAAACATGAATGCACAAGAAATATTCAGATCTGCATGGCAATTCAAACCACTCCATGGATATTTGTGGATAGCCAAAGATGCAGGAAGAGCTTTTGTGTGTGGACAATTTATTTTGTATATATATATATTTATACTGCGTCAGACCAACACGGCTACCTACCTGAACCTATCCCTAGATCAGGTGGAGAGTTAGGAGAAAGCGCTATTAAAAGATTAATCCTGTCCTACAGAAATTTGCTTTTAAAAAGCTTCACACATTTACAGTGGTACCTCGGGTTAAGTATTTAATTCGTTCCAGAGGTCTGTTCTTAACCTGAAACTGTTCTTAACCTGAAGCACCACTTTAGCTAATGGGGTCTCCTGCTGCCACCGTGCCGCCGGAGCACGATTTCTGTTCTCATCCTGAAGCAAAGTTCTTAACCCGAAGTACTATTTCTGAGTTAGCGGAGTCTGTAACCTGAAGCGTATGTAACCTGAGGTACCACTGTAATTTAACTCAAATGCAAAAAGCATTTCTTAAGGCACACAAAATGCTGCTACTACTAATAGAGAGCAGGCAGTTACTGAATCAAACTACGAAAAGCAGGTTACACTGTTTCTATACATGCATAAAACTGCTACGTTCAAAGGGGGCAGGAAAACTTGTAAGGAAGTTAATTTTGAAAGCTATCTTGTGCACATGAACATAAACACACAATAGGCAAAAATAAAAATATACTTGATGAGATGAACACAATGGAATGTTAGATGCCCTTGTCCAGCTGGATCTCAATTCTGTTGGTTTAACCTGCACTGTTTGGCTGGCGCCATAAACAATATTTAGATATAACTTCATGCTTCCCAACAGATGCTACTTTCCATTTGACTATTTTCAGTTAAGGAAGTGCAAGGAAGATTATAAAAATCAATAAAGAACTTATGCAAGTTTATACATAAGGCAAGCAAGTCATGCTCAGTGCACATCTAGACAAATTTACAAATATCCCTAATGTTGTGGATTAGGCTGCAATCCTTACCCCACTTTCCAGTGAGTAAGTAGGATTTAAGTCTGAACAGACATTGCTAGGACTCTGCATCAAAGGCTTTTGAAGAAGAAGAGAAGTACAATTACTGCACAGAACTACAACTCAAAAATGCAGACTATGCAACTGTAACTCCAGAAGATGCTTTCAGTGATCCACATGATACAATATACAATTTTGTGACTAGCTTGAGGGAAATGGGGATGGGGTTAAGTAATTTATGACTGTAGCCATATCTGTAACTGTTATAACAAAGCAAACATATGCCTCCATTTCACCTTTGCTGTGTGGGTAGGGGGATATTGAAGACAGCTTCACCAGCATACAGGATACTTAACACAAAACAACAGATGTGCAATAATCACAAATGTCCATTCATTTCCTTTATGTCAGCAAATACAAGCAGCTGCTAATTAAGAATCTCTATCTATTGGATACAAAAGGAAGTTTACACATTTCCCTGGTCATTTTGAAATAGAAGATGTAGACAATAGAAAATGTCACAGGAAGAGAGCAATCTGCTTCCCTGCAACAACCATGTCTTAGTGAAGTTATCTTTTTCCTTAAAACTGTTTTACACTGACTAAGAAAGAACAACTACAATAAAATACTAACTGCAAAAATGTAGGATAAGAACAGTTAGGAGCTGTACAATTCCGTCTTGCCTTCCTAGAACTATGTGGGGTTCCCAGAAGGTCTCCCACACAGACAATGGCAGGATTCCAGATCTGCTTAGCTTCAACAAGGTGACTGCATTGTATCTTCACAGACCATGGCAATAGATTTCAGCTCAGGGGTTGGAATTCTAAGCTCCTGAAAAGAGCAGGTGGCTGTTGGATGCTGTGGACCATAGTTGGAGGCCTCCTCAGAGAGGCTCCAAGTTCTACCATGGTTGCTGATCTGCCTCGTGTCCTAAGGTCAAAAAGTGGGTGTTCCAGGGGAATGACAGGGAGGATTAGGGGATGCTTTGGATCTGCTGAATCCATAGGCCCCTCATCCCCCAAGCATGCTTATGGAATAGGCGATGGGGGGCTACGCCAGCCTCGGAGCTGGTGTGGCTATTTTCCCTGCCACTGGAACAAAAAAATTAAAATTAACCCAACATTTAAAAGAGGAACTAGCAACAAAAAGGCAAGGGGCTAGAAAAAGCCACATATAGACACCAATTCTGTCCTGGCCCCAGCAGGGCTTTGGAACTGACAGCCCATTGGGTCAGACTCCTTTCCATTCCCCAACCTCTGAAGGACTGCTGTATCCAAAACTTCAATAATTTCCCACAGAAATAAAGTGAGACTTAAGGTGTTGGCCTTTCTGTTTGTACTCAGCAGCTGGCTGCGATCCAGATATATGGCATGTCCTGTGGTCTATTTTGCCTTTTCTTTTCTTTTTAACTAGTATGTCAGGCTATGGCATGTCAAGCTATGCCCTACTACAAAAGCCTATTGAACTAATAGTTTTTTAAAAAACAACAACAACAACAGTGGGCACTTCAGTTTAGGAATCCAACAGCTTATGAAGCTCTGGCCCATTTTGGGCCAGGGCAGCCAAGACCTTCTCAGAATATACACACTGTATATACACACCATAGCTATATTTTTAATAATCCGTTTTCTACTTCTAAACCACTTAGGGAGCCATTTTGGCAAGCAAGTGCTTTACTAATTAGAAGAATAAAATCAGAAAGGCTTAATTAACCACAGTTTCCCATTTCTCCAAACCAGGAAACTATAACCACCAGCTTCAGAACAAACCATGATCTTAAGCCACAGTTTGAAATTTTAAGATTCTGGCTTGTTTCAAAGTTGGTCACCATAGTCATCTTGTTCAGCAGAAATGGGAAACCACAATTTATTTCTTGTATTATTGAAGTGCACCATGAAGAGAACAGCAAAGGGTTTGGGTGCATGGGCAAAGGGTTTGATGTTTATGTCAGTTTAACAAGCCATGGATACAAGAATCCGATTGCTTCTGTCAGCATCAGTTGCTGACAATTGCTTCTATCAGAAGATAGTTGGAATGACCCAACATTAGGAACCCCAAAACTGAGTAGTGTTTGCCTCTGTGGAGCTATGTATTATTTTCCAAAGCAAATATTCACTTACAAAGGCAGTCATGATTTCTTTCGTCCATATTTGGTACAAGAAAAATATAATTTTAAAACCCACCAGAATTCTAGTTTGGCATGTTTTCTAACAGGAATTTGACTGAATAATTGTGCCTAATATTGTAGCTCTACTCATAATTACAATTCAAATTAAAACCACTGAAAGATCTGTAACAACCACAGAGAAAAATCCATTTTACTCAAAATGCAACTGATTTTTTATTTACTTCCACAGAAAGAAGCCAGATTTATTTATTTATTTTTAAAAAGGGCAATTTAAGGTTGGTAGTAAATGCTTTGCCACAAGCACTCTTTAACATTTCCAGCTATTTTGGGGGGCGGTGCTTTTCAGCAGAAAGCTACTGGTTTTCCAGCATATTATTAATTCAGTTATGCAGAGATGCCCATCACTTACCAAAGAAAAGCAAAAAGCCTATTTTTTATATAAATATTTCATTTTGAGAACGCATGTGTCTGTTTTGTCCAATATATGCATGTTAATCAATGCTATACATAATTTACTGAAGCTTTTCTAACTCAGTTCTAAAGTCAATAGGGGTGAGGCAACTGGTGTTGCCCCCGAAATCAACAGAAGAGAAATTTATTATTGCAGGCAACTCCCAGTTTACATTCTAAGGCATCCGCATTTAAGTGAAATCGCATATATTTGAAACACTATTGAAAAAGTCTGCAAACACCCTGTTCTGCCCTTGCCCCACCCCTTTTTGTGGCATTTTCAGGCTACTTCCAGGTTTGGCGTGATGCATGTGTGTGCAGTCACACACATATCAGACACCCCCAAAATAGTTGCTGCCTGTACAAGTCTGTGTCTGGTATAAAGTTGTGACATCAATCGGGATGTAGCTTTGAAATGAAGGAGTACTGGAAATGGAGAAAGTGTGCAACTCCACTGTCCACTCACATCTGTTAGGAGCGGTCTAAGGCTTCTTAAGGCACAATGCGCGCGCGCGCACACACACACACACTCACCATCAACCCAAACATTATGGGACTCCCTACTAAGTTGTCTGTTAAACCTGAGATTACTAATTTCAAGCTCCACACAGGAATTATATTTAAAGATTATATTTAGCTCTATGGTATGGCTGTAAAACACAGGATTCCCCCATGTCTACTGCTCTGGAATTTTGTATAAGGGGTAGTCTATAAGGAAAAGTAAATAAATAAATATGGAAAGCACAGTTCCCATCAGCCATAACCAGGCTGTAATTAAAATACACTTCCTGAGAAATTACAAATATTGGTTTGGATCCAGAGAAGGGCTCCTTTCATTTCTACAAGAAGTTGTGACTCAGTAGAAGCTGCTACTCATGTATGGGGGGGAAGAAGCTGAGTTTTAACCAATTCCCTCTTCCCCAGCAGTCCCCAGCACCATCTCCCATGCTCTTACAAAGGGTCCTTCAATCTTCTGGAGAAGGTTTTCAGAGACTGCAGGGGAAATCAGCAAAAACCACTTCCTTGCCCCTTTCTTTGAGCTGAACTGTGCTCATGTGAACTGCGGACCCATAATGCTTAAGGGTACGCAGCAGCAACCTTAGATGGTAAAGTAAAATACTGTCAAATAATTAGCATAAAAACAACAAGTTGTAAATGTATTTAATTTACACCACACAGTAGTAAAATAAAGTGGTTGGAGAGATGTGGATATTATTAAGTGTATTATTTCTGCAGAACTCCTAGTTAAAGGTTTCAGAACTTCCTTGAAATGTGTGATTAATTACAATGATAATCCTTCTCATCCAAAGGATAGTACGACTCCACTAATTCTCACCAGATGTAAGTTATGGAAGGCATTAATTTAACTTCTGCACCACCAAAAATCTGGGAATGAAAATGCTTATAACTAAGGCTGTAAACATAGTTGAATTCTCACTTTCATTATTAAAACCATTATGACAGACTTAAAAAAGAACCTGCAACGCCATGATATATTTTAGTTCTCAACACATTTTTAAGTCATGAGAAGGCCTAATGGCAAATAAGTTACAGCCAGGGTTCGAAATTAGCAGGGTGCCAGGCACATTTTGCACCTAAAGATTCTCCATTTGTGAAAAGTCCAAAAATCTGGGTGCCATTTTTTTGCGCCTGGCTGACACTCAAGAATTACTGAAATGAATGTGCTTTGAAGCCTTAACAATAAAGTGTACAGTGTTTTGAAAACTGAAGTATGGTACCAATATTTTTATTATAAACACCAAATTAAACATGTATTAACAATTTCTGGGGGAAAATGTGATATTAACAATGTGTCTCTAATGTGAATTGCATATTAATTCATGCTTATCAAAATAATAAATAAAAAGTGATGACCCCACCCCCCACAAATGGTGGCTAGACATTCTGTTTTGGCGCCTACAACCCAGATTCCAGGAGCCACTTGGCTCCTAGATTTTCTGTCCCAGTTTCTAACACTGGTTACAGCTTCTGCTGAAGAACAGGTTCCAACTATAAGAACAGCTAATAAGGGGGAAAGAGGCGGTTTATGCCCATATGTCTTCCACTGGAATAGCTGTAAGAAGGTCATATGAAGGACAGATTAAGATGGAATGTAGGTGCTCCCCTAGAAATGCTGCTGTACAGTGGTACCTCGGGTTACAGACGCTTCAGGTTACAGACTCCGCTAATCCAGAAATAGTACCTTGGGTTAAGAACTTTGCTTCAGGATGAGAACAGAAATAGTGCGGTGGCGGCACGGCAGCAGCGGGAGTCCCCATTAGTTCAAGTGGTACCTCAGGTTAAGAAGAGTTTCAGGTTAAGAACGGACCTCCGGAACAAATTAAGTTCTTAACCAGAGGTATCACTGTAATCCAAGAGAGGATTATACATCTACCATCACAACTACACTTAGGCCTGGTTTGGAAGTGACACCAAACCATGGTTTGACTCACTGCTATGGATATGAGTAGCAGCAAGTCTCAGCAGTTCTAAGGATACTGGAAGCGTCCACCTTTAAACTAAAGTTTCTCATTATGTCCAACCTGGAGGAACTCTGGTAAAAACTATGCTTTGTTTAAAAGCCAGAAGCTCAAGCCACTGATCCTGGCTTATTTCACAGGTGTGCTGAATGAGGAGTACATGAAGCACATAATACTAAACCATGGCTTAGATTTATATATGAAAAAGGACCACTCTATTCAGGGGAAGGAACTTCTACAAATTTATTTCTGAGCAAATGTGTAGAACAATGGGCTTTGAACAATGGGGTAGTGGGAAAAATCTGGCAATGACAACATTTTCTTCTTGTAGGAAAAAAGTGAGCTTTGACAGAAAAACATGTGAGAGCAAGATCTAGGGGTTCTGATATAAAACTATTTGGCAATTGGCATTGACATCTCAAGCTCCTTGACAACTGTGAACCTAACAGAACACAGTTTGAAGATACCTATACAAATGGTGTGTGATATCCTACCAACTAAACAAGATATATAATTTGGTTAAAGATGCTTGTTGAAGACATGGGGAACATGGTGCCAACTTAATTAATCTCTTCCAATAATGCAAAAACATTAAGAAATTTTTGAACATAATCTGGTTCCAATTATGGAATGAAAGATCCCAGAAGACCCTTTGATGAACTATTTGGAGAGGATTGTCAAAAATAAGCTATTGAAATATTTTATTAAAATCAGCAATAAAATATATAGTCCATTGTGGGAGCTATGTATGCTATTTTTTTTAGCTTTTTTAGTTGGAGAGGCAGAAGAGAGATCTGGAGCTAATCGCAGATCACTATATTTCCAACCCATTAAAACAAAAGAGGCTTCCCCTTTCCTAAATTAGGCAAATTCTCTAATATGCAGTTACTTACCCCATATGGATTTGCATGTATATGTGCAGGTTAACTCAGTTTGTGGCTCATGGGTTTTAATACTGAGGAGAAGGGGGACTCTTGTAAATATAAATGTGAATTTGATTTGTCCCTGAGCCACAGCGTTTGTAACTTGGCTCTGACTGATTCTAGTAAAAAACAAAAGTAGATCCAAAGCCTGAACATGCCCAACGTAATGCATTGAGATGGTTATTTCCTGCATTTAGCTGTTTCCTAGGGCCACAATATCTACAGGAAGCATCAGTACTTGAACTAGGATCCCAAGAGAGATGTAGATATAGAGGTTCTCATTAGTCACAAAGGGCTGCCTTTAAAAGAAAGGCTTCACGTGCGTTTTGAACCCCATATACCACATTGCCAAAATAACATAGTTTCTTTTAAAGGCAGCAACTTTTAAGAAACAAGACTCTAGTGTTTCCTGCCCCCCTTCAGTCTTCCAAGTCACTTTTCAAGGTAAGGCCCTGGATAAAGAAAAAACGTTTTTAGTAGAACACTAAAAGGTGTGTTCATATACTTGGAGTGGAAACTCTGTGCATCCAGCTGCAATTGATTTCCTGCATGGCAAAATACTGCAGGCATTTTACTAGATGGGAACATTACAAAGGCTTCCTACACATCACTAGGTTTTCAAACCAGGAAGGTATTCCCACATGGCCATTCCTTTGTCAGAATAAACAGCCTCTACTGATCTTTCACTGTATATGGTTTGCTTCTTCCCAAACCATAAAAAAGTGGTTTCAAAACACCCAATGACATGAAATATTCTCCTCTTTTGAAGGAAACAGTAAATTACAGTATTTAGGTATTTCTTCTTTCCTCTCACCAGAAAGCTATACAACACCTAGCAACAACACATCCTTTCATACTTCTTTAAAAAAAAGACCTAGCCAAAACCATCAACGCTACAGCAAAAGCAAGCCATGGGAGAATTTCAATGAAACACACTATTAAGACTTTCTGGAGTATTTATACTTCTAATTTCATACATGGGGGGGAAACTCTCTGTACATGTATATAGTGAAGAAGGACAATTCTCCAGGAAAGAAAGAGAGCATAAGGTGAACCCAGCACCAATGGTGCCCATGCCTCTGGGAAGTACACAAGCAAGTTATCTATGCACGGTCCTCCTTCCTTTTTTGCAATAAGCAGGAAAACTTTCTGAGACCTTTAGAAATTCCCTTCTCCAAGGTGCCTCCTTGAATGGAATGGGCCATCTGTGCCTCAGCTTTTCTCCATGAGCTTTGCTACCACTGAGAATGTAGCATACTCACTCACAGTATTTAATTCACATTTACAATTTGGAATTTATAGCTATATACTTTCACAAAAGGCATTAGTCAATCTGAAAGCACAGGAACTGGCAGTGTGTATTATCTGGGAGCTGAAGATCAATACTAGAATTTAAAGTGGACGAGAAGCCCAATACCAGTGTCTAGATGTCTTTTTTTTAAAAAAGAACTTATAAACAAAAAATAAATTTAAACACAAGAGACAGAGCTGTTTAAAATATAAGTTGGCAAATGGTTATCTGGTAACGTCCAAGTAGTCAATGCAGAACTTTTGGCATCTCATGCTTCACTCGCAAAGAACCAGAGATGTGAAAAAATAAATTCTACTGTCAAACATGTGGCAATTCAAATCTTTTATTTCTTGGCTGCTAGCAATCATGTTACTTCCTAAAGAAAAGGGTGTTCAAAAGGTTCAGCAGCCCAGTTCCCAAGCTGACCTAGAGTTAAAGGCCCCACTGAAAAGAACGGGGCTTACAACAGTGGGATGTGTTCATGACGCCAACAGCAAGTTCAAGTTGAAGCACAAGGCAGAGTTCACACTAACGCATCCTCAATCAAAGGCATATGTTGCACTCCTCCTATTGTGGCAATGAGGGCCAAAACTGTGGACTGTACATTTCATGTTTGCCAAAAGGAATGTACATTTTTTAAAAACTTCATCAGAAGTCATTCAATCCCAGACTGCCATAATTTCCTCCCTTCATGACCTAAAAAGTAATCAAGCCAAGACCTCCCAAAAAACCATCATATGTTTTCTGAATCCTAGCCAATTTACAATATCTTCCTGAATCCGAAACCTCTCCTAACAGATGTGATGTCAGTGTATCAAATCAGCATTCCAATCTAGTTTCTGGCTATAGTATACCAATATAAAACTGTTTCAACATTTGGTTTCGATTGAACAATTGAAGCAAGCCTGTAATGAGCTCTGAAGTACAACATCGTCTCCCCGTTTACCAATAAAATATGCATTCACTGAAGCTTTTGTCATGAATTAAAATTGGCAAAAAGGGACATATCCAAAAGATACAGCTACATTCATTTGCAATAAGAATTACTTGAAAACGGCAGCTATTAATGGTATAGCTGTCAACGGTTTCCATTAATGACTTTTTCCCTGCGGCAAGCCAGAGAAGCGTGGCTCAAAAGGCAAAGTATATTGCTTTTGCTTACAATGGGACACTAGGATTTCCCAGGTTAGGGGTGGGTAGAAGCACTTTGTGGTGATTCTACCTTACTTGGGTGGTCATTTCCAGAGGGTGATGCTTGGGGAGTGCTCTTTGGCCCCATGGAACCTTCAATGTGGGGTTCCTCAGCATTCGATTTTATCCCTCATGTTATTTAACATCTACATGAAACCTCTGAGTTCATCCAGAGTTTTGGAGTCCATGGTCAGCAATTTGTTGAGGACACACAGCTCTACTTCTCCTTTACATATGCAGGTGTTGAAGTGGATGTGCTGGACCATTGTCTTGCCTCAGTAATGGACTGGATGAGAGCCAATGAACTGAAGCTCAATCCTCCACCTTAGGGTAGTTCCCTAAACCAGATGGATGGGAGGTTGCCTGCTTTGATGGGGTTACACTCCCTCTGAAGGAGCGGGTGGTGCACAGCTTGAAGGCACTTCTGGATCCATTGCTGTTACTTGAAGCTCAGGTGGCACCTTGGTGGCACAGAGTGCTTTCCATTAGCTTTGGCTGGTGGCCCAGTTGCGCCCCTATCTGGATAGGGATAGCATAACTTCTGTTGTCTATCCTCTGGTAACCTCTAGGTTAGATTACTGCAATGCATTGTATGTGGGGGCTGCCTCTGAAGATGGTTCAGAAACTTCAACTGGTGCAGAATTCCGTGGCCAGGTTGCGATGATTTGAGCATGTGGTGGCAATCCTGGCCCAATTGCACTGGCTGCCAATTAGTTTCTGGGCCCAATTCAAAGTGCTGTGTTTGATCTATAAAGCCTCAACCTGCTCACAGCTGTAGTACTCCAAGGACTACAACTCTCCATATGAACCACCTCAAGACCCTGTGATCATCATCCAACACTGTTCTACGTGTGCCTCCTCCACGAGAGGTCTGGAGGGCAGCAACATGAGAGCAGGCTTTTCTGTGCTGGTTCTCCACTTGTGGAAGGCTTTCCCAAGGGAGGTCTGCCTGGCATCTTCATTACATATATTTAGGCACCAGGCAAAAAATGTCCTCCGTTGGACCTAGTGGCTGCTTGAGTTTGGACTCACTATAAAAGTCAGCTTCATAGGTCATGATTCCACAAAAACCATAATTCCCTTGCCCAATTCCATTTTTGGAAAGCATTCAGGAAACTTCCACAAGGCCCAATAAAACTTAGCAGGTTGCACATACTGAAAACCACTTCTGCATGTAGGGAGATGTCATGCATTTTTAGTTTTATTTAGAACTTTCAGGTCAGGGCTTCTCAGATAAAAGCAGGGTTCCTCCATGCTAAGCAAAAGAAAATAGTAAAGCCAACTTTCTTCCAGCAGTGTCTGGCTGAGATTCTCTGGAAGCATCATTAAAATAAACAGAACCATGTGAAACAGCCATGTATTAAATTACTTTTTATATATGTCTTGTTGACTTCAAAGCAGTCTGCACAACAGAAAAATACAATTATGAGTGTAAAGATGCTAGCAATATTGACAGAGAACCAACCTATCCATCTCAGAACCTGCATTTTTCATATGCCTTCAAAGGTAAGTGATCAGAATTAAACTTTTAACTTAATAGTTCTAAAATACTATATGATTCTCCTGAAGATTCAAAGTTAATCTCCTGCCTGAAGTCAGAGGCTTCAAATGGATATGGCAGGCCTGCAACCTATGTGAGGGTTATGTTCTGGGGATGGCACCTGAAGCCAAAATTGTATACAGTCAAAACCCATTGGGTTCAATGGAGAGTGGGATTTCCAAAGTCATTTTTCCTGAGACCCTGCCCCCCTTTTAAATTTTTTTTATTGCCATACACATCAAGTTAAATGCACATAAGTTATGGGCTTACTTAGGGTTGCCATACGTCCAGAATTTCCCGGACATATCTGGAATACTGCAGTTGGAAGCAGAAGTTGTAAAAATGACCAGGAAAATCTGGACATATGACAACCCATGCTGCCAATGTCATTTTTGGTGAATTTTCTTAGCGATAGTTCAAAAACTTCTCTTTTTTGTGAATTTGCAACTTTTCTCTCTGGATTTTCACTGTTTGAAATATGGCAACCCTAGCTTACTGCATACACATTCAGAAAAGGTGCATGGCATAGCCTTCCAAGGACTATACCACCAAAATCTGAATTGTGGAATCACTTGTGCATGACTATTCCATCACATAAATAGCAATGTACAGTAAACTAACACATCTGAAGAAGGTAAACTAGACTTGTTTCCTAGTATGCTACTTTTGCAAGGAATATTCATTCGTATATTCCCAATCATACTCCAATGTGGCATCAATCCAGATGGATTGTACGGTTTTCCTTTTCCGACTCTATCAAGATCAGGCCACAGGGACAATACACATAACCACGTTTTAGGGTTATAATTGGCTTATCGTGCTTCTTTGGTGAATTATGATTAAAGGAGCCATCCTAGCGTTAAATCAGCATTCATGCTTAAGGTAGTGCACCATGACAGCTGCCTCACTGCCATCACATTTCAAATCTCAGCTTGCAACAAGGGAGTTACTCAAAATAAACTCAGACTGTGGTTGTATGAATTGGCTCCTAAAATTAAGACAAAGATAAAATTTTCCATGCAGACCTTCCAGCTTTCAAAATCTGTTTAGACATCCATAAGAACAAATATTTGTGCTATGTGTAGATGCTGGTATAGTATATGAATATATATAATTCACACACAGAAAGACACATACAATGTAAAAAATATTCTAGTACTTCTTTACCTGTCAAGCTAACTGAACATATGGTGCCATATTAATTTAGGACTACTGGGTGTCAGGGAAAAAATTTAAAATGTAAATTGTAAAGTTTAAAGGCAGCCCTATACTTCGCCTTTCCAAACACAATTACTTATATATCCCATAGCTGCTATTTCCAGATTTAGCTTTACTACAAGCAAACAGGATTCCATTATAAATTTAGCTAGAGGCCAGGACCACAAGCAGTTGTAGAAATTTGAACCACAAGCCTTAATCAGTAAAGGCTGTTCGCTCTGAAAAAGGAAGGAAGGCATTAGATGAAGACTTCTTCTAACACTGCTATTTTATTCTAAAATGTTATATTTTCAATTATTATTTTGATCACATTTATAAATATAGATTTCTATTTATTATTATTATAAAAACTGAGCAAAACAGCATTCATGGGAAGAGCTGAGTAGAGCAACTAGGCCTCTATTGCTACTGAAAGACATCAGTTTGAATCTTAACTTCCACTAATGGAACAGAGTTCATAGCTGAGGAATGGGGCTTTCCTGCTTCCAATTCCAATTCCCCTCTGCAGTGCCTTGTGTTTTCACCAAAAAATAATCCTGGGATTGGGACAGTGCTGGGAATGGAATGGAAGCTGCAGGCAGAGGGATAACTGTGAGTAGTCAATGGAAAAGCAACTAACACTCCAATCCTTTGCAAATATTGAGTTGAGCTGCTGTCCGTCTGTCTCAGGAAACAATGGAGGACTGCACCTTTGAGGCTAAAGTCAAACTGTTGGAGAGTCACAGTGCCTGTGGTTGGCTGTCGAGTCCAACATGGGAGAGACATGTTTTGTTGCAGCTGAGGCAGATGAAGGTGTCCGGTTGTGCTGATGCAGGTGTACCACGGCATTTCTTCTTTCTGGCTTCCTCCCAGTGGTCATTCCTCTTCTGGTCACTGCTGTCTCCAGGCACTGAGGTCATCTGCCCCTCATTTGGTGGCGTTAATGTTGCCAGCCTTCATGTCACATTTGGAGACATCTTTGTAACAAAGAGTTGGTCTGCCAACAGGCCTGGTACCTTAAGCTAGATCCTCATATAGCACTGTTGATGGTTTTAGTCTAACACTGTTTTAACTGAGCTTTATTTTATTTCTTGGTTCTACTTTTTACCCTCTATAGTTTCAACTATTTGTTGTTGTTTTGTTGTTGTTGTTGTTGTTTAGTCGTTTAGTTGTGTCCGACTCTTCGTGACCCCATGGACCAGAGCACGCCACGCACTTCTGTCTTCCACTGCCTCCCGCAGTTTGGTCAGACTCATGTTTGTAGCTTCGAAGACACTATCCAACCATCTCGTCCTCTGTCGTTCCCTTCTCCTTGTGCCCTCCATCTTTCCCAACATCAGGGTCTTTTCCAGGGAGTCTTCTCTTCTCATGAGGTGGCCAAAGTATTGGAGCCTCAGCTTCATGATCTGTCCTTCCAGTGAGCACTCAGGGCTGATTTCCTTAAGAATGGATACGTTTGATCTTCTTGCAGTCCATGGGACTCTCAAGAGTCTCCTCCAGCACCATAATTCAAAAGCATCAATTCTTCGGCGATCAGCCTTCTTTATGGTCCAGCTCTCACTTCCATACATCACTACAGTGGTGCCCCGCAAGACGAATGCCTCGCAAGACGGAAAACTCGCTAGACGAAAGGGTTTTCCATTTTTTGAGCTGCTTCGCAAGACGAATTTCCCTATGGGCTTGCTTCGCAAGACGAAAACGTCTTGCAAGTTTGTTTCCTGTTTCTTAACACCATTAATACAGTTGCGACTTGACTTCGAGGAGCAACTCATAGAACGCAGTGTACATAGTAGCCTTTTTTGAGGTTTTTAAAGACTTTGGTGATGTTTGAAGCTTTTCCAAAACTTCTTTTGCAGCCATTTGGTAAGTTAAGCTTTTAAAACTTTTGGGGGGGGGTTGGATTTTGGGTTGGGGTGTTTGGAATTCAAGGACTTGGTGTTGGGGAGGGGTTTGCAAGAATCTGGAAGCTTGTGTGTTTTTTTTCCTGCATTTTTATGATTTTCTGTGACCATTGGGGCACTCTGCTGTTTTTATAAAAATTTCTGGATTTGAATTTCTGTGTGCTGGGTGGCTGGGGGAACAGTTGGGGAGGGGTTTGCAAGAATCTGGAAGCTTGTGTGTTTTTTTCTGCATTTTTATGATTTTCTGTGACCATTGGGCCACTCTGCTGTTTTTAAAAAAAATTCTGGATTTGAATTTCTGTGTGCTGGGTGGCTGGGGGAACAGTTGGGGAGGGGTTTGCAAGAATCTGGAAGCTTGTGTGTTTTTTTCTGCATTTTTATGATTTTCTGTGACCATTGGGCCACTCTGCTGTTTTTTTAAAAAATTTCTGGGTTTGAATTTTGAAATGCTCTTTACAGTATGTGTGACTTTAAAGAGCACTTAATAAACTCTTGTTGTACCAAATTTGGCTTTGCTTGGACTTTTTTTGACCATAGGAACGCATTAATTGATTTTCAATGCATTCCTATGGGATTTCATGCTTCGCAAGACGAAAAATTCGCTAGACGAAAAATTCACGGAACGAATTAATTTCGTCTTGCGAGACATCACTGTACTGGGAAAACCATAGCTTTTACTATACGGACCTTTGTTGGCAAGGTGATGTCTCTGCTTTTTAGGATGCTGTCTACATTTGTCATTGCTTTTCTCCCAAGAAGCAGGCGTCTCTTAATTTCGTGGCTGCTGTCACCATCTGCAGTGATCATGGAGCCCAAGAAAGTAAAATCTCTCACTGCCTCCATTTCTTCCCCTTCTATTTGCCAGGAGGTGATGGGACCAGTGGCCATGATCTTCGTTTTTGATGTTGAGCTTCAGACCATATTTTGCGCTCTCCTCTTTCACCCTCAATAAAGGTTCTTTAATTCCTCCTCACTTTCTGCCATCAAGGTTGTGTCATCTGCATATCTGAGGTTGTTGATATTTCTTCCAGCAATCTTAATTCTGGCTAGGGATTCATCCAGCCCAGCCTTTCGCATGATGAATTCTGCATATAAGTTAAATAAACAGGGAGACAAAATACAACCTTGTCGTACTCCTTTCCCAATTTTGAACCAATCAGTTGTTCCATAGCCAGTTCTAACTGTAGCTTCTTGTCCCACATAGAGATTTCTCAGGAGACAGATGAGGTGATCAGGCACTCCCATTTCTTTAAGAACTTGCCATAGTTTGCTGTGGTCGACACAGTCAAAGGCTTTTGCATAGTCAATGAAGCAGAAGTAGATGTCTTTCTGGAACTCTCTAGCTTTCTCCATAATCCAGCGCATGTTTGCAATTTGGTCTCTGGTTCCTCTGCCTCTTCTAAATCCAGCTTGCACTTCTGGGAGTTCTCGGTCCACATACTGCTTGAGCCTGCCTTGTAGAATTTTAAGCATAACCTTGCTAGCATGTGAAATGAGTGCAATTGTGTGGTAGTTGGAGCATTCTTTAGCACTGCCCTTCTTTGGGATTGGGATGTAGACTGATCTTCTCCAGTCCTCTGGCCACTGCTGAGTTTTCCAAACTTGCTGGCATATTGAGTGTAGCACCTTAACAGCATCATCTTTTAAAATTTTAAATAGTTCAGCTGGAATACCATCACTTCCACTGGCCTTGTTATTTGCAGTGCTTTCTAAGGCCCATTTGACTTCACTCTCCAGGATGTCTGGCTCAAGGTCAGCAACCACACTACCTGGGGTGTACGAGACATCCATATCTTTCTGGTATAATTCCTCTGTGTATTCTTGCCACCTCTTCTTGATGTCTTCTGCTTCTGTTAGATCCTTACCACTTTTGTCCTTTATTATGGTAATCTTTGAATGAAATGTTCCTTTCATATCTCCAATTTTCTTGAACAGATCTCTAGTTCTTCCCATTCTTTCAACTATACTTTTTGTTAAATGGCAGAATAGAAATGCTGTAAATAATACCTCTGGCACCTCTGGTTACAAACCTAATTCATTCCGGAGGTCCATTCTTAACCTGAGGTAGCACTTTAGCTAATGGGGCCTCCTGCTGCCACTGCGCCCTGGCACACAATTTCTGTTCTCATCCTGAGGTAAAGTTCTTAACCCAAGGTACTACTTCCGGGTTAGCGGAGTCTGTAACCCGAAGTGTTTGTAACCCGAGGTACCACTGCATTCAAAATGAGCTGAAACCCAGGAATGAAGGTTTATTGGTCTCCAGTTCCACATTTTATAACTTGTGATTCACAGATAGGATTATTTACTATGCAATCCTGTACATGTCTATTTGGAAGTAAACTCCATTGAACTTAATGGGGCTTACTTCCAGGTTAGTGAGTTTAGAATTACAGCTTTAGCCTCCAACAAAAGCACCTCAGCCAACTAAACTGAAATCTGTTGGCATCACTCCATCATCACCTCAATTCTTTAGTCTTTCCAGCTTCTGACTGTAGGGCTTTTTTTCTACAAATGTATGTATACTTTGTCATCTCATTTGTATCTATATGACTGTGTTAAGTGCCTCAACTGTCATCCAACAGACGTTCTGATTGTGCTGTTTGTATACAAGACCATCACTAGGAATTATTTATACCATTTTTGCTATGAGGAGTGAGTGGGAAGAGACAATGTTATCCATTGGCTACAGTCAGTAGCCTGAGAGACTTAGATTATAATCACACCTTTGCTATGAGCTCACTAGGAGATAGCATGAAAAGTATCATGTGTCACACAATAGCCTTGAATGTTAATGCTAGGAAACCGGATAAAAAAGCAAGTCATGCCTCTGACATAATCCAAAGGGTAAATGACTTTTGTTCTATGTGATTCAGAAAAATACTTTTAGAAAAACGCAACTTAAAAGGACATATCTAACACTTGACAATTAATACCATTTTTCCAAATTGCTCATCATCTTCTAGGTACCACTTAGCAGAATATAATTTTTTCAGGTAAAAACAAGCCATATAAATTAATCCAGTTCAGATATCAAAGCCAAACCATTATTGTTCATCATAAAGAAACTTTGTACCTGTGTACTCTCCTCCTCCCAACTTCCCCCTGTACACTCCAATTCTGTCTGTCATTTCCTGATTCACATAACTATAGTTTGCTGTTGTGTCCGAAACAAGCAAACTATGGTTACTGCAGACCTCAGTGGAACTCTAAATCATAATTGGAATCCCAGATCAAGCTGTACTTTGCTGCTGTATCTTATTTTCAGTTTGGTATGGGCAACCTGTAGCCCTCCAGGTGTTTCTAGACTACGATTGTGAGCCAACACTGAGATAGTGGTTTGTCTAAGGATGCAGAATGAGTTCATAAGGTGACATTTGTACCAAAGGTGAACCACCTTCCTGCTTGCCCACTTAAATACTGAACTGCACTTACTCAGCACAGTAGCACATCATCTCCACACTAAGATGCATAGCCGTCATGCATGTAGGCACCATGTTTCACACAATGCCTTGCATGTACCACCCCTCCTATAAGCATTCACCAGAAGGACAAAAGGTGGGTGTGTTCATGACTCCCATTTTCCATGCTTCAGCATGGCATCTCAAACCACCTGTACCTCTATATGAGACAGAATAGCACTGACATCTACATGTATCACAGTTCTTTGAGAATGAGAGAGGTAAAATTTGTAAAGTGTACCAAGTTTCGGGAACTGCTATATAAAACTATCAGTGTTGAAATGCAGCACAATTCAAGGGAAGACAGAACCAATGGTCTTACTTTGCTCTCTTGGTATAACTCTTCCTAAGAATTGACTTCACTAAAAACACAATGGCTTTGATCCAATGCAATGCAAAGTAAGCATCTTATTAGTGCAAGGATGTCCACTTCTGCGGGGGGATTTTCTTGCCTCTCCACCCCCCATGCACCCTTCAAATCTGTTTTGGGCTTCCCCTTTAACTTCCAGAGCAGATTTAGGGAGGGAGAAGATGGGGGGGGGGGGAAATCCTGTTGCACAAGAAGTTACCTTTGCACTGATGGGATGCTTACTTAGCACTGCATTGATACATGTCAAAATCTCTCTTTTTTAAAAAACCTCTCCTCTCCTAGCTCCCACTGAGCATATCATCCCCACTGCAGTTTAAAACTCAGAAATTCAACATAATCTGCTTTTCTCATCTGTGAAGCTCTAGGACCAAAAAAAACCCAAAAAGGTATTTCGATTCCGCATCTTCATTTAATGTTTAAAAGCTCAAGAGCTTGTCTCATTAAAAAGTTTGCAATCCTAGTGAACACATGACCTAGTACAAACTGAACCAAGAGAGCCAGTTGTGAAGGTGGAAGATCTAGTTAAATAAACTAGTGACTGATAAACCACTTCATTAACTTTCTGTACTTTTTCAGATGAGCAATAACACCAAGTTTAGATGCAGTTTTAGAGCAACAACAAATATCGCAACCAAGGATGCCACTTTTATGGAGTCAAAGATGTTACAAAGATGACTACAGTGGTACCTCAGGTTAAGTACCGTATTTTTCACTCTATAACACGCACCCGACCATGACACGCACGTAGTTTTTAGAGGAGGAAAATCCGTAGGCATGCCACCCGTAGGCATTCCCTCCATAACACGCACAGACATTTCCCCTTACTTTCTAGGAGGAAAAAAGTGAGTGTTATGGTGCAAAAAATACGGTACTTAATTCATTCCTGAGGTCCGTTCTTAACCTGAAACTGTTCTTAACCTGAAGCACCACTTTAGCTAATGGGGCCTCCTGCTGCCGCCGCACCGCTAGAGCACGATTTCTGTTCTCATCCTGAAGCAAAGTTCTTAACCTGAAGCACTATTTCTGGGTTAGCGGAGTCCGTAACCTGAAGCGTATGTAACCTGAGGTACCACTGTATTTGTAATATGCTATTGAATAGGATTCCTACGTGATTTCATCATCAAAAGAAAGCGCCCTCCCAAATTAACTGTCCATAGCTCACATCACATAGCAAGTCCTATGAAAAAGTATATGAGTTCTGTATAGAACACATACCACACAAAACAGATTTTTAAGAAAAAGAAAAAACAGGAGCGATTGTTACAAGAGGAAGAAAACAGCTTATGCAGTCTAGACAAATTAATGGGTGTTGTTCATCAGAAGATATAATAACCAACTGAGTGGAGTTTATTCTAACAATCCTCTAGTGTGTATGGAGAAATCCCTTAACTAGAAGTGAAACACTTTTATTGAGAAGTTTCCACTGGCTGCATGCTTAACAGAAAGAAATCAGAGAATCTGTCTACATGCCACCTGGAATAGCAGTTACTTTCAAGAAGAGGGCTAGCATTGTTTTAAGTAGCAGCAAGTCTTTCTCCTCAGATGTCAGAAATCCAACAAAGCTGCAAACCACCAGGTATTTATTCCCCCATGCCACCTGAGCATATACCCATATATTTTAAAAAGGCTCGTTCCAGTAAGAACAAAGAGAAAGGGAGGTGTTATCAAAAATAAAACATTTGCCCAGAGATCTGACTCTACAAACATCCAGTGTTCTTTCTCTTCACAGCTACTTCATATGGAACATTCAACATACAGATGTGTCTGGGTGAGATGTGCACAGCCATGTAAGCAGTCATAGGTCAGGAATGCACACCTGTCTATTTAGCCATGCACACTCACTTCAGACACCCAGTGTAGCTAAGTGTAAGCTTCGCAGTGGATGGATGCAAGACAGACAAAAACCAAACAAACCCCACATTATTCAGAACACAACTGTATACACAAGCTACCTCCAGTGCCAGAGATGCAGGTTTAAAATAAATTTACACACACAGCCCAATGCCAATGCAATTCCATGCAGGGAAAATATGTATGCTGTAATGGGAGAGCAGCTCTCTCTCTCTCTCTCTCACACACACACACAGTTACAAGAGCTTTAAAAACACTCCTCCTTTGCTGCTGTACAGTGTCTGTTGCCAAGTCTTTTCAGGTAACAACAGATAAGGATACTATGGGCACTTTCTGAACTACTCCAGCTTTTTGTTTCTGCCTGCAACCTGAGAGCCCTTTACATGGGCGTGTGCAGATTGACTTTTACCGTTCACCTCTTTAGCGGGATGTACTGTTTCCAAGCTGATAAGCCACAGGGTTCCTGGGAACCTAAAGGGAGGAATGATGCTGTTGCTGTCGGGGGAAAGAGAAGAGCGAAGAGGGTGGGGGGAAACGGAGGCTTCTACAGTAGAGAAAAGCCCAGGAGAGAAGGGGGAACCTCAGGTATATACAGAAAGAGGGGCTTCCCCAGTCGCCCCCCTCTCTCTTCCTTGCCCCCATTAGCTAAACTCAAGTGAATCCATGTTCGGCCCCCTTCTCCAACAAAGCCCCCCTCCAGGCCCTCCTCCCCTTTCAAAGCAGCCGAGGGAACAATATAGAGTCTCCGCAAGTCAGGAAACAATGGGGCGATCATGATATAGCATACCTCGCGCGCAGGGCATTTAACCAAAAAGAGAGGGGTGGGCGAGCGAGGGAGGGAGGGAGAATCAGGTGGCGCCAGATGATCCGCGCGCGACCTTCCACTGCTACCCCCCGCCCGCCGGTCGGTGGTTTCGGCAATAAAGAGATTTAAAGGGAAGGAGGCAGGGAGCCCGAAGAAGAAGGAAAGCTCGCCAGACTCTCTCGCCCACTCTGAGAAGTCCGGGGCGTGGAGAGGGGAGAGAAACAAAGCGGCGGCTCTTACTGGAGTGGCGGGCGGCAGCTCCGAGCAGGCGCGAGAGTCGCCCCGACTCCGCCGCTTCGGAGCCCGGCTAGCCGAGGCTGCTAAATCCAGGCGCAGCAGGCGGGGAAAGCGGCTCCCGCTCCTTAATTCATTCGGAGGCGCCGAGCGGCTCGTTCCACCTCAGCGCGCTGCTCCGGCGACTGCTGAGGAACCCGAGTGGGCGCGCTTTAGAGGCGGGCGGCAGTAACTGCAGCAGCAGCAGCAGCAGCAGCAGCCGCCTCAGCCTCCTTTCCTCCCCGACTGCCTCCTCCCACTCTCGCGTAGGGAGAAAGCCGGAGTTCCTCGCCAGGCCGCTAGGAAAACTCCTCTCCGGCGTCCCTCCGGCGCTCGCCTTCGAGGGCTGGGCCCCTCCTCGCGGAGGGAGGCCTGGCTTCTCCTGGGGCTGCAGCTGGAGTTTCCCTCGAGGGAGGAGGGAGGGCGCGGAGTTCACCACTTGGCTGTGGAGCGAAGCCAACGAGGAGAGCGAAGCACAGGCTCCGCAGAAATTAAAACAAAAACAAAGCCGCCAACAGCCCGGCCACTGTTAATACGCGCAGCGAGCCCTTGTTTTAGCCCGACAACTTTTGCTTCCATATTTCTTTCAAGAGGCATTTCTTTTCTTTAAACATCCATCCCCAACCCAGTCACACTGGCGTTGCAGTCCTCCCATTGAAACCAATGTAACTCGCTTCCGGAATTACGCTGTTAGCCTTTGACCGTCTCAACAGCTCTTTTTCAAGTAAAGTTGTTAGTTTTTCTCCCCACTTACTCATTAGGGTTTCTCCGTGTAACAGCCAGAAATTATTCAACAGGTGTAGTTTCCCAGACAGGTGGATGGGGAAACTAGACCAGCTGAATAATTTCTGACTGGTAAGCGGATGCTGAAGAGCGCTGCCCAAAGATAAATCCCAATCGTTTTTTGTAAGGGCAAAATCCTGCTATCCCGTCTATTTCTTCAGGGGTGGGAAGTTTGGCCAGAGGGCCAACTTCTGGACAACTTTCTGGAGGGCCACATCCCAGGTGTTGGCAGAGCAATGAATATAAGTCTTACCTTCATTTATTATTTTGATTTATTAAAATATATATACCACCCTGTTGTAATACAAACAGAATTGCCTAGAGTCTTGGATGTTTTAATAAAAAGCTTATTACTAGGATATGGTTAACATATGAGCAGAAGTTTTAATCTGCTGTATATTAATCAAATTCATCTCTTCATTTAGTAGTATAAATTGAATTCTTTACTAACATCAGCTTATCTCATGCAACTACTATGAATTAGTTGAAGTTCATTCATGTTTCACTGAGTGCATATTTAGTGGTGGCTGATGCCCATTGGTGGAGCCAAAAGCAGGGAATCCAACAACAGATAAAAGTAGAGCCAATGACAGGCAGAGCCAAATAATTCTAGCTTTGTCTCCATCCTTCTCTTTGCTGAGTCAGTAGAGCATGAGACTCTTAATCTCAGGGTTGTAGGTTTGAGTCCCATGTTGGGCAAAAGAGTTCTGCAATGCAGGGGGTTGGACTAGAGGTCCCTTCTAACTCTACAATTCAATGATTCCATGATTCTATGAACACTGAAACTAAGAAGGGGAGTGACAGGCAGTGCTACCACCCTCTAGACTGGTTGCAAGTAGGAAAGTGGGGGCTGGCTGAGTGTAGACTGAGGATAGGGTTAGTCACAGTGGAGCTGGTCTGTTGGAGCTAGTGGGGAACTGCTGTGACTGTCAATTGTTTTAATTCAGTATATGCAGGTATTGTCTACTGGTGGCAGCTTTTGTGATTTATTAATCGTGCCTTTTAACATTATCAAATACGGTTCTTTTCCTCCTGGCTAACAGTACAATCTTACTCCATGAACACTTACAAGCATGTTGGAAGCACTTATGCCCACTCAGTTTCATTGACTTAACTGGGTGTCTATTTATGTAATCCTTATTACACAAGGTTAATCACCATGCTTGCTGCTTGTGTTAAGTCCTTTATGCTTTTTAAGCTCACAATGTAAAGACTTTCCCCTTAGATCTTGTGGCCTTATAGCTTTGATTTTTATTAGACTGGTCACATGCCACATAGCCCTAGATGCTTAAAAAAACAACAACCATGAAGATAAGCTGAGGCTCAAATTCCAACTTCTACACATCTTCTAAAGATATAATAACATTGTCAGGTTTTGTGGTTGATTCCCTCACATGACTGTATGAAGATTTCTCTGTCCTTTTAGTCGTGAGGGTTCGTTAATACTAGAGTGCATTCCATTTTATTATAATGGAAGCCACTTGAGGAGGTAGGGTGAAGCATGCCTCTAAAAGGCAGACTTACAGCAAAAGAGTCACACAGGTTCATTGTTCAAAGCCATGCAAAAGCACTTGAGATGGATGCAGATCAGGGTGAGCTAGCCTAGGCATGAAATGTAACTTGAGCAGAGTCCTGGGGTCCAGAGAGAGAGACCTGGTTGGCTTCATTTGGCTAAATGTTTACTGATACAGCAAAATATGGATATATTCTGAAACCACAACAGCTCAAATATAGAAATGTGTTTTCTTTTTATGCCCCAGACCTTAAGGGCATCCCCACAAAGCAATTTTACAATAAAAATGATATAAACAAAACTATTGAAAATGCTACATTCACTGACTCCTAACTGGACTGTCCTGCTAGCTGTCCTGCTGCAGTCACAGACATACAGGGGCTGCCTTATGATGAATGGTTAAGTGATGGATGAACTATATTTCCCACAGAGCTGCATGCATGGTCTGATTGTTAAAACTGCTGTTTGTGATTTTAAAATTGTAGATCTTTGATTTTTTTTTTTATGTTGTTGATGATGGCTGAAAGACTAGGGGATCAAGTGCTTCCATACACTATTGAGATTCTTCAGTGCCAAGGGTGTAACGTCACCATAATTCTAGCCTTAACTTCCTACCGTTGTGACTCAGCAGATTACATGATAATTGGGAGGAGAGGGAGTGACCCTGGAGATGTGCTCAGATGGCAAAATTACTTCCTCCTCTTCTCTGTACCTAAAGGCTTCTAAGGAAGAGCAGAAATACCTGCATCTAGTATCACCAATCTTGGTATATGGGGAAATGAAAAACTTATAATATGTTTCCTGAGGTGGTGGTTGTTATTGTCATTATTATCATGATTAGCACTTTAGAAAATGGAAATCTTATCCAAATGAGGTAAACAAAAGGAGCACAAACTTACACACACACACACACACAGAGGCAAGCAGAAAATAAGGGGTTAAAACAGACAATTTGAGGTGCATACTACTAAAAATAAATAAACATTCAGTAATTGAAAAATAATTAAAAAGAAGAAGTGGGGAACTAGCTACAGAAGTGGCTTGTTGGGTGATTGTTGGATGACAAGACAACTAAAGGTGTAAGTTAATGCAAGCCCTGCTAGGAATGGTTCTGCTCAGGAGGTCCCAATCGGATCTCCCAAGTCCTGAGTGAAGCTGATTCCTGCCAAAAGCAGGAGTTGCATTTGCAAGTCAGCTGATCAGCGGTGGCTGCATACTCTGCTTCCTTGGTTTGAAATCAGACATCTTCTATCTGTTATTTTCATTCTGCATGTTAACCACGTCAATGTGATTCAGACTCTACATCAAAGAAATTGTCTGCCTTTTACTAAAACATACTAAGTAGCCCTTTGAGGACGTGGCTTACAGGCCAAGTTTACCAATTAAGCACTGTCCAAAGGTCTTGTTTACAAATCAGCAGCATTGAAACTGATGGAATAGCTCACTAATGAGCTCAGGCCATCCTTATGTTTGGGCTACATCCATTAATCTAAGCTTTTTATTGAATGCATTTCTTAAAGCATATAAACTACATTGTTAATTTGGGTTGGACGTAATGACCACACATGCCCCCCCCCCCGAATTCTGACAGTACTGCTGAAAGTGAATTTTTGATGTTGCTTCAGCTCCAGGAGCATAGTGCCCTGGATCAGCTGGTAGTGAAGAACTGCAATAGTTTGCAGGTCTACTCATAAATCAGTCTCAGTGAGTTCAATGGGGCTAACTCCCAGGTAAGTGTATATTCAAGTGCAGCCTATTATTTCCAGGATGATGAAGGGCAGTATGTGTTGGGGATGTGTTGTAGCTGATCCACACCACCATAGGCTCTGCTGCCTTTCCCTGGGGTAACACCACCTTTAGCACTGAATCGGACCAAATGTCAATAGAGTTTTTCGCAGATTGCCATTTGTTCAGATTTACTGCTAAAGATGCGGGTGGCGCTGTGGGTTAAACCACAGAGCCTAGGACTTGCCGATCAGAAGTTCGGCGGTTCGAATCCTCATGATGGGGTGAGCTTCCGTTGCTCGGTCCCTGCTCCTGCCAACCTAGCAGTTCAAAAGCACATCAAAGTGCAAGTAGATAAATAGATACCGCTCCGGCAGGAAGGTAAACGGCGTTTCTGTGTGCTGCTCTGGTTCGCCAGAAGCAGCTCAGTCATGCTGGCCACATGACCCAGAAGCTGTACGCCGGCTCCCTCGGCCAATGAAGCAAGATGAGCTGGACCTAATGGTCAGGGGTCCCTTTACCTTTACCTTTACTGCTAAAGAGCGGCTTTTCTGGGGAAAAGCAGTGGGACAAAGGCAAAACCACTGGGACTCATACCTAGAAAGGGCCAGACAAGCAGAAAACCATTTGGACCTGTGCTTTCTAGATACAGGACAAGCGGAAGTGTTGAAGAGCCCTTATTAATGCTAGAGCTTTAGTGCTGCCTGCATCTCCTGCTAAGCCTAGGAAAGACTCCAGCCTGAAACCCTGGGCAGCCTGTGTTAGTCAGTGTAGAAACAATTCTGAGCTAGAAAGATCAATGATATGACTTGGGACATGGAAGCTTACTATACTCCTAGTTAACTCGGTTAAGGCAAAAGGACAAGTTTCAGTGGAATCCATTTCCAGTTAAGTGTGCTTTGGCATCTATTAATCTTATGGATAGCGTATGCTGTAGCGATGAAGGTTTAACTCTAAATGGAAAAGTTCATTAATATGGCTCCAGAAAAGGTATTCACTTATCCAAAATCTTAATGATACCCATCAAATTCTTCTACAGGTTTGCTCAGTCTGCTGAATTATTCAGTGAATATTCAGGCTACCTCCCTGTATTTACAGAGTTGCAGCATAGACAACACTCCATTACTAATCAACCTGTGCAACATGCTGTGTTCCTAGCACACGAGCTAATGGTTTCATTTCTCACATTGGCTACTTGGCATGTGGAGGTACATTTATTTTCTCTGTTGGATTGATGGTCAAGCAGGTTTGTGAAGCCACCATTCTCATTCATTGTACTGTATACTGGCAATATCTGAACCATTGGCTAGAAATATAGACATTGATACAGATTTAGATACACAGTATTTGGTACTTAACGCTATAACAACTTGGAAGGCAAACAGCTGTACATAGCTTACAATTTATGTTTACATGCAACTTGACAAACTCAAAGTACTTTGCTTCTAGAAATAAGGTGGGAGGGGCCCTAGCACATGCTCTATATGCAGAAGTTCCCAGATTCAATCCATTAGATGTAAAGACCCATCATAGACACTAGAACATTGCTGCCTGTAACTTGGTTTGATGGACAAATAGTCTGACCTGGTACAAGGTAGCTTCCTAAGTGGAGGAGTGGACTTAATTGTAGAGCGCATGCATGCATAAAAACCCAGGTTCCATTCCTGTTTCTTTTCACTTAAATTTAGGTAGCAGGATGGGGAGAGAAAGACAGTGCCTGGGACTTTAGGGATAAACAAGCAGACAAGGAGAGTGAGGACTCCAACTCAGTGCTTTACATACATCCCATGTTCAACCCCCCACATTGATAGGTGGGCCTGAAACACTTGAGAGCTACTGCCACACAGACAGTGTTGAGCTACATGGAAGAGAATAGGGCAGCTTCCTAGTTCCTTATCAATAGAAATAACTCCAAGTATTCAGGTTTCTATCATGTACTGAATGGTTGGCAGCAATATGCAAATGAAAAGATTGGAACCATGAAGAATGGGCCCAGTTCCATGAGATTAGAATGGCTCCAGAGCAAAGGTGAACTTTCTTTGATGTTGCCTTAGGCTGTGTGTTGACTTCCTGGAGGAAGTTCAGTGTTGTACCTCCTTCTTAATCTTTCAAAAGCAGTGCAAGGCTCTCCTATTTGTTTGTTTTGATATTATTATTATTATTGTGTGTTATGAGGCCTTTATTACAATAAAGCTCACCAATCTGTGAAAAACCTTGAGGCTAGAGCAGGGATGGGGGACCTGTGACTTTCCAGATGTTGTTGAGCTACACCTCACATCAACCCCAGCCAGGGTGGTCAATTTTGATAGCTGAGGAGGACCCCAAAATGCACCCCCTCCCTGCCGTGAGCATAAGGGGGGAAGAAGATCAACATTGGGATCTGCTGGCCTCGTGAATCCTGCTACCTGAGGTGGTCACATCATCTCATGGGTGGCCCTGAATAACAATTTACATCAGGATCTGCTGCCCCTGCAGATCCTGCCACCTGAAGTGGTTGCTTCATGTTGCCTCATGGATGGGCTGGCCCTGTGGTCAATGGTGGGAGATGATGAAAGTTGTATCCCGACAGGATTGCAGGCTTCCCAACCCCTGGGCTAGATATACTATGGTTGGGTCTCATGCTCTGATTCTTTCCCCCCTGATATTTTGTTTTTCTTAATTGTTGCTTACCACATGAATCGAGTATTATTATTTTTAATGTGTAAGATTGTCACTTGAAGTTGTATAGAGAGGCGGGAGAAAATGGATAAAATTAAACCTTTGCAATGTGCTGCTCACATAGGTCCCACACAGAAGAAGGCCTGGCATATCTGGGCATGCCCACCACAGTATCACCATACCTTTGCTTGTGTAAAGATTACTGCCCCACTGCTGGCCTTCTTGCTTTCTTCTCTGCTCTGCAGCATCCAGTTCAAGCTGAATTGCCATCAGCACATGAACTGGAGGGATTTAATTTCCTGAATGAGTACACTCAGTCGGAGTGCAGGTAGGGTTTTTATCTTTTCTTTTTGTACAAATCATTACGCCAGCCCTTCCTAACCTGGTGCCCTCTGGGTGCTTTGTACTACAAGTCCCATCACTGCTATAGCCTTTCCCATCATAGAACTAAACTGGTGGGACAAGCTTTTCTTAAAAGGTACAGCTGCACTATCAAGGCCTGACAACTAGGCTTAGCTGCCTGCTCATCCCTGCTATTGTTATCCAGCTGGTGCTGGCTGATTTTCCTTTTAATGTAAAGTTCACTTCTGAAAAGAATGATGCATTGCTTTTTAAGGAGGCTGTTCAACACATTGTCTAGACTAAGATAGCCAACCTGGTGCCCTCCAGATGTTGTTGGAGTGCATCTCCGATCATTGGCCCTGCTGGCTGGGGCTGAAGGGCGTTCAGCAACATCTAGAGGGAACCACATGGCCTATCCTGGAAAGTTTTGTTATACATGGTAAATGTAGCTTGGCTAGAGTCAGACAATTGGTTTTACATTTTTAAAAGCAGAGGGCTTTTGCTATAAAACTTCTGAGGACCTTTGATTACCAGCTGGTAATACTTAAAGCAAGTAAGAAAGAAAGAAAGAAAACAAGATCCAGCTAGCAAGATGTCAAGGCTCCCGCCTGTTTCCTTTTCCTTAGATAACAAGGCCAATAGCGCCAAGTCGGACTTTTTCCAATACACAGCTATTCTCAAAAGGCAACTCTGCTGAAATGGTGCTTCACTTCAAGTTACCTGACTCTAACAGCTGGGTTTTTATAAGCTGCTGTGTTGTCCAATGTGACACTGGGTATAAAAGTGGTGACCTTGGCGAAACACTGAAATGTATCCTACCGGTCTACCCAGGTTATTACAAAATGCTATACTTCTATGTTGAAGTGACTGTCCTAGCAACAGATATCTCTGGCACATACACACAGTGGGTTTATGATGTTGAAAAGGTAGAAGACATGGTGTAAGACATAGTGGCTGTAGCGAGGTTGGGTAAGAGTGGGGGTGAAGAGCCTTGGAGGCCAGCAAACAGCGCTACACCCCTGCTCTGAAGCCCTTTTCTCTGGTTTACATACCTGTAAGATCTGTTGGGTTGGTGAGTCCCAGTGACCAGGCCTTTTCTAGGGTGGCCACATACCCCCTGAATACCCTCCCCAGGGAAATATGTTGCACACATAGCCAAGAATTTTTATAGTCAAACTGGGCTTCTGCTATGAGAAGGCAACTTTGCAAACCAGCCTTCTCACCTCTGCGATCACTCCCCATTCATTTCCCTTTCCTCTTTCCATTTCAGGGCCATATGCATGCACAGCTATCCTCCTGCAGGCATGTTGTATACATATGCATACCTCGCCTACATAAGTGATGAGGGAACTCTCCCTCTGAAGCTTGGAAATGGTGAAAATTAGGATAATCAGATAAGAGCCAGGGAGAAAAAGTAAAATTAACGTATGTTATTGAGCCATGTGCTGCCTCAGAAGCAAGTTTTTTTTGTTGATAAATGTTTCCCCTTGAATATTATAGACACAACCCAAGAAAGGAGCTTTTTATAGAAATTAAAACAATAATGCTTAAGTTAACAGTGTAGGGCAGTGTTTCTCAAACTTGGGTCTCCAGTTGCTTTTGGACTATAATTCCCATCATCTGCGACCACTGGTCCTGCTAGCTGGGGATGATGGGAGTTGTAATCCAAAAACAGCTGGAGGCCCAAGTTTGGGAAACAGTGGTGTAGGGCAACCTGCTGTCAGTTATACATTTGTACAGCCTTCAGCTATGTGAACATAATAGAACAGGCGTGGGCGTAGCCAGGATTTACGGTATGTTGGGAGGGCTGCTGGCTTCATGTTAGAGGGGCAGAACCTCAGTTAGTTAAGTAATTTTATTGGTTTACTTGATTTAGGGAGGACAGCTGCCCCCCCCCCCGCTTGACTACACCCATGGGAACATAGGAAGCTGCCTTATACTGAGTCAGACACTGACTGGCTCTTCCTTTCAGATAGGAAACATTCATATTGGTCCCACCTGATGATGGCAGGGATTGAACCTGGGAGCGTCTGCATGCAAAACAGATTCTCTACCACTAAGCTACTGCCCTTCCCCAAAATTAGAAATGTGTCCACCTGGCTAAATGTGTCAGGAACTGGAACTAGCTAATGGACCTGAAGTGAGAGTAGAGCCACAATCCTTTAGGATTGTCTGCTTCATTGAATTCAGGTGGCCTTGCTTTCAAGCAAACACACATAGGATAAGGCTCCACTGCTGTAATCCTATGTGCACGCTTATATTCTCTCCAACGACAAACTTCATGGTCCCATGCCAAGCAGTGAGGGTTTCCTCACAGCCAAAACCCTTCTGTAGGAAAGGAACACTAGCTATATGCTCCGATAGTGATGAAGTCAGGAGGAGTGGGGAACTTGGTCAGGAAGGAGGCCTTGTCAACAAAGATAAAAAGAGGGAACTTCTGCATAAATGTGGATAAGTTGCCTGCACGTTTGGCCACACACTGAATGTAACATTTGAACAGTGCCTTTGCATGAATGACGAAGTGCCCACCAGTTATTCGTCTATAATTCTGGTACAACCCAAACAAAATAAACTGCTTTTCAGCACAATTTTCTGCAGAGGTTTACTTGAATGTAAGCCTTGCAGAGTCAATGGGGTTTCCCCCCAAGGAGGTATGTGTGGGACTGCAGCTTTTAAATCCCCTTTTTTACAACAGGAGATTTCAAGGATGTGCTTCAGGCTGCAATCCTATAGTCACTTACGTGGAAATAAGTTTCAGTGAAAATGGGACTTCCTTCTCTGAGCAGACATGTACAGGATGGTACTGAGGTTAGTCTGACTCACTGAAACCAGAGGGACTTAAAAAAAACTACCTTGCACAGAAACAGACCAGGTTAAATAGTACACTTTAAAGGAATAAAATGCAAGCTCCCCACAATGACCTTTCTCCATAGGTAACTGATTACTCACATAGTGGTTTCGGACAATTATCCTAATGGTAGTTTATGTGGTAATTGAAAGGGAACACCTGAATGTATATAACTATAGTCTTCTCTTGGTTGCCTTAACGATTAAGAGAAAACAATATGAAATTGTGCTTTTGTAATGCAAGCTATGCCTTTCAACGTTGCAACGTTGCAGTATAATTAACCTAATTGGTTTAAACTACCATGTGCATAATGAGAAATAACCATAGCAAAAAGTAATAAACTGAATCAATCCCTTGCCTCAATTTACTGATTCTCAGGAGACACATGCAGTCATGGACTTGGTATTCTTGATTTTTCAAGCATAATTTTCTGGTTAGGAATGAAAGTATTCTTAAAGGCCTATACCTAGCGGCCTGGGAGTAAGTTCCATTTTCATTCAGACTTTCTTCCTAGTAGACGTTTATAGGATTGTTCTATTAAAGATGAAATAGCCCAAAGCTGTTTAAAAAAAAAATTAAACCCAGTGCTTTGAGATCCTTGAACAGTTACACATTTTCAAACAGCCGAGAACCAAGGAGTAATACTCTAAGAACCAGGGGTGGTGGTGATGATGATGATGATGATGATGATGATTTTGCAGCCGATTTCCATAAAATATTGACTGTTGCTGTTGGAGATACTATTTTTCCTTCTCGAACTAGAGATCTTTGTGTTGTTGTTTTGTTTTTTAAAAATAAGTTTTATTGCTTTTAAATATATGCCAACTGTAATCAACCATGGAATAAAAAAAGTGACCAGCTGTAATGTAGCATCTGATATAATACCGAAGATCTCAAACACTGCTTTTGTCTCTGATTTCTCCTATTTTTTGTTGCTGATCTCAACCTAGGGATTGGGATTGCTAGAGAGCATCATAGCCCAAGGTGTATACTGAATGGGTGGAAGACAAAAATAAATTTACAATGCTGTTGTCTTTCAGAAAGGAAGTCGCCAGGCAATTTTTGTGTGTAACATTGTTGCAGACTGGGAGCAGTTTTGAATCATAGCCAAGGGGGGTGTTACTGGATTGTTATTTTTATTTTGATTATGTACTTCGTGGTTTTATATACTAATTTTATCCTGTGAACCGCCATGAGACCTGCAGGTATAGGGTGGCATAGAAATTCTAATTTAAATTCTAATCATCAACATTATTATTTATGATGATGATGATGATGTCCCTTGGTCCATCGACACCTTTTGCAATTCAGGCCCTTGGGTGGCTTGAGCTATATTCATGTGTCCCAGAGTGATTATAAGGGATTTTCTAAGAAGTCTGTGAAAGGAGGAAATTGCAGACTTCTTAGGAACTGAGAATGTGGAAAGAACAAGCGGAGAAACTAAGTGAGTCATCATACTTCTGAGATGCACAACCTGCCTTCCTGACCTTTCCCAGTTTCCAGGTGCTTTGCTTACATTCTTTGAACCTTCGTCAAGGCTGTGTCAGCATTTCTTAATGGACAAGGGCATGCAGATGATAATCACACACAGTGTTTTGTCACACAAGACCATTGTGATCTGCATCATAATCTGGTGTGACTCCTGGTGGATGGCAGCTGGGAAGAATATAGACCCTGTCACTTCCCCTGTGTGTCATAACTTTTAGACATTAATCAAAATGAGGGGTTCTTCTGGAGTTCATGTCTGGGAGGCAGTTCCAAGCATGAGTGGCAAAAAGGAGAAGGACTTGAGGGAGCACGAGACCTTCACATATCTAAGCACTGGGTGAGTGACGGTCAGCGGCAGGGAGGTATCAGGATGGGCAAAACCATGGAGGCCTTTGAAAGTAAGGGAAAGGAGGTTGTGCTGGATTTGGGAGGAAGCTAGTGTGCAGATCTAAGGAGCGGGTGTCACATGATTAGAGTGATGCGGGAAGTAAGCCGTTTTTGCAGCAGAATGGTGGATAGAGGTGAAGAGAGCAAGGTGTGGCAACAATAGTTCAGAGAGGAGAAGATTACAGTGGTCAAGGCAAGAGATGATCAGGGCATGAACCATGATGAAGGGGCAAAGCTGTTGTTTTTCTATGGCTGGCTACATCAGAGGAGATCAAAGTTTTTGTTGAATAAACTCTAATTTACCTGAACAAAATTATGTAGCTGATGTTAACTGATGGCACAGTTAACGTACAGCTAGTGGATTTAAGTGGTTATTGGCTTCTTTGTCAATTCAGATTGTGAAATTAAGCTTTTTTCTGGGCCTGCTGTATCTCACCATTAAATTAAAAAATGGTGATGTATAGCCATGTGGAGAACTCTTTGGATTTCATTGCTCAGGAAGTGGAGCAGAAGTTCCCTCATCAATACATCAGTGAGCCAAGGGTAGGGATGTTTTTAAAATCATTTAACCAGAAATTTCGTGGAGTGTGCTATTGATTTGACAACTTAGTAATAGTCTCCAGTAAAAACCAAACATTAGTTTGGCAAAATACAGTAATCTTTTTGGAACTTACAGACAAGAGGCTCCAGAAAAAATAACATTATTTTAAAGCAATTATATTATTTGCTTTTTTATAACGGCCTCGGCCCAGTATACCTGAAGGAGCATGTCCACACACATTGTTCAGCCAGGACACTGAGGTCCAGCACCGAGGGCCTTCTGGCTGTTCCCTCACTGAGAGAAGTGAGGTTACAGGGAACCAGGGAGAGGGCCTTCTCGGTAGTGGCACCCACCCTGTGGAACGCCCTCCTGTCAGATTTCAAGGAAATAAACAACTATCTGACTTTTAGAAGACATTTGAATGCAGCCCTGTTTAGGGAAGTTTTTAATATTTGATGTTTTGTTGTGTTTTTAATATCCTGTTGGAAGCCACCCAGAGTGACTGGGGAGGCCCGGCCAGTTGGGTGGGGTATAAGTAATAAATTATTATTTTTTTATTTTATTTTATTTTATTTTATTATTTTATTTTATTATTTATTTATTTATTTATTTATTTTATATATAAGGATGGATCTAAGGTTACGTTTGCAAAGCAGAGAAACTGTCATGGACATACCACACACCCCTTACAAGGGTTAAATGAATGAGAGGAAGAGGGCATGGGTGTCTGGAGGACCTTGATAGGGGAAGGTCACTGGGAGAGATTAGATCAGACGTTCCTTGGCTGGTTAGTTTATTGAACTTATTATTTACTTCTCACAACAGACAGTCCTGAAACAATTTACAAGAATACAGTACAGTTGAAAATACTTAAAGATCTTTAAAAAAAACCAATCAGAATAAAAATATCCAATCATTGGTGCTTTCCATTTCCTTGGGAAACAAACGAAAAATATTTGCTTGGTGGAAAGATGACAAGTTAGCCTCCTTTGAGAGAGCATTCCATCGATGGGGAGCTGCTACAGAAAAGGTCCCGCTTCCTCATTGCCATCCTTTGGAATTCCCTAGGAGGTGGCACACAAAGAAGGGCCTCAGAAGACGATCTCAGTGTCTGAGCAGGTTCATATGGGGAAAGACAATCCTTTAGGCATAGAGGTCTCTGAGTCATTTAAGGATTTAAAGTTCCGAATTTGAACCTTTAAACTGGGACCAGAAACAAAGTGGCAGGCACAGTAATTGGGCCAGGACCAGCGTTACATATATGTACCTTCCTGGCCCAGCTGGCAGTTGAGCTGCCACAATCTGTTTAGAATTGCACCCTCTCTGGAACAACAGCAATGGCAGGATATGCATAAGAAAAACAGGAAATGTTTCCTTTACTTGCTGAAAACTAAATATTTATACAATACAATTGCAATATTCTCTCATTGGCAGCTATTATATTTCATTGCATTGCCAGGTAGATTTTGTAAAAATTATGATGTCTGTGCAGGTCATATAAATAATGCCTTTAATGTGAAATGCTTAAAAAATAGAAATTGGGTGATGACCAACTTTAGTTGCAGTCAGAGCAGACCCATTGAAATAAATCGGCTTGAGTATTAATTTGCTGGATAGAACTCTTTATTTACTATGTATATCAGATTTTAATGTGATTAAATTGCACAAAAAGGACCTGACATAAACTCTATTCAAAGTTGGTTAGGAGTAAAAATCCAGGCATAATCAGGGGCTCTTGATTCACTTTCTTTTCAGTCTAGGATAAGTGGTCACAGAAAAATATGGATTGTTATTTCTGGAATGTGCAGTTCACAGTTTCCTAGGGAAACACAGTGACCTGAGAATGATACAAGATTCCCAGCAAGGGCAATCTTCTTTTATCCTGTAGATAAATACTCAATATAGAACATAGATTTAATTTCTATTGGCTCCCCAGAGTTCCATACGTCAAAGGAACACTGGGTATGTTTCCAGCAGTAGGAAAAAGGCACAATCCAATCTCAGGCATACTTCTGGAAATAAGTCCCATTGAGTTCAGTGTGTGCATAGATTTGCATCTTTAAAGTATTAACAGTGTTCCCAGCACGGGGAACAGAAAGTTGTTGTTCTTCAGGACGGTGGGTAGGTGGGTGGGCTTGGTGGGCAAAAGGTGTGAATGTGAGCTGAATTTCTCTCTGTCTGTGGCAACGGAGGGTAAAGCGAGGCACAGACCACAAGAGGAAAAACAGATGCTGTGACTATACTCCAAGCCATTGATCATATATACCAACTAGAACTGAAATAAGAAACTATTGAAATTTGCCAGCCTAGCATTCATATGTCTTGGAAAGCAGTGTTTGAATGCACACTTAGACACATAACGAGGACATTTTAAAATGGATATTTTGCTAAGACATTATATTAAATTATATTAGGCCATGCTATATTTTACAGAATTTTAAACCTTTCATATAATTGATTTAGGAGTTTAGGCTGAACTTCTACGGCAGTGCGAGGGGTCACAAGGCAGTGCAAGAAAATAGAATTGGAGGGTGAACTATACCTTGTACAGTGGTACCGTGGGTTAAGTACTTAATTCGTTCCAAAGGTCCGTTCTTAACCTGAAACTGTTCTTAACCTGAAGCACCACTTTAGCTAATGGGGCCTCCTGCTGCTGCCGCGCCGCCAGAGCACAATTTCTGTTCTCATCCTGAAGCAAAGTTCTTAACCCAAGGTACTATTTCTGGGTTAGCGGAGTCTGTAACCTGAAGTGTATGTAACCTGAGGTACCACTGTAATTAATTTAAAGATAACAGTTCTGTTATGGAAAGACACCAATCCAGAAATTTGGAAACACAGTAGCTTTCAGCCCACACCCCTTGAAAAGAGGACTAATGAGAAGGGAGACAAAAGTGTTTTGGATGTTACAGAAGTGGTAAAGCCTATAGGAGCCAACGTTTGTGGGGGCTTTGCCCCCCATAAAATGTTTGAGAGGGTTGGGCACCCCAAAGTTGATGGGCATTGCCATTCAAATGGTGTGTGTGCACCGCATCATGTGATCAATTATGTGGGGTGGGGCTTACATGGGACCCCGCAATATTTTATTCAAGTTGGCACCCCTGGTAGAGCAGAAGCATGATTGCTTCATACTTCCAGTGTATGTACTCCCTAAGTACGGTAATCTCCAAAGGGAAATGCATGCATCTCAGGGCCAGATTAAGACATTTAGAGGCCCTAAATATTTTGGTGCCCCCATATGTATCTAATTCAAAAGATTAACAAGCTAACCAAGATTTTAGACTGGAGTTTCCCCCTCTTTCCCTGGAGTAGTCAGGGACTGAACTTGGGATAAGTGCTGCACCATTGAGCTATAGCCCTCTCCCCAATTGGCTCCTGCAATTCCTGGGGCTGCTAGATACAGAACAATGGCCAGTAGTACAGTGAAGATGATTCACAGGGTGCAGGTTGCCCTGTGTGTAGTAGATTGTCATTGCTGGATGCAAGCTATTGGTTCCAACCATCAGAGTGCTCCACCCATGGAACTTTCACATGTTTCTTGATCACGCAGACCTTTGGCAACCTGAAGTTTTGTAGGTGCCCAGAATATGGTTTGACAAAGCATAGGGCCCTCATATTTTAATCCAGCAGTGCTAAACACAAAAAACCAATGGAATTTCTGGAAGTACTCTCTGATTTCACTGATGCAAATTCCTGGCCCTCCATTGCCAGAGTCAGGGCTAAACTACAGTAAACAGAATAGTTCTCTGTGTGAAAACAATGGATTCTGATTATGGAATTATGGAAACTCTCTTAATCTGGAAAGATCTGCTATTAAGAACCTGTGCAGATTTGTTTGATAATAACACATGGGATAGTTGCAAGTTGTCTTCCCCCAGACTTTGGGTTTACTGTTAAAAGATCTCTTGTAACGTTTATGGGTGTCTGCATGTGTGCAATGCATAGATGTTGTTGTAAGCACAAGCATATGCTAGATGCTGTAAAGATTTTTTTAGAAATTATCTCTGTCTCTGCATGGTTTCTCAGTTGCTCATCAGCTTCTTGGCTCTGTTGTGCATTAGCAAAACAAAGCTTTTCTTGTGCTCTCAGCACGACTATTTTTACAGCAGGAGCGTTTTCAAAGTGCTGCCCTGGTACGCTTCCACCATTTTAAGAAAGGAGAAAAGTAGCCCATTGTGCTTCCCAGGGGAGGCTGGAAGTAAACGTATTGCCAGCGATATTCCCCAGACGCCTTAATTGGACAACTCAATATAACAAAAATGGAGCACTTTCTAATTCATAATAATGTAAGATGCAGTGTGGGGAAAGCAAAAGTAGAGACTGGAAGATTTATACAACTCAGCATTATGAAATTATCACTGGCTAGTAGGACTCTGCCTTCATTTCTAGACTGAGTCCGCTTCATAGCCCCGGTTCATGCATTCATGGGCCAGCTCTGAAGCAGAGTGGTTGAAGCAGTAGTATGAATTCCTTCCCTCCAACCTGTAAAAAAGCCTTTAACGTGAGCTAAGGCTAAGTCTGCCCCAGTTTGGCTTTATCTTCTTGGCACAGAACTTAACACTCTCATAGCGCAAATTTGCAACAGTGATTTCTTATGTCCTTTGGGGAAGAAAAGCCCTATTAGGTTACTGGGGTACATTGGGGCTCTCTTATTATTTACCACGAGACCAGTATTTCAACAAGGCACTTCTGCATTTGTTTTGCTCTCTCTTCTGTTATGAGCCCAGCATTTCACAAATGCACCTGAAGTTTCTGTTTTGTTTTTTCACCTTCAGGGCTACGTGATAGCTCAATGAGAAATTTAACATTGAGGGGTCCAATGTACCCCCTGTAGCTTTTAGATGTTTTTGGAATGTGAGACCAATAAAATTCTATTTTTATGCTACACTGGAGTAATTTAAAAACCAGTCATTAGCTTTATTTCCAACTAGGACTTTAAAGGAGTTTGTTTATTAATAGATTGATAATATCCCTTGTGCTTGATCTGGAAGCTGCAGTTAGTGCAGAATGCTGTAGCACAATTGCTGACAGGAGTAAGACCTTGTCAGCATATAACACCTGTGCTCAGAGATTGGCACTGATTGCCAATTTGCTACCGGGCCAAGTTCAAGGTGTGACTATAAGTCTATGAAGCTCTTAACAACTTGGGACCAGTTTACCTGCTCGATCACCTTACTCCATATATGCCCACTCAACTGTTTCGATCTGTGGAACTGGCACTCTGACAGGTGCCATATATACCCATTCCATATTGATTGTTTAGCGTGGTAGCAGCACCTACACTTTGAAACTCCCTGCCTATTGATATCAGGTAGGTGCCTTCCCTGTACTCTTTTCTGCATCTGCTCAACACATTTTTTTTGTTTAGAGAAGCCTAGCCTGACAGTTATGTGTGTTTCAGTCTGCCGTTAGTTTATTGATAATTCCAACCTTTTTACTGTTTAAAATTGTTGCTGTTTATTGAGGTTTTGTACAGTCAAGTGGTGCATAAATTTTATGAAATAAATAAGATAAGCACAGATAGGGAAACTGATGCAGTGAAAAACATGGAATGGAAGAGTAGAATGATGAATTGATCGAACCTTCCATTGCATGAGGAACTAACTTTACAGCAGTTCCAGAGTAATTGCACAGACAGAGAGATACAAATCCACTCCCCGACTTTTCCAACCCCCAGCTGAAAACGCCAGAGAATGAACCTGGGACCCTCTCTGCATGCAAGGCACGTGCTGCACTACTGAGCTCAATTTAGAAAGTATAAATTACAGCCCAAACAGGCTAATCACAGTATAATCTAAGCTTATCGGCTAACACTGGGACCGTTAGTTTAACATTAGAGCTTGATGTCAGGGGAACAGGTCAGATTTCCCCAGAGATGCCCAATTCAGCTCAGTTTACAGTTGTCTCTCAAGGTCCAGACCACTAACTGCACTGACTGCAATGTGGTCATTTAGCATTGACAGAGACTTGAAGCTGAGCCAAGGAAACCAGGTTTTGCATTCCACCCAGCCATGGACTCGCTGGGTGGCCTTAGACAAGCCACTGTATTCACCATGTTTTAAAACAGGGATAATTGGTACCTACCTACCTCATAAGATATAGGCTCATAAAACGCTTTCCACATGAGTGCAGTTGTGTCAAATAAATCATAATAGCTCTCTGACTGCTAGCTATGTCTCTGAGCTTTCATCCAAGGCTGAGGATGGATTGCTCCTTAGCCACATCTAGAAACATGAGGATTTGCAGCAGCTGCTACTGAGGTTCAGGACAGTAGGTTAAGAAGACAACAAGAGCTCTGCTAGGTGGGCCTTTTGCCTGATTTGGTCCAGCACCCTCTTCGCATGGTGGCCAACCAGATTCCTGTGGGAAGCCTGCAAGCAGGGCCTGGCTACAAGAGCGTTCTCCCCACTTGAGGTTCCCAGCAACTGGTATTCAGTGCCATACCTCCTCTGACAGTGGATGTAGAACATAGCTGTTGTGGCTACTTGCCATCGATAGCCTTAACCTCCAATATTTTCTTCTACTATTCCTCTTTCGAAGCCACCCAGCTTGCTGGCCAGTGCCACCGCATCCTCTTGTGGGAATGAGTTCCATAGTTTAAATATGTGCTTGTGAAAAAGAATTTTTTTTTGTCTGTCTTTAATCTTCCAACATTCAGCTTCATTGAAAAGACCCAAAATCTAGGCTTATGAGAGAAGGAGATCCCCAAACTCCACCCTGTAGATACCTTGCTATGCTTATTCCAGTGGTGCTATCAATTTTAATTTATTTTTTGTGTTTTATATTCTACCTTTCCTCCAAGGAGTCCAAAGAGGTTTACATGTCTCTCTCCCTCTCCATACCTGAAGGAGAGTCTCCACCACCATCATTCAGCCCGGACACTGAAGTTCAGCTCCGAGGGCCTTCCGGCAGTTCCCTCACTGCGAGAAGTGAGGTTTTGGGGAACCAGGCAGAGGGCCTTCTCGGTAGTGGCTCCCACCCTGTGGAATGCCTTCCCATCAGATGTCAAGGAAATAAAAAAACTATCTGACTTTTAGAAGACATCTGAAGGCAACCCTGTTTAGGGAAGTTTTTAATGTTTGATGTTTTATCCTGTTTTTAATATTCTGTTGGGAGCCACCCAGAGTGGGTGGGGTATAAACAATAAATTATTATTATATTATTATTATCCCTATAACCAACCCTATGGCATAGGTTAGGATGAGAGATGGTGCATCTGCTGCATCGGCATCCCTGGAGAATTCAGGTTACAAATCTGTACTCCAGTGAACCCAATGCATTTAAAACCACATGGGCAGAAAGTTCCAGTTCTGCACCTGAGATGAAATAGGAATGTGGCATCGTAGTGCCACATCTCTTACCTGGGTTGTGCCACCATTCTCACAAAGTGGCTCTGGTGCTTTCTGGTGAGATCTTGCAAGATTTTTGTGAGATCTTGCTGGAAACTGGCACCACTGCCAGTGCCACTTCTCCGCTGGTGGTAGGGACTGGCGAGATGCCTGCAGAAGCACCACCTCTTTGGCTTCCACCACCTGAAGCAGCTGCTTCACCCTGCCTCTTGGGAGGGCCGGCCCTGTCCTGTAGTGCTGGGTCAGTTTGAAGCTTACCTGAACAGCAATCTTTTTCCTGCCTCCCAACTAATGGGTGATCAGCTGAGCAGTGGGGGAAAGTGAGCATGGCTTCCTTGGGTTCTGCAGTCCACACTGAGAATAGACACATGCAGCCCTTGGCCCACAGGTTGGCCACAGGTGTTTTGCGATACCTTTCCTGCATTGTTTTGCACTTCTGAAGTACTGTGGTCTGGATTGCACCAGCCAAATTGGGAGGAGGCAAATTTGTGGGTGGCTGGACTAGACAACCTGGTTTCTGCCAACTCTATGACTACTCCCTTCCCATACCTTTGCCTTTTCCAGCTGCCCTGAGCCCTGGTGAATTTGGTGTCTCTGGTGCCTACACTTCTTACTAGCCTCAAAGTTTGGGTCCTGGGTCCTGACACAGTAGTAGTGTTTCTTTGGTTCCTCTCTGAATTGTACTAATAAGGGACTACACACTAGAACATGGGTAGGCAAACTAAGGCCTGGGGGCCAGATCTGGCCCAATCACCTTCTAAATCTGGCCCATGGACCATCTGGGAATCAGCGTGTTTTTACATGAGTAGAATGTGTGCTTTTATTTAAAATGCATCTCTGGGTTATTTGTGAGCCTGCCTGGTGTTTTTATATGAGTAGAATGTGTGCATTTATTTAAAATGCATCTCTGGGTTATTTGTGGGGCATAGGAATTCGTTCATTTCTCCCCCCAAAATATAGTCCGGCCCCCACAAGGTCTGAGGGACAGTGGACTGGCCCCCTGCTGAAAAAGTTTGCTGACCCCTGCACTAGAGGGTCTCTTTAGGGAGTTCATCCAGGTCACTGCAGAGGCTGCTTGGAATGTCTTGAATAGGAAGAAGGTCTGTCCTGGGGCCATGCCAGGGTCAATGACAGGAGTTTCAACACACTCCCAGCTAATCCAGGATGTTACAGAGATCTGCCACATCACACCGCCACATTTTCTCACTCCACCCCCTACAAACATGTTCTGACACATTTTTTTCTTCAACCACCTGCTTATAAGCACCATGGCAGAGGCAGGCACCTGTAATTTTCCTTATCCAAGCATTCTTGCCCCGACTCTCTGTAATCATATTGCAGTTTAGAATTAAAGTTCTTACACAGTATTGCCTCAAGGACTCTTACTGAGGCAACATGCAGGAGACAGAAAGTCCCGCAAAGAAGATGAGGGAGAGATAGTCATATTGCATTGCTATTAGTCGGAAGTAAAAAACAACAACACAAACTTATCATCAAACTTCCATTATGATGGCTCTTTTTCCGCATGCAGAACCCTCCCTTCCTGCCTCTCTGTCTTAAACTCACCTAAACTCACAGGCACATACCACCAGATCTCTCTATTTTAGTCCTTAAAATATAATAATGTTATAAATGATATTAAAAATATATAACATTTCGGAAAATACAAAGACAAGTGCCACTTGAGCACATATATCAATATGAGAAATTAACACAAGTGCTAGGGTTGTCAGATGCAAAAGAGGAGAAGGCTGCTGCACTTTTAATTACTTTGTGTGGAAAAGGGAACTTTGGTGGGTACAGCTTGTATGACCAGCCACACCTGCTGAAATTCCCTTTTCCCACCCTGGGAGTCAAGATCCCACTGGATGCAAGTGTTTTTATCCTCAAAATGCTTTGCAAACAGGTCACAGTGTACTGCTGGTTCTGCCAATTCCTTCTGGCTATCTGTAATAAGGCCCTGCACTACCCAGAAAGACTCTGCTGGATGGAGGCAGGGGGTGCAATGAGGATGCAATGGAGGCAGCCAAATATGCCTTCTTTGCTGCCTTCACTGCCACTGGGTAGGCTCTACGGTGAGCCTTTGTCAGTGTCCGATTGCATTTCACTGAAGTCAGTCCAGTCAACAGCAAGGGGGTGGCTTGGCAGTAGCACAGCACAGGTCCCCTTGATATTAGCCTGCTTCAGATGACACAGTAAGTCAAATTATGGCTTACCAGGACCATGAAAAGATACAGGCTCCCAGAGAGGAGCTGGTAGATGCTCTGCTCCTTCCCAGTCCTTTTTACTTCCACGCCATGCTAAGCTAAGCTAAACAGAGAGAAGCAAATTGGCTGCAAGCTTCTCTCTGGCACCTTGCACATTCACAGAGTCCTGGTAAGCCATAGTTCGACTTACAGTGCAGAGTGAATCAGTCCACTGTGTTGTTCATCTTATGTTGAAATGCTTTTCAAATGCTAAGACTAGGAAAGTGGCCCACAACAGTGAAGGAGGATCTCTGGCCCTCCAGATGTTGTGGGATTTCAATTCTCATCAGCCTCAGCCAGTGATGATGGAAACTGTGGTTCAGCAACATCTGGAGGGCCACAGGTTCCCCACCCATGATCTAAGTTACACCAAAAGCAGCTTGGCAGTGGAGGGGACCTTTGCCCTATGACATTACACTCCAGCGAAAAATGTCACGCTGCCACATGTTTAGAACAAAGCTTGCACTCAGGATAGATTTCATGAAGGACCCATATTCGTACACAATATATGGGATATTTCATCAGTATGGTGTGCAGAAATTATGACAGTCTTTTGGAATGAGACAGAGAAAGAAATCTTTCCTGGAATACTTTTTTCAGTTGTACCATAGTTTGATGATATATAGTTTGAATTAAACAGAAGCTTTGAATTAAATAAAGGCTTTTGAGCTTCCAAGTTTTGCACAAACTCTTGAAGCTTTTATTTTATTCTCTTTCCCTTCTTATACGATTTAACAAGTGGGACCTATAACAAAACTGTGTGTGTGTGTGTGTGTGTGTGTCTGTCTGTGTGTCTGTTATGTGTATATGCACACACACCAAGAGGTGTGCTCCAGTTCAAAAGCTTGGTGGTGCTTTTCAAGACTGGGGACATTTAAGGAGGGCGTAAATCAGAAGAAGACAGCCTTTTCTTTCCTCCTCAGCCTTCCCTGGGTTGATCAAATGCAAAAGAACATAGGACTTCCCTTTAGTAACTGCATAAAAGAGGGATTTTTAGCAGGTGGAACTTGCAGTGCAATTTGCTGAGAAGACAAACTTTTTTAATAAAAAAAACCAACCTATTTTGTAACTAAGACACTGCAGCAACAACAATTCAAATTGTGCATCAAAGTAATTGGCAGTCCGCTTTTCCTTCATGTGCTTGCTCCCTTCCAACTAAGAATGAAACTGACTTCTTGCAGGGCTATTAGATGCACACATCTGAGTAAACTTTAAAGCCATATGTCTCTCTGAAAGGGAAATCTAATATGTTTTCCATATCTTCACTTCCTTAACTTGCAAAGCAGCTCACTCCTTACATCCAACATATTTTTAAATTTAGGATGTAGTCTTTAAACACACTCACACTCACCAACACCCCACCCTCTATCTCTCTCAGAAGCCAAGTGTACATGCATGTGATTGAACATGTGATCTCCATAAATATATTTTCCTGAACTCAAAATAAAGGACAACCGGGTTATTTCTGTTGGCACTCAGCTGGTTCAAAAATACACCAGTTTACAATTGTTCAGATATTTTTCTGAATGAATTCCAGACAAATGAAAATAAGTAATCTTGATGCAAAATCCAGATGGATTACTCATCTTTCTCTGTTGAGACTTCAATAAGATCTGAAGCCAAAAGGTCAGGAACATGCTGACAAAAAAAGAGAGCAAAGACCACACCTATCGTGATGGGGTTATTATGTTCAGTGGAACTCAGATGCAGCCAGATGGCTGGATAATTGTGTGGCTCAGTTGTAGACCAAGAGTAGCCAATGAATTGCCGTCCACATGTTGTTGGACTACAGCTCCTGTCATCCCTGACCATTGGAACCAATGGGAGTTGGGGAATGCAACAACATCTGACAGTGCATTTGTCCACTGACAGTGCATTTCTAGGCACAGTTACCTGAGAGTAAGCCCCAGTGGACACAACTTCTGAATACAGGAAGCTGCTTTATACCAAGTCAGACTGCTGGCTCATTTTGTTTAGCATTGTTGACATTGGCTGGCAGTGACTCTCCACTGTTTCATACAGGAATCTTTCTCCAGTCCTACCTGGAGATGCCAGGATAAAACCTGGGACTTTTTTTACATACAAAGCATGAGCTCTACTGCTGAACTATAGGCACTTCCCATATGCATAGGATTGCACTTTGTTTTTGTTTTTATTTTTAAAAGAGAGAAATGTTTTGTTGTGTTTTTGTCTTCAGGGACATAGCTTTTCTTATTCAGAATATTCAGTTTCCTGGGATGGAGATGGGAGCATGGTGCTTTGTCATTTTTCCTGCTTTGGTCTGGATTGAGTGAATTCCTTCCCCCTTTGCTCTAATGCAGCCATTCTTTGCCCGCTACTCCGTTGAGCCTTGGCTGGGTTTCTTGATGTGGCCTGGTAGGGACAACTGGTACTCTGCTGTCTGCATCTAGCAGCTCAATTCTGCCCAAAAAGTTGTCGGGGACAAGACTTTGTGGGCAGAATTGAGCTGCTAGATTCTCAGGGATGCCAAACTACAGGTCACACACACACCCCCGCAACACCCTTTTTATTAGGCATTGATTATTATTCATGCTCATGGTGATATCAGGGTGGTTACATGCAATTCTGCTTTCAATACTGTACGCAGAGCTAGCCCAACACATTTTGTCATCCAAGGCAGATCCCAAAATAGGAACAGGGGAGAAGGGGTGAGGGAAGATGTACATCAAGAACAGCCGGGGGGGGGGAGAGAGAAAGATTGACATTGGGATCTTCTGCCCCAGTGGATTCTGCTGCATGAGGCAATCACCTCACCATGATTTGCATCAGTTAATAGCTTAGACTGCTCTCATATATGAACATGTTGTGGAAATCTTCATTTTTTTTGAGGAAGAGTAGAAGGAGGAGGAGGAGGAGGAGGAGGAGAGGATGTTAAATTGGCATGGGGATTTGAAGATGCATCAAGTTTTCTCTGGCCCAAAAAAGGAGGAAAGCTGAAACATCTGTTGGATTCGTGACTGGCTTGCTGAGATCGTTTCAGTAAGCCAGGATGTCTGGAAGAGATCTTCTCTCCCATCACCAGAAGGCGTCGGTGCAATCATCAAGGATAATTGCTGCAGTGGACTCCAGGGCACACCCACCAATAATGAAAATGGTTTGAAATTATAGAAGAGCCACTAGAGTAACCACTTGACAGAGAAGCCAGCAGCAGATGCCTGTATTTATGCATGCATTTTTATTAAATAATAGAAAGAGCACTGTTGACTTTTGAGCTGAAAGTAAGCTAACCTGCAAGGATGTGGAACCTGTTGCCCTCCAGATGATGATGGACTCCTACTCCTATCATCCCTGACCTTTGGCTACAGTGGCTGGGGCTGATGGGAGCTGGAGTGCAGCAACATTTGGTGGGTCACTGGTCTCCCATCCCTAGACTCCTACCGTACTTCCACACTGCTACAATTCCCAGGGTTCCCCGGGAGGAAGGAATGATTATTAAGCCAGTTTTAAGTCTGCGGTGCAGATTAGTAATGCATAAACACTATCCAGCTTGATTGGCTCACACACCCATCGAAGCTCAGGTAGCATGCCTTTCATGTGCCCAAGAAAACCATGAGGGGTTTTATAACTGGTATGCTCACAAAACCCAAATACATTTGTTATGCCTTCTCTCCCCTGCCAGTTTGACAGGCACATATGCATAAAGGGTAGTAGAAGAGGACATAGTTTCTGGTTTAACAGGCAGAGGGTGGGAGGGATGTGGGATGAGAGCTGAGTTGAGGGGGGCCTGCTTAAGGGGTTATGTTTGCCATGATTGGGATTACTCTTGCAAAGTCTAACCCCCACCCCCAGTCAAATTCTTGCTGCATTTATAGACCTAAGAATGCTTTCCTAAGTTGAATATCTACGTCTCAAGACTATGTTCCCCACATCTGCTCCACCACTGTGGAGTATGCTTTCTGTAAAAACTTGCCATAGAAGTCTGAGCATCTTCTGTAAAAAAAGAAGAAGAAGAAGGGGGGGGAAGCTGACTTTAGGTAGGATATGGATGGGATAACAATGACTTCTCTCTGTTCTGTTATAATGACCAGTTTATATGAATTCTGTATGAATTACAGGCAACAACTGATTTAGGCATGTCCAGATGATGCATGATTGTGCACACGCACATGATGCTGAACCTGGAAGTAGCCCCAAAATGTCATAAAGATTTCACGAAAAGGGGAGGAACGGGGAGGGCTTGTGTGTACTCCTCTGACATGCACAGGGGTCCAGAATGTAACCCTCACAGAAAAAGAGGATTGCCTGCACACACACAAACACTGAATAAATAAAGGCTCTATAACCTAAGTTGTTATGGGTTTTTAAAATCGTCTATTCAACCTAATGTAAGAAGGCCAGTGTTAAGCTCTGATAGTACAGCAAATATTACATTGTAAATGTAAGCCTTCATCAAGCCAAGTGAAGTTCCATTGCTCTTCCTGAACGAGATAGTTTAGCACTGCCATGCCAAATAGCATGTCAGTCTGCAAAGAAGTAAACCAAAACCTGTAGGGAAATATCTCGATTTCCAGTAAGAGTGCCTTTCCCCCCTCTCCCACAGCACGCTGGAGGCACATGTTCTCTGCAGTCATGGCCTCTCATCAGGAGCTCACATGAAAGCACTTGGGCTGATTGTGTTTTGCATTAGTTTACTTGTATAAAGTCAAACCACCCTCCAACTAGTTTCTCCAAAATGTGTACTGTCTAAATGATAGTCTGGCAATTTGAGTGGAATCTGAAACCACTCACTGAAGTGACATGATACCAAATCTGCTTAATGATTATATGCAAGCGCTCCTTCTGAATCAAATAGTTCAAATTGCCCATATCTGATTGGTTTTTACAGTTTCCCCTCATCCATGCCTCTATTTCTTAGCTATTAACGTGACACTGTTGACACACTACCCCAAAAAACCCTACTGGATATTTTACACAAGGTGGCTTGAGAAATGTGTGTGCAGCTGCTTACATCAATGTGCATAACAGATTTCTTAAGTAAATGTGTCAAATTCTACTCTGCAACTGCCCCAACTTCTCTCCACAGTTAAGCTGTGGAGAAAGATCAGCTGCAGCTGCTGCAAATAGGTTGCTGCTCCTCGCATACTGTTAGCACAAGATAAATGTGTGGCACTACTACAAAATCCTTCTTTCCTTTTTATATTTTCCGAGCTCCTTCCAGGCAGGTGCCTCCTAGCATGACTCACTTGTTGCTCTTCCACTTTAAGCACAAGTGGAACTGCAATTAACACTCTACACTATCAGAAGTATTACTAACTACATAGCATGAAATATGCATATACAGAATTTTGTATGTGTGCATGTTGCTGTGTTCAGTCCATACTGGTGGACATGGTGTAATAGCTGTGGAGGGGCCATTAGAAGCTCAGTGCACATCCACTATAACCCTTGTGGTGGTCACCATTTTATGACAGCATTTTTTAAAAAAATCAAACTTTCAATTAATGCTAAAGTGTTTTCCCCATTTACAAACCATGTGCAGTAAACCAAGAACAAACCTTGACTACACCTCATGGTTTGTTTAAGAACAGGAGTCCTGCTTGCTGGTTTCCAACAGGATACTGTGAGAACAGGATGTTGGACTAGATGGGTCATTGGCCTGATCCAGCAGGCTCTTCTTATGTTCTTAATGATGACTTTATAAAATGTTTTTTCTACTTGTGTGCTCAGTGTATTAGCAGTCTAGAGCAACAGTATACAACAAGAATCAGAAAAAAGGAAATTGGATTAAAACAGGTGGGAGTTAATGCTATGACTTGTGTGACTGAGCCAGCAGGCAGTTATGTGTACTGTGATTAAGTGGTAATTCTCCTACTGTTGCAGATTAACAATGCAGACTGTGGTATAGAGATGGAATACAGCATCTCCTGCGCCACAGCCATAATTACTATAATTCTGAGCAGCTTGCAAGCCAAGCCTATCGTAAGCTATTTGACAACACAGATGCACTTATCAGTTGGAGTGTTGTTAACTCCTTTATGTAGAATCAGCATTTAAAAATATTTGCAGGGAGGAAGAAACTTTATCTAAGAAATACTTCTTACCATTCGTCTGGCAGGCTTTTTAACTAAAAATATATAACATGGATAATTGTTTCTGTGATATAAATAAGCTCTGGCTCATTATCTACAACTGGAAATCATAAACCAAGGTAGGTTTGGCTATGGAGAAGACTTGATAGCTTATGGGCAACTTGAGTTTTTAGCAGACACTTTGAGGTGCCTTCTCAGCGCTGCTTCTCCCAATGCAGCTACCACATGGCAGTTTGTTCAAGAAGGGCCTGTCGGGAAAAACACCATAGCAGGCATACAGCAGTGGTTAGATATGAGAATGTTATACTTAAGATAATAAGTGGAAAGAATTGCCTTGCTAAATCAGGCTGAAAGACCATCTTGGCTGTGAGTCCTGGAAGACTCACTGTTGTTGAGCAATTTGAATGCTGGTAGTACTTTTCCTTAGTCCCAGAAGTTAATAGTCCAACTCTGATCCTTAATACTGTTTCTAATGGCCAATAGGTGGGGGTTGGGCAACGAAGAGAGAGAAAGATGGAAAATCGCTTTATTAAAATGACAACACTTCATTCACAACCAATTCACTTCCCTTTGAGCCTAATTGGTAAGGTACAATAAAGTCTTTAAAATATATATTTAGACAGGGGTGCCAACTTGAATAAAATATGGGGGGCAGGTAAGCTCCGCCCTGCATAATAAATCACAAGACATGGCACACACAAACCATTTGAATGCCAATGCCCATAAATTTTATGGGGGGAGGGGGAGGGCAAAGGCACCTCAGCTGCATAGGAGTTGGCTTCTATGTATACAGAGATGATTAATTAGCTGCTTGCAAACAAATGTAAGGAAATGTGAAATGAAGATTCTGATCATTCAACAAATGGAGAATCACTGGCTGTTTAAAACACCCAACAACTGTGAGAAGCTAGTATTTTTAATGCACACATACATAATATAAATGAAAGAAATGATAAAGAATGGGGTACACGGGAATGTTCTTTGAAAAATGAAAATTGCAATGATAATTAGTCTCCTGCATGTTCACCTTCTAGCAGAAACACTAAAGCCCAAATGGTAGCATGGACTAGACAATCCACGGAGCACTTCCAATTTAATGATGCTAACTATAGATAGTTATTGTTCTGTGCTTGCCATGGTATTAATAGAACAGGCAAAGCCCGTGAGAAATGCTGAGCTTTCAAACTTTTCTAATTTGAGTAGGGAAATGCAGCTGCATCTAGCTTCTCATTTGATAAAGCCTTAAGATCAGGTGCCATATGTCTGACCTAGGCTTCCTGCTATGAAAACTGCCCTGCGAGAGCTAAATATGGAAACCAGGCACTGCAGTTCCTGTGAGATATCCTCCCAACGCCAAATGATAGGTTACGGTTTAATTTTGCAGAATGATCTGATAGGGCCAACCTAAAAGCATTTTAAATTTTACAGAGATGGTGCCATCCGTGTGTGTGGCAGGCTAATGGAGTGACAGAAGCAAAGCCCAAGCAAGGGGCTTAGAGTCTACATTTAGACATTATGGAAAAGTCAACAGGTGGGAAAAGACCATCAAAGGAGCTAGAGGCAAAGAAACATAATGAATGGATGCGAGCAAATATGATATCTTCATTCATGGATTGAAGAATGAGGGTTAAGCCAAAGCATACAGGGAAAGGGTGGGTTGTGATCTGGGTTCTGCTTTCTGGATTGCAGTGTGATTTGTGATCATTAACATGTTAAGTGTTGCAATAATTGTGCTATGGAGTATTATTCGTACTTTATTTTTTACCACACTTCTGAGCTAAAGAAAGTATCTATCCTAAATATATTCAAAATAGCAGCAAAAGAAATAAAAAGTTGGTTACACCTCCAGGCTCAATTTAAATGGCAACATGGGACCAAAACAATCCCATGCAGCAGTTTGAACCACAGTTTTAAGCAGTAGTCTAAGAGGGCAACACTATTCTAACTATCCGCCCTAAATATAAGTAGGATGCTGGCCAGTTGGGCCTCTCCATGCAAGAAGTTGCCTGGAAGAGGTGGCATCATGGAGAATGGCCTCAGCTTGATAACTATGCTGTGTAGTTTTTCTGGCTGATATCAGTGCGCAAGAGGATATACTGAGTAAGAGATGCACCTTTTGATATAAAACAGTATAAGGCTTTGAAAGTAAAGATCAGCACTTTAAATTATTCCCAGAGGTGTAGCGGTACAATTACCTGAGAGCAGATGCTGTATGTCCTTTTTGGCTGATGCCAGATGCCAATCTTGCTACCATCATATGGTTTAGCTGTATTTTCTGAGCACTCTTCAGAAACAGCACTATATAGAATTCATTGCAGTAGTCTCCCTCTCCAGATTGTTTAAATTTTGTCCCTTTAAAAAGAGTAACATAAACAAGAACAATCCAGAACAATGATGTGCATATTTTTGCTTATGTTATAAATTAGCTGTACAGTATCTATGACAATCATAATATTTTTCAAACGAATGCATGTGCTGCCGCTGTGGTTTGCTGCAGAAGCTAGAAAGACTGTTAAAACTTCTTTACTGTCTACCTGTTTAGTAGTTGGTTTTGCCTTAATATTAGCTTTATTGCACCCTTTGCAGGAAGGAAAACAACAAACAGAATCCAATTGTTCAAGCGGGTTGCAGGCATGGTGGGGGCAGAGTTCACAGCTACTGCAAACTAATTGTTTAAGGACATCAGAATGAAGAAATTGCTGGAGGAACTGGAAAAGGCACATCCTGAGGTTGCCTTTGAGGCAAGAAAAACAGCAGCAGCAGTGGGACAGGAAGTGCACCACATTAATGCACATCTTCCCCCAAGATTTCATCTATTTGGATGACAAAAGAAATCTAATTTTGCCTCAGGAAACAATAGGAAAACAGGAACAGTTCTGGATAATATAAGGGAAAGGCAAACTCACTCTTCAGAGGAACTTCTCCCAGTCCCGATAGCCTTTCAAAAGGGAGCATATAGTTTCATGCTCTCTCTTCCCCCAAGCAGTGGGAAATCCAGGATAGCTTGTACAGAATAGATTTCCTTTAGAGAAGGAATTTCAGTCACAGTTGATGTACAGTGTCTCTGATGTACAAATGTAAATATTGGGCAGATATTACAGGGATCCAACAGCAAGCACGCAAGCTGCACCAGATTCACTGCATCGTCTATTCAGTTTCCCAAAAGTTTTTAAATGTCATTCCACTTCCTTTGTACACATTCTGACAAGCAATGGATTTTAGCCTCCGAACTAGCAGTTGTTTGCAGGGGCGGAGGAAGGGGGCGCGGGCCACCCTGGGTGCCACCACTGAGGGGGGTGACAAAATTCCAGGTGGCACTCATCACGGGGCCTGCAGTGTGCCCAAGCCACATGTCTCTCCTGGGAGAGACGCAGTGGCTTGGGCTCACACAGGCTCTGCCCTGCCCAAACGGTCCACCCGCTGCCTCCCCCCAGCTGTAGGGAGGCTGAGTGGCAGGAGGGAGGCAGACTCCGGAGGTCCCGCAGTGCACCCCGCCCCTATGGGCGGCTCACCCTGCTCCTGGGCACGCCGTCCCAGGCGCCTGAGTGGCTTCCTCTGCCGCTGGTTGTTTGTCCTGGAGATGAGCAAAAATGCCCTCCTAAAATTCTCCATACTATTAGAAGTGGCAAAATGGGGGGATTGTGACAAATATTCCTTAGAGTGTGGGTGTGGGATCCTACATCAGTCCATCCGTCCCCCCCAAAAACCCTCTCTTTTGAAAAATTTCAGCTCATTTAATATTGAATGAAACTATTTTAGTTCATACTGGTGAGTGAAGGAAGCAAGGAGCTAAAAAAGGAGGGCTAAAAAAAGGACCCAACTCCATTTGTCCCTTCAACAATATTAAAACTATTATTAAATTATATTAAAACTGAATCCACAGATGTGAACCAAGCTGACTCAAATCTTTTTTCTGCCTGAGGTGAAGGGTAAGAAGACATCAACCTCGTATTCCATTTACAAAAGCCAACTGGACTGTCAGCTGAATCTTACTTCATCATTACAGTATTTATTATTTTCTACATTTATATCCTACCTTTCCTTCAAGGAACTCAAGGCAGTGTCCATGATTTTCCCCACCTCCATTTCATCCTCACAGCAACCCTACAATGCAGCCTAGGCTTAGAGATAGTGAATAGCCCAAGGGTTCATCCAATGAGCTTTCTGGGTGAGTGAGGTTCCCAAGTTCTAGTCAGGACAATGTGCTTTATCACACCTGAGGGCAGCAGGGCAGCAAAGGGGACACAGCCAGAAAGGCTATGTGGTGCATATACCTCTGTCTTCCAAAACATTGCTGTCCCATCTACCTCATTAGGCTGCTACCTCACTGTAGGGCCAACCCCGGTTCTGCCTGAAATTCTCCATCCTATTCTCATGTGGCAAAATTCTGGAGGCTATGTCACCAAATATCATTCAGGAGAGGATGAGGTCAGGAAGCCATTAAAACAATTTTTTTTTTTTAATGGCCAGAAAATCATTTTCTGAAAATTTTTGGTTCAACCTAGATTGTAAAAGGCTTGCATTCCAAACACTTGGAAGAGTCACTTACTGCCCTCTAAGAATAATTCTGCCATGCCAATCCCAGTGGAGATCAATTTTCCTTTTTCCATAACAGCATGGCTTCCAAAGTTAGCAATGCAAACCACAGACATCCTCAGAGAACAAGTTATACTTAAGAAATGGTCTCGCTGACTGTGGCTTTGAATTTTTAAAAAATAAAATCTACTCACGGGCTTATTTGATACTAATCTCTTCCTTCTCACAATAGCTATGTGAAATGGGTCGTTGTTCCTAGTTTATAGACTGAAAAGTGAGGCTGAACAAAGTGACAAGGCTGAGTAAATCTAATACTTAAAGCATGCCACAGCTAAGGCAGGTGGTGGGGCAACTGTGGCATCTTGGGAGACGCAAGGTTAGCAATGACAACAACAAAAAACACCAAGGAATTTGATAGGGGCCTACAGTGAACTTGGGTGCCTTGAGTGAAAGAGCTTGGAAGGCAATCCCTAGGAGAGAATGAGGAGCACAGTGGAGACAAAGAGCACATTCACACCATACACTTAAAGCACCATGTCTTTGGACAATCATGGCTTCCCCCAAAGAATTCTGGGAGCTGTTGTTTGTTAAAGATGCTGAGAGTTGTTAGAAGACTCCATTACCCTAACAGAGCTACATTCCTCAGAGTGACTTAACAGTCAATCCCTCCACCCAGGGAACTCTGGAAACTGTAGTTCTGTGAAGAGAATAGGGGTCTCAGCACCCTTAACAAACTACAGCTCCCAGAATTCTTTGGAGGAAGCCATGGCTCTTTAAAGTGGTACCATAATAGCTTTAAATACATGGTGTACATGTGGCCAAAGCTGGTGGGAGGGGGTTAGGAGAAAGCTGAAAGGTGGTGAATATTTGGCGCCCTGAAGGAGATGAAGTATTAGAGGCCTTAAGCATACAGGAAAGAGGGTCATGACCAGAGTGTGCAAACTTCTTAACCATGGACTCATTAGAGCAAAGCACACGGTTGTTTCAAGTTAAATCCATCAGGATTTGGACCAGAAGCAATGTAAGGTATTAAAGTGAGGAAGAAAAGCGGGAGCTTTGCTGTGAAACATATTTCACCCTTTTCCTCTTATGCAACTCTAACCAAGACATATCATGTATGATCTTTGGAGACAAGAATTAAGCTATGGAATCTTACACAAATGTTGAGAATGAAAGCCGTGTGTTCTTTGGGAATATTGGATTTCAGCCCCCTGGAATGATGAAGACAAGAGACAACACAGACTGCAATGAAATAATTGGAACGGAGTTTCCAGCCAGGGCACCTTTGTGATCAAGCGGGAACACTATTCCCAGTTGGCCCAGGCCTTCGATGGCTGAACAAAGAGGAAGAGAACAATGCAGATGGAGGGGCTCCTTGTTGCCAGCTCTAATTAAGGCCAAGGAGATCTCTTTGCCTGACCTACATTACGTGGGATTTATACTTGACAGGCAACAAGATGCCTATCTGCTTGGGTTAGTTCATTACCGGAAATCAGTGGTGACTGGTTTGAAGTGAACTTTTTAAGCATGTCGAAAGTGTGGGGTGGGTAGGAGTAAGACCAGCAATTCTTTTACTCTTTATCCTGATAGGTCATGTCCATTTTGGATATGGGTTATCTAAAGTGCAACACTGTTTAAGCCAGCTGGAATAAGCTGTCATCGTACACATGCTAATGTGAGACTGACTTATTTTAATTTAATATTACATTGATATGCCTGTACCAATACAAAAGGGAAGCATATAGCAGATATAAACAAAACACAGCTGTAACAACAGCAAAAACCTCCACACTGCAGTCTCCCTCCACACTGCTGTTCAGGGTGATAAGACCATGGTGGTCAAGAACTGGGCAAATAGGGCCCCATCCAATAAAAGCAACAGGGGCAGCACACCACCCCACAGGTTGCAGCAGCAGAAAATAAGTATCTTGTGAATTCTACCAAATGAAGCCACACTTACTTGGGTGAAATATAAATCCAAAGTGATTGTTTATATGTGCTATGAAAGTTCACCAGACAGCCACAAAATTGTGGGACTGGCTTCTAAATGAACATGCGCAGGATTCAGACTATTTTATGTATGGTGTGAAAGTGTTCCCCACCACCTATGTGCAGTGGGTAGGAGTGTAAAATCTACATGGGTTACAGTGTTCATTGGATTTTAAAAATCAGGTTGCACAAAAACACCATTCAACAAAACCATATGAGAGTGACAAAGGTTCTTCTGGTGCTATGTGCAAAAAAATTCCTCAGAACCTTCAATCTTTTTGCTGACTTTTTCTTTCAAAAAGTCATGGAATGATACTCGACTATTTGTCTTTGAGCCTCGTTTCCTAGTCTCTCTTCCCTTAACCACTGGTGTTAACAACGAAACTATGTAAAAGAAAAAGAAAAACACCCAACACGTAATTCTCTCCATCATCCATACTGTTGTTCCACCCTGCCTACCCCTCAGAACCCAGTTGTTGAATGACCTTTGACATCCCATTTCCCTTCCGCTCTCCTTCCCATCCCCCAACAATTCATTATTTTCATCTGAATTCACGCTTGGTTTGCTTTTCTGAATTTGGCACAGATTGGATGGCCCAGATGCTTTCTCTCCTCCCTGCTTCTGACAGCGTTTGCTGGGTCCTGCCCCCTCCCTCTAATTTATATCAGTGCTGAATGGCTTGGAGAGTTGCAGTAGACAAAACTGGACCAGGAGACCATTTTCTGGCCCTCTCACGGCTATTGTGTCTGCTCGATACCCCAAACAAAGGTGACAGCCATTCAAAAGAAAGAAAGGGAGAAAGAAAGGGAGAATAAAAGCATGGAGGGAGGGGAGAAAGTAAGGAAAAGCCATTGTGTAACTGATCACAATGAGTGAATACGCTGGTAGTCAAATTACTGTGAATGGAATGGGTTAAGGCAGGGGAGACTAATCAGAGACATTGTGAGGCCTTGAGGACTTGCATTGTATATGAACAGGGTATACCAACTGCTCCCAATACAATTAACAACTGGCATTGCCATCTATCCTCCCTCTCTCTGCTTGAGCCCCTGACTGTTTCCACATCCTTGACATATGTTGAGCCAATACAGTGTTGACTGATTTCACATCCATCTTTTCAGAAGTATGCAAGGCCAAGAGCAGAAGGAAGTCAGGGGGCGGGGCGGGGAATAGAACATTGACAACAAGATTAAATTTAAGCATTTTGTATAAAGTTGGTACAGAAGCAGGGGCGGAGCAAGGTGGGTGCAGTGGGTGCGGTCAGTCCTGGGGGGTGACAAAATGCTGTGTGGCACTCAATGTCTGTGAGAGACGCTGTGGCTTTGGCGAGCGCAGGCTTCCCGCTGCCAAAACATCCCACCCGCTGGCTCCCCCTCAGCCATAGGGCGGCAGGCAGACTCTTTGTCGCAAGGCACGTGATCGCCACAGAAAAAGCTCAACAACTCCCCCCCAAAAAATATGAAAGAAAGTCAAACAATTTTTGCAGGCAAAAAGAAAAAAAAATCAATGGGGGGTTGACAAGAAATTTTCTGCACCGGGTACCACCTGACCTTGCTATGCCACTGTACAGAAGAGTGGCTCGGAGTCCAAGCTGTGAATCAGAAAGTCCCTGCTTCAAATCCCATCTCTTAATGGCCTTGGTCCTCCATCAGCCTCCATCAGCCCTCCATCTGCAGTAATAATGCTGACCTACTTGATAGGGTTGAGAGATACAAAAGAGGACAAGGCGCTTGTACCTTTAATAACTCTTTCTTGCCTGGATGGAAAGATGCACAAGTGCAGAAGCCTCTGGCATGAAAGTGGCTGGAATGTAGCGGACTGTGGAAGTGTAAGAGTCACATTCTTTGTTGTGCCCACTTTTGCCTTTTCCTCTCATGTCACCCACAACTGGAAGGCTTCCCATGAGACGATGCAGCTCTCAGACTGAAAAAAAAGTTCCCTCTCCCGCGGTATACATTTTCCTAGCAGATAGTCCCACTCACACCCACTAGAGCACACATGGGGGACCTGAGAGCCTCCCGATGTTGTTTAATGACAGCTCCCTGTATTCTTGACTATTGGCCATGCTGGCTGGAGCTGATGGGAGGTGGAACTTCCCCTTACTGTGTGCCATGGCTCCAATCCAGGCCACTTCTCTCTCCAGCTGCTTTTGCCATGGCCAAGTTATAAGCATTGTAACGAAAAGTGCTTTCAACATTACATGTAACTTGGCCCTTGTGGCACAGGGTTGCGTTCCAAGAGTCTACAATGTCAACTGCAAACTAAAATTGGCTTGTTTAATTCAAAGCTGTTTGCCATCATAGGGAATACTGAGATGGGCAACCTTGAATGGCGGCCTACAAAATAACATATTCAGTATTCTGTTTTGTAATAAAAAAATAAAATATTAAATATAGCATTTCCTTCGACCAATTGTTTAATAAACTGTAAATCATCTAACAATGTATATATTTCCTTTAGGAACTTCAAAACATCACATTCGTTTAGAGTTTGCAATACAAGGAGGACATTAGATTAAAATGCCAGCTAATGATGCTTTATTAAAATAAAAAAATCTTTAATTGGTGGCTTCTTGACAAGTGCCTGAAGCAGCTGCCCAGCCCAGTCTGGAGAATTGCTTCTTGTTTTCCAGATCAGCTGCCCAGGACTGCTCAAGCATCTGTTGTATGCGTATCAAAGGCAGACGACTTTGGGACAACATGAAAATATGCTTGAATCTCTCTCTTGTTTATTGTCTGGATGGCTTCTTTGCGGCCTGTTTTTGTGCCACTGAGAGAACTTAATGAGTCTCAGCTTCTCTAACATTCATGAAATCCCCGGGATAATGAGTATGCAAAATATATTACTGCTGCTTTTAAAAGGGTCTGCTTAGGCGTTCCACTCCCTCAGCAAGCTCATCCAGGCTTGAATAAAAGCACGATTAAGTGTGAAATTGGCCCAAGCAGCTGTTTTCAGTGAAGAGTTTCTCTAAACCTCCCACTGCTGTAGGAAGCAGAAGGAGCCACAAGGTATTTCATAGAAAAGAACAATGTGGAGTGGCAGTAAGTATCCACAACATCCCTCGACCTTTCCTTAATACCAGGTAGCAGCTGAATATTCAGGTCAAAGGTTATGATGGGCTGCTGTCTGGCTCCCTGACCATGGACTAGGGTGCCTTATCATCATCATCATCATCATCACCATCATGTGTGGTCCTATGTGCAATTAGTAAGAAGTAAGTACTCATGAGATCAGTTATGCTTATAAAAACTGCAGTCTCAGATAGTCTGAAGCAAGAAAATTGCCACTTGCAAGCATAAGAAGGACTTTGATAGTATTTCCCTACATTTCCAGGTCAGTGCTACTGCACCAGATGAAAAATTTAGACTGCTGGCATTTTTATCTAAGTTGCACGTTAAATGGATGCCATACCGTATGATGGTGAAGAATTCCAGCTATTTCCAACCATGTTTGTGTGTACACAGTCTTTTCTTGGCAGTTTTCAAAACTTCATTAATTTAAGAAATAATACTGCATTCTAGGAAGAAATATTTCAAATTGCTTGACTGAAAATGAAGACCTGCCATTGTGACCTAACAAACCCTGTTTTATTCGGAGGAACAGCATGAGGTCCTTGCTTTTCTAGTTCATTACCTTCATGCTGAAAGGTTTATCTGTAGTCCTGTGACAGCCAATAGGAAAGCAGGCACCTGACATGACATTCTTCACTAAACGTGGCCATTGGCTTTATAAAGTAACAAGGTGATGAAATCTCCCAGTCATCCATATCCTCTGTTCAGGCAAACTCGCCTTCCTGTTAAGCTGTCTGATTCTGACAGCAACTTTTTTAGCCATCAGATAAACTCCCCTTAAACAGATAATGCCAGGTTGTTCTCCCTGTAGTTTATTAATTAAATAATAGTGTCTTTAACTGGAGATAAATTAAGGTGTCATTTAGAAGGCTTACTGTTCATTGAAATATCATGCTCACAGCAAGAAAAAATAGCTTCAAATGTGCTTAGTTTATATGTATAGCAGTAACTTTGACTTTTTGTGTGTGATTTTACTCACAGTTTAATTATTAAGTTTTCCTATGAGGATGGGACCAGCTGACAGTGCAAGTGGTCAGAGAATTTTAATCCACTGCCTTTGTTCTTAGATGCAGCTAAGAGGCTGCTATAATATGCAATGCAGTAATAAGAGACAGCTTTACAGCAATTCAGAAGTGCTATCACCTAAACAAGGGGTAGGCAACCTAAGGCCCGGGGGCCAGATGCGCCCAATCACCTTCTCAATCCAGCCCATGGGCAGTCCAGGAATCAGCGTGTTTTTACATGAGTAGAATGTGTCCTTTCATTTAAAATGAATTTCTGGGTTATTTATGGGGCATAGGAATTCATTCATATTTTTTTCCAAAAATATAGTCCGGCCCACCACATGGTCTGAGGGGCAGTGGACCGGCCCACGGCTGAAAAAGGTTGCTGACCCCTGACCTAAACCATGGATTGTGATCCGGAACATGCAAGATTTTCAGTTATATTCCACATAGCTACTGGACATCCAAACATTTATGCATCGCCCCAAAGATGAAAGTAATCATACACACCCAAAAGAAGACACATTTGCATTTGCATACGCTGATTTATGTGTATACAGTATATGGAAATTTAGGAATAATTACAGTAATTTACATAGAAATTCAATATATTTTACCATAGTGGAGAAGCCTGTGACCAGATTGCCTATGTGCTCTCCAGTCTTTTGGCCAGCTACTAGCTGTTGATGAGCAACGTCAAGGCATCTGCAATCCATTCTTACAGGGTTCCACCCCCTTTAAGCCAAACAGACAACCTTTCAAATAAAGGGCTGTTCTCTGGCTACTCTTCAGACACTGTCCTCTAGAGTGCAGGATTCACGTCAACCCTGTTCCTCATTCATTACTTACCTGCACATTCAGAGAAGCAAATACAAGAGTCATACTTCCAAATCAAGATGGGGGAAATCATCTGATTGAAATACGTTAATATTTCATTTGTTTTAACTGTGATTTACTACCCCTGAATCACTGGGTTGTTGTGAAGATGAATGAAATGAATTAGTGAAAACTTGAGGACATGACATTGTCAAGAGCAGGCTGATACATTGGCATAAAGGTAAAGGGTAAAGGGACCCCTGACCATTAGGTCCAGTCGCAGACAACTCTGGGGTTGCAACGCTCATCTCGCTTTAGTGGCCAAGGGAGCTGGCGTACAACTTCCGGGTCATGCAGCCACCATGACTAAGCCGCTTCTGGCAAACCAGAGCAGCGCACGGAAACGCTGTTTACCTTCCCGCCGGAGCGGTACCTATTTATCTCCTTGCACTTTGACGTGCTTTCAAACTGCTAGGTGGGCAGGAGCTGGGACCGAGCAATGGGAGCTCACCCCGTCGCGGGGATTCAAACCGCCAACCTTCTGATTGGCAAGCCCTAGGCTCTGTGGTTTAGACCACAGCGCCACCTGCGTCCCATGATACTGGCATAGTATCATTATTAATGTTGCCACAGATACGTCTTAACCACTTTGCTGCCAATGAGCTACACTACAGGGATGAGACAGCTAAGGGGAAAGTGTTCGCAAGCCTGACCTAGATACATGTTCCAAGCCAACAACGAAAGAGGAACTTGACTGGGAGAAAGGAGCCAAACAAAAATGTACTCGCAGTATCTATTTTCAGTGCAAATCTAAGCACGCTTATTCAAAATGAATGACATTGAGTTCAATGGGACCTAGTCCCAATTAAGTGTGTACAAGATTGAATTGAGGAAGGGCCCTAGTTCAATGGAAGACCATCTGCTTTGCATGCAAAAGGTCTCAGCTTCGTTCTGTGGCATCTCTAAATAGGGCTGGGAGAGACTTCTGGCTGTAATCCTGGAGATTTGCTACCAGCAAGTGTGTGGACAGCACTGGTCTGGCTCCGTACAAGTCAGCTTCCTATGTTCCTCGTTCGCCTTTGTGTGCTGCTCTTTTCCTGTCCCATAGAGTCTCTGTTGGCAGCGCCTGTGGCGTACAACTGTTTATATTTAATGTATGCTGTCACTCGCTTCCACATTAGTCATAAATCAGCTGACAGGAACCAAATGACCAGCTTCCTTCCCATTGGTTGTAGCAACATGCCGTTAGTCACACAGAACGTTAAGCAGATTGTTTCTTTTCATCTCTTAAAACAGGACCTGCAGAGTTCTTCACTTGGCTAGATTTGAATTGGTGGAAGTGCAAGCAGTTTGTGTATCTGGATGACTTCACTGCTTTCTTTTTCAGGTTCCCCTTTTCAGGTTCCCACTCATAAAAGCCACCAGTGTATTGTGATATCATAGCCTTGGCAATACAAAGGCTGCTCTTTAGCCTGTAGTTTTAAATCCATTTTTCAAAAAGCTGTTGCCGATGTGACAGAAGCCCTGATCTTAAATGTAATGCAACATGTTAAGCATGCCTCAAATGATTTTTATTAATGTTTCCATCTGATTTTTTAGTTTATAGGTGTTTTGAGTACTTAAAGCATTTTGTTTTACCTTAACAACAGAATTTAGGGAGCAGTCCTAACTTCAGCTGATACCAGGTGGGGCTGCTGTGAACAGGCGGATTGGACCCATATCTTTATTATTTATTTATTTATTTGGTTTTTTCAGATTAAAGTTTTTCAATCACATATTGAACATACAACATAAAAACAAGATTCCAAGGAATCTCTTGGACTTCCCTCATCCCCTTTGTGGGTCCTATTGTTAATCATTTCCTCCTGCATCTTGTATTATAATCCAAGGCTTTTACATTTCCATTATGCCCAAAATTCACCCCTAAACTACAGGGGTTATTCCAGTCCTACAGATTTTAGCTGTTTACAATGGTTTTTAAGATAAATTTTATTTTTTTCCCATTGGACCCATATCTGTCTCAATGCCATCACCTGACAGCAGTGGGGTTGACTTGGGATCCAATGGATCTGAGCCAGCTCAGCCACTCACCATCCTCGGAATGCCCCATTTTGAGGATCCTGCCAGTGGCACTCTCACCAACCCACACCTTTGGAGGGTAGAAGGGGACGGTCTGTGCCGATGGACTGATCCTACTGTCTCTGCTCAGGTGGTGGGCATTGGAGGCCAGCATGGCCAGGCAGAGGAGTACCCCCACTCAATCTATTTCCCCCCCCCCCCCAGATCAGAGCAAAGGGGCAAAGACTGCTCTAAGAAATTAGCTACCTGGTCTGGAAAAAACAAACGAACCACAAATATAATTGTTACCATTTTCTTTATCCTGAAAGGCTCCTATTAACAATCCAGGCATAATGTTATGTACTAAGCTTAGATCCTAGAACAATAGGCAAGTAGGATCCTAGAATGCAACAACTGATTGGCTTGCAGGAAAAGACCAATCCAGGCTCCAGGAGGGAAGCAGAATCAGCCAATCAGATGGGACTCATTGTGTAAATAATGTATATAAAAGCCTGAGGTTTGGAGGGCAACTCAATCACCGTTTTACAAGCTGCAAAAAAGAGCATGAAATCACTACAGGACTCTGAGTATATTTCACATAAGTTTGACCCCAGTGCTGGGATGCTGTGTTCATTTTTGACCCATTTGGAATCATGGCATGGGACAGTGCTTGTGCAGAGGCAATGAAGAGGACAGCCATGGTGTGTGTTTTTTTACTAGCAATGAGTTGGTCCAGTTTCAGGGGCAAGCTTCAACTGATAAAACCCTTCAGAAGCTCTGCACAATGACTTCCACTTGCACAATGGAGGTTTCCTCCCTCACCTCCCCCATGGTGCTCCCTGCATTCCCAGAATTGGCTGGGGGGGGGGTGTCAGGAGAACCTGAGACAGCACACAGGAGCAGGAGAAGGGTGGTTATTCTGCTGGCAAGCCCAAATGCTTTCGCTGGCGGAACAATCATCAGAATGTGATGTTGAGTTCCTCCAGTTATTTTATTTCACTTTACCTTGTGTTTATGCACTTTGGAATAGACAGAAGCCAGCAACCCACAGGTTCCACTCATAAGGAAGAATAAGGGTGGCAAACTGTGTAGTGGAGTAAGAAATGAAGAACAAGCTTTCCATATGGTACACAGGAGAAGTGTATGTGTGTTGGGAGGTGGGGAAAATACACTTAGGCAGGAGGTGTCTTGTGTTAAGGAGACAGACCTGTTCTTTGTTCCGTTCTCTATAAATCTGCATCCCCTCCGTTCCTTTCCCCAGAGGATCTATTTCCAGCCAATCAGCATAAATGGAGACATAGTCCTTATTCACACTGCATGGCTCCTTGGGGGAGGGTGGATGTCATAAAATACCAGGAAGGACAACCATTAAATCATACAGAAGGTTGAGGAATTTACCAGTATTAAATGGGCTGATCTGAAACCTAAGAACTCAAAAACAAACAAATGCTGTTTTCTGGCCACCCCTGATCTCCCACCCTCCACTTTTCCTCTCCCCCTTTTGGATTAAAAACCCTCCAAGAACATTCAGTCTCTGGGGATCTGGGGAGTAATTAAACATTTTGTGCATCGTTTCATCCTCTGCCAAGCAGCTGGCATCACACAAAACCTCCCCTTGCCAGCCTTTTCCACTGATGCCAAATAATATAAAATCCACCAATTGGAAGAAATATCCAAATGCTTCTGAATCACCCTTGAGATCCCATGTGACTTAAACATATGGATGATGTCAGGAAAGCTGTAGATCTGATAGCTGTGCTGTGTCCACAAGATACCATTTATTTGAAGTAGAGCCTTTGAGTAAGACGACTTGCACTTAGAAAGTCTGGGTTCAAATGAGCCCTCTCACTATGTACTGCTGCAGACGGCCACAATATTGACAACTCAGGCTGCTACAGTTAAATAGCACTGTGCGCAAAGGGGGGAATTTTGGGAGGGCAGTTCCTCCACACCATGTTTTAGAGGTATGGAGAAAGAAGATCCAGATCTACAAACAATTTTGAGGGCAGTTTTAGAGGTTTTTTTGTTAGGATCATTGATTTGCAGTAGCACATTGCAGTAGCACATTGATTTGCAGTAGCTTCCCACATAGGATTCTGGGAGCTGTAGTTTGTTAAGGGTGCTGGGAATTGTAGTTCTATGAAGGATAACACTACACTTCCCAGGATTCTCTGTGGAAAGGCATGTACTTCAAAGGCAAAACCAGTCACTGCTGTTTTGATGTGACTGCAGTTTTGTATTTGTACCTGCAGGTTTTACTACTGGATAACTCCTGGTGTGCAGCAGGTAATGATTCACTCCTCCAGTCCCCGTACCTCCTTGCTCCTATTGGCTCTCTCCCACTTTCACTGCTGGGTGAAGAAGAGAAGAGTTTGGATTTGATTTCCCGCTTTATCACTACCCTAAGGAGTCTCAAAGCGGCTAACATTCTCCTTTCCCTTCCTCCCCCACAACAAACACTCTGTGAGGTGAGTGGGGCTGAGAGACTTCAGAGACGTGTGACTAGCCCAAGGTCACCCAGCAGCTGCATGTGGAGGAGCGGAGACGCGAACCCGGTTCCCCAGATTACGAGTCTACTGCTCTTAACCACTACACCACACTGGCTCACTACACCATACTGGGTGAAAGCCAATGGGAGCTGAGGAGTGTCTTGTTCAGAATAAGTCATCCCCAAAGGATGAGGGTGAAAATGCTTACGATTGTCCAAAAGCAGAAGAGGTAGAATAAGGCAATGAAAATGCAAAGGGACATGATAACAATCCAAAGAGGCCAATGCCCCATAGGAAAAAAAATGCGCATTGCATAGGCACTTTTGAAGAGACAACATGTATATTTGTTTTTTATGCTGTTGCTAGAAGTCTCTGAGCCAAGATGAGCAAGCAGAAGTGCTTGGGTTTTTGTTCTGGTTTTGTTGTTTTTGTTTAAGAGAATAGTTATAGTGGGCGTAACGGAAACCTGGTGGAATGGAATGGAAATCTGGTGGAAACTGCTGGACGTCGTTGTCTCTGGATACAAACTCGATAGAAAGTTGCTCTGGATATCAAAGAGGACATGGACATGGACAACAAGATAGAAATTCCACAAAACAGCAGAGGATGGCAATACTGGACTCCAAGAGTAATTTTGTAATGGGGTTGCATTATTGCCCTTCTGATATAATAACAGGATGGTGTTGAGATGGAAAATGAAACCAAGGAGGCATCAAAAGAAGGAAATGTAGTAATGGGTAAGTCCATTACCCTCACATAGACTAAGTGTATATTCCTGCACTGTAAAATTTCTAGATCCTTAGAATGATGGTATCATTTGTTATTAAACTGAGCAGACGAGAGGTGATCCTGGATTTAATCTTAAGTGGTGTACTGGACCTGCTACAAGATGCAAGTCTTGTTGCACCGCTTGGATACAGGGACCACATTGCAATCCAATTCAACAGATAACACCAGTGGACAATTGACAACAAAGCTCAGTGGCCTCACATTTTACTTCAAAAGAGGAAATGCTCCACAGTAAATGTAGCAGTCATGGGAAACGAGGGCAGGTTCTGTTATGGATCCACACCTGGTTAAACAACAAGAAGCAGAGAGGATGGGGAAATGGACATTTCTCATAATGGAAAGGTGTAAGAAGTCGGGGGTGGTACTATATTAGGAATGGTGGTTTGAAACTTGCTCGTGAATGACAGGGGTGAACCATGAGGTAGCCAAATTTGATGACACCCAATTGTTCCAGGTGGTAAGAACAAAAAGGTATTGCAGGGCATTCTGTGCACAAAATGTAACATAGGAAACAGCACCCAGTCCTGGACATATTCTTGTTTCATCTCAACTGCGAAAAACCCCCACATTTTATATCATTCTACCTATGGCAATAAATTTTGTTAGTGTGTGCTTATTAGACATGGTCTGTTCATAATTACTTGCCCTGGCAAATGATACAAGAATGAATTCATCACTTGATTGTTTGTTTTCAACACCCATCTAGCATTTGCTTTTTCTCTCTTGTGGCTGGCATTGAATACTGGGCCAGACCTTGAAAAAGTACTTCCTTCCTGCAGGGAGTTGGTCAACAACATGACCAGGAATTCCACATCTGTTTGGGAACCACCCGGAATCTCTCTTTGCCATTCTAGACTGCTAAGTGTTGCTAATTTCACTTGTATCCTGAGCAATTATGCATTGATATTCTGCAATTGTAAAAGCAGTATGATTGGGATTGGTGTGTATATTCCGATGACGAACACTTTATATGTTTATTGGGGAGAGGGATAAGAACAGAAGAAGAGCTCTGTTGGATCAGACAGAGGTTCCCTCAGTAAAATCCCTTTTCCAGCATTCACAGTTGTTCTGCTCTGTTTTTTTCAGTTCTTTACACCTTTGCAAAGCTCATGTTACCTGCATGCTAATTATGTTTAATAACAGGTGGGGGAGCTGAGTTCTTGCAGTAAGTTCTGCCTTAAAATAGCAGCCCAGCTTTTGCAATAATGATGCAAATCGTCCTAAATAAATGTCAGATAAAATGCTCAAGCCAGAAATATAATACAAACTTCAAAACTGATTAGGGAGTTAGATCAGTCTTTCTCATGTTAGCCTGCTTCTCAGACAGACATGGTTTACAGCAGGCATAGGCAAACTGCCCTCCAGATGTTTTGGGACTACAACTCCCATCATCCTCAGCTAACAGGACCAGTGGTCAGGGATGATGGGAGTTGTAGTCCCAAAACATCTGGAGGGCTGAGTTTGCCTGTGTCTGGTTTACAGGAATGGAGTTTAACTTGAAGTAAAAAGTCCTGGTCTCATTTCCTTCTAACTGTAAATTTGTAACACTCACTGACAAATACTGCTGGTTCAAGAATTCTCCCATGTGAAAGTGGTTGCTGATTCAACGTCACATATAAAGTCTCATTCACTAGCATAAGAATACTTTGCAAATGGAAAAGTATAAGCAAGAGAGCATAGCATACAATCAAAATGATAAAAGAACCATATAGGAAGTGATAGTCAACACCCTCCTTTTGCACAATAAACTACAAGGAAATGATTATAATATAAATAGTTCTGTGTGGTTCACTTGGAAATATTAAGCATGATTTCCTGGAATTACATTCACTTTGTTGCCAAACCACCAAACAATAAGGAAAGTCCAAGAAAAAGTAACAGCAAAACGATGCCTTGGCTTATCTAAAGCAGACCTGTAAAACTTGTGGTTTACCAAGCTGAAAGCAGTAGCTTACCTGTTTATGGTGCCCTCCTCAATAGGACCTTCATAAAGCTTCTGTTTTGTGCCTGCCTAGGAATCGTAAAAAAACCAAAAAAAACCTGGATGGCTGTCAAGCACCAGGCATGTCATAATTCCTAGTTGATGGGCTGTATTTGACTTGATAGGTCATAAACTAGGTTAAAGAGTGCACATTTCAAGCAGAGTAATTCTGCCACCTAGTGGTCTAGAGATAACATCACAGTTGCATTTTTTGGTCCAGTAAATTCTATATGGCCTTGCCTGTAATTTAAAAAGATAAACTAAATGATGCAAATTTTATTTTACTTGTTTAAATTTATGAATTGTCTTCCACATAAGTCTCGATGTGATTTAAGTATTTAAAAGTTACATCAAATTCCATAAACTTTTCACAAGAAATAACCAGAAACACCCACTACATACTCTTCAACGGCATATAGAAAAACATAATAAAACATTAAACATTACAATCTTCCCCATACAGGGCTGCCTTAGATGGCTTGGGGGCTGGATGACTCCATACCCTCCAATGTTTCTCCAATGAAAATAGGGACATCCTAAGGAAAAGAGGGACATTCCGGGATCAAATCAGAAACTGGGTCGACTTCTGTAAATCCGGGACTCTCACTGGAAAATAGGGAACCTTGGAGGGTCTGCCACTATATCTAGGATTAGTCCTGAGAAACAGTGTAGCTTTTCCATTAAGACTTCAGAAATAATTAGCATTTGATGTCTGTTATTTATGCCTTATGCCTGTCATGATTTTAAAATTGGTTTTGGAACCATATGTATGCATATAAGATGTTTACAACATGCAGGTAGCAATTCCTCCTCTCTCCTTAACAAAACTACTGGTGCCCTCATTTCATTGTGTCTAAACTGTGCCAGATACTTCATTATTGACATGACAGCAGCTTCTTCCTTTTTTTTAAATGAGAGACTACATTTTTAATGGCAGACAGGCTTATGCATCTTCAAGAGATTTTTCTGATGGTATGGAAATCATTTATCACTGTGGCACTTACATCTTGCTATATATCACGATGGATTCACATTGGGCTTGCTATTGTGGCTAGAGAATTTGTGCTGGGATGGTTGTTAAAATCAATGTTCTTCTTAGTGCAGCATTTTCACATTCTTCCTTGTTCAGCAAGCCATTACAGTGGTACCTCAGATTACATACACTTCAGATTAAATACGCTTCAGGTTACAGACTCCGCTAACCCAGAAATAGTGCTTCAGGTTAAGAACTTTGCTTCAGGATGAGAACAGAACTCGTGCTCCAGTGGCGCAGCGGCAGCAGGAGGCCCCATTAGCTAAAGTGGTGCTTCAGGTTAAGAACAGTTTCAGGTTAAGAACGGACCTCCGGAACGAATTAAGTACTTAACCTGAGGTACCACTGTACAGAGAAACGTGATGTCTGAAGAGATTTTCTTTTTCAAGTCCGCTTACAGAAATCCTCCTAAAATAGTTGTCTTTTGGCCAAAGATTACAGTGGACGCTCAGGTTGCGAATGTGATCCGTTCGGGAGGCACGTTCGCAACCCTCAGCGTTCGCAACCTGCAGTGCTACGTCTGTGCACACGCAGGTCGCAATTCAGCACTTCTGCGCATGAGCAAAGCGTGATTTAGCGCTTCTGCGCATGCGCGAGCACCAAAACCCAGAAGTAACCTGTTCCGGTACTTTTGGGTTTGGCACAGTGCACAACCCAAAAACACACAACCTGAAGCGCCTGTAACCTGAGATATGACTGTATATGCACTTTATCCCTTATAGTTGTATGGATCACATCAACAGTTCTGGGGCTTGGCAGGAGGATCCATAATTACAGACACCCAGAGATGAACCTGAACTGAAGCATTTGAGAGACTCTACTTCCTAACACAAAGAATGGTCAACCATCATAACATTTGAACTGTTTATTATTGTTAATGTTACAGCATAATAATAATTTTAAAAAAGAAAAGCAACATAAAGGATTTAATTAACGCAAGTAAGATAATTACATATTGATTGTTTCATTTTATCAAAATACTATTTTAGGAGGAAGTATAAAAGCAAAAACATCTATCTTTGAATTCATAAGATGTGGCTGAGTATTGCCAACTTTAAACAACAGTGGTGTAGGAAATACCTATGATATATTTTTTTGAAACTATTATTATTATTATTATTATTATTATTATTATTATTATTATACTGCCCTACACCTGCAGGTTCACAGGATTCAGGGCGGTTCACAGGATCATTTGCCATACCATCCTTAAAAGTAGGTGTGATTCCATTTTTATACCTGGCCCTGCAGGCTGTGACTTGATGGCAATTGTGATCCAGCCACATGTGTTCTAAATGTTCCAAATGTTCCAAATGTTTTATGCTTCAAAATCCTGAAAAACATACTTTCAACCATCATATTTACATCTTTCCATCACAGCTGATAACATTAGTTGATATAATTGCATCTGCTCACTCTGAAAAACTCCTGGTTGCATCACACTACAAGCAACCGTCAGACTTCAACACAAGTTGGCTGCACAGTTGCAGTCTTATGCATAGTTACTTGGATGTCATTCAGATTGGAAAAGAGTGGTATTTAATTACTATTATCATGTAGGTGGGTGGATTTCTGTGGTGGGTGGGTAAAAAGGTAAAGGATCCTGGATGGTTAAGTCCAGTCAAAGGCGACTATGGGGTTGCGGCACTCATCTCGCCTTCAGACCGAGGGAGCCGATGTTTGTCCAGAAACAGCTTTCTGGGTCATGTGGACAGCATGATGTGGACAGCATGACTAAACTGCTTCTGGCGCAACAGAACACCATGACAGAAACCAGAGCGCACAGAAACGCTGTTTACCTTCCCAACGCAGCATTATCTATTTATCTACTTGCACTGGTATGTTCCTGCACTTCTAGGTTGGCAGGAGCTGGGATAGAGCAACAGGAGCTCACTCCTTCACAGGGAATAATAATAATAATAATAATAATAATAATAATAATAATAATAATAATATATTATTTATACCCTGCCCATCTGGGTTTGAACTGCCAACCTTCTGATTGGCAAGCCCAAGAGGCTCAGTGGTTTAGACCACAGCACTACCTGTGCTCTGCTTTGGGTCAACCCATCACTGGCATCTGGGTCCCAGAAAGTTACCCACAAGGGATTGTAGCTCTCACACTAAAAATATTCAATACCCCAGCTTAATTAATTCATTAATCAACAAGCAGCAGAAAAGTGCCTTACGTTACTACTATTCTGTCCTTAAAAGGAAACAGATGACTGGTGCTGTAACTAAGGGAAGTGGGAGTTGCACAAAATAATACATTCATGTTCAATATTTAGCTGTCCAAAAAGAAAGATGCTGGTGAGCTAAATCCTGCATAAACCTGCTGGGCTCTGACTTAAAACTCACTTATCCTAGATGTACTATAAGCATCTGCAACCTGGTGCTCTCCAGATGTTTTAGACCAGTACCCCCACAACCCTAGCCATTGGCTATAAAGGCTGAGACTGATGTTAGTTGTAATCCAAAACATCTGGAGGCCACCAGGTTTGGTAATGTTGTTGCTATATATGCTTTTTTCATGGCCGTTCAGCTCAGAAGCTCCCTTCCCTATGATGATTTCACATGCTCCCAGACGAAGCTGTGAGTGACACTTAAAACTATCTCTGTAAATATTAGCTTTCTCTTCAGAGCTAAAAGCAGAGAGGATGATGCACTGAGCAATAGAAACCTTATTCATATTCAGAGGGCATTGCTGAAGACTGGGAACTGACTGTCCTAACACATACATATTCTATGCAAATCAAAATCACCAAAATATTAAGAAAAGGTATTATGGGATTCAGATCAGGGGACTGTGAAAATTAAAGTGATGAAGGTAATTGAAATGCCATTGTGTATTTGCCCTTGGAGTAATCAATAATACTGATCAATTAACTACTCCGTACTCACTTTACTAATTCTGATTGCTTACTGTTATTAGCGAGTGCACCTGCTGTCATTATTGGAACTTGGATGGTATCTAAACAACTGCAGAGATAGACATAAAACATTGCTAAGAAGACAGAAAAGGTGTATAGAATATGCACTGACTTAGACATGCTGCTGCCTCCTCTAAGTGGATTCCTTTGGACTTTACCACACTTTTGAGATTGTGGTGGATGCTACGTGCAAAATACACAACCATTTACAGTTGTGTGAATTCCATGTGAGCAGGTTTGCACGTGCACCATTCTCCATGTGATTCTGGATGCACACGAGCTTGTTGTCAAGGAGGCTGCTGCCCGCTTGAACGTGCCCAATGCAACTGGCCAAAGGAAGCAAACAATTTGCAGAAAACTCTCGACAGCAACACATTTTCAAGGGTCTCCTTGAGTGCTCCTTGCTTATACAACCACCATAATGTCTCCCAGTGGTTTCCGTGTCAGGTCTGGCACAGTAGCATCTTTTCTGGGGTAGCCGACAGGTAACAGCAAGAGTAGCTTTTCATTTGTTGGACGCTCAAGCAGCACCCTTAGGCGTGGGCCGCAGTTCAGGGGTGTAGAGGTAACCGTCACCAGACCCACATTCTAAAGAAGAAAAGGAAATACTGGAACACTCTAGGAACACAGCATCTATCACCTCCCTTATCTGTGCTCTATAAACTTCCTTCTTTACATGTTCACAAAAATGAATAATTTTGTTAGACTCTTTTGTCCTTTTTGCTATACATATTAGTTATTTTGGTGGTTCCCCTTCCCTTTATGTAAGGGGTAAAACTCTGCAGCTCATGAAACAGCTCTCATAACATCAAGCCATAACCCAGAAGTTATGTGTGAGGACATACAGCATGCTTTTGCAGCTGTTTTAGCTCACCACATATGAGCTCACATGGTGTAGCCACAGAAGAGCTGGGTTTTAAAGTGTTGTTGTTTTTAAATTCCTCTCAGCTTACTGTGCAGCCTCAACCGTGTCATTATCTCCGATCCTAGTCTACCTTAAAGGATTGTTATAAGGCTGAAGTGACCCTCTTATAAACTCCACAAAAGAAGGATGAGAAGCAAATGTGACTTGCAATGGTGTGCATAACCTTATTTGAAGAATGGGGGCTGGGTCCCACTGAAACAAACAGCACAGTTAAATGCTTGAGGCTGATGTTCTAACAAGCCTGCTTACTAAAATGCAGGCCCAAAGAGCTTAGTAGGACTTACTTTGGAATAAATGGAGAAGAGCCACAGTAGCTCAGGGATAGTTGTGTGCTTTGCATGTTGGAGGTCCTAGGTGCAGTTAAACGGATCTGACTCAGTATAAGCTTCCCATGCTCCTACGTATGTTTAGCATTGGAGCCCCAGTGGGACTGAGGCATGCTCAGCTTTCTCTGGTTTGTATCTAAATATATACTTATGTATACTTTACATTACAGACCACAGTATTTCTCTGTGTGTTTTTGCTCAAACGTTCACTGCAGCCTATGCTAACCTAACAGTTGTGCCTGAGCATCTGCTTCTCTGTGTGGTAGTCCTAGGGAACTTCCAGACTGTTAAATTGACAAATTCAGATTGCGCACTTTAGACTTGATGCTCTTGTGCAACAAAGCCACTCCCCTCCATGGACCTTTTGCATTCAGGAAAATGACAAGCATTGGGAATTGCTTGATGCCACAATATCTAGCCTCTCTGCAAACAAGTCAGGATGAATGCTCAATAGAGAGATGGCCTGGAAATAACCCTAGGGTTCTCCCACTGGTGTTTTTCCTGCTCTGGGATACCTGGAAATATGGTCTGTTTCCTTTTAAGCCCTTCCCTGCCTTCCGCACCTTAACCAATGTGACCCAGAACACAATTTACTGAGAGGCTTCCCTAGAGGCTACTATCTTGAATACCTGCTGCACATTTCTTATGTTTCATTCACCTCTTGCTTTTTCCCAAATTGCAAGCATACCTGGAGTGCAGCGAGGAGGATGCCGCAGGCAATAGACACACTGATCTCATTGTAGTAGTGGGTTTTCTTTTTCCCATTTGGAAGCCTTCCATACACCTGCTTAAAAATAAGAATCAGGTAGGGAGCTGCATCCAAGTATTCTTTTATCCAGTTTGTCCTAGAAAAGGATATTTGTAAAATGTTATTTAACCTTTAGCTCCGCATAAAATATTTGCATTGGTTAACCTTCCTCCCCTGGCTATATACAACACTTTGCTCTAATCTGATAAGTCTGGCAGTCTGTGGTTCTCGGAATCAAAATATTTAGCAACTGGTCACTCCTCATTTTTGGTCCTAATTGCTTCTAAAACATGTGTGTAGGTTGGTTGTAGTTTTCTCTATCTGCAATATAGGTCCTGCGTTAATCTAAGCTTACCAGATTTTTTTCAATGAATCTGGGGACATTTTCAACTTCAGTGTATATTGTATGGGAACTGATTTGTAAATCTGGGGACTGTCCCTGGGAAACGGGGACATCTGGTAACCTTATTATAATCTATATCATTAAAAGCAAAACAAAAAACAAAAACAAATGGGATGTCACAAGGAAGCAAGATCTTTTGGAGTGTTAATGCTACAAGCCCTTCCATCTTATACTCAGATTGTATGCTTGCAAAAACAAAACCATATACAGTATCCTAAATACACCACGATATCCAGTGACATCCATTCCAAAGAAACCAAACCCTGCGTAAGTGCTGGAATCTCTGGGGTCTCTCACTGCTTGCGGGTTGGGGTGCACACAACAATATATATATTCCATCTGTTTAAGCTGCCAGACTTTTATGGAGAAGCATGTGTGTGTGGTCAGAGTCTTGGACTGGACCACCCACAGGTTACATTTTGCTCTTATTGCTTTTAGCTATCGTAGGGGTTGTCAAGGATGCCTTGATGGACAGAAAGTTGGGATATAAACATTTTCAATAAAAAATAAAGACATGGTGATGGATTGATGCTATTTACATAGTGAACCCTGAAGTCTGATGAAATTAGAAAAGTTCCCTTTTCCAGCTAGAAGTCGTTCCCTTGAGCTTTCTATTTCAGCTTCAGAAAGCAAGAACGGAGTGTTAGAAATACATATTTAAACAGTGAAATAAGTGAGTTGCTTTTAAAGGGCAGCAAATCTCTCCAAGTTCTTTACTGAAAACCTAATCTAATCTGGAAACTTTCAGCCTAAGCTTTTCTTAAAAATCCATCTCTCAGATTAGTTAACATCCCTGGCACTTACTAATTTTTAGAAAATATATATGCTGTTCTTCAAACAATAGTGTCTGTTATTTATTGAAAATAATAAAAGAGGAATCAGCCACATACAAATAAAACATTGAATGGGAGCTGTGATCCTGTAACCACTTATATATGGATAAGTCCCATTAAAATATATGTGACTGGCAAGTAAATCCACTGTTGAAATCAGGCTTAGGCTCACAAATGCTGACATCAGCCTTCTTCAAGTATTTTTCTGATTCAGTAATTCCATATGTGAGTGGGATACAGGGATCCTCTGCCTGCCCCATTGCTGTGACCCTCTATGAGCTGAATGGATGTTGCCTGAAGTGGGGTGTCGACTTCACTTATGTAGGCTCCCTGCACAATAGAGTCTCTCTGATTTTTCAAGGTTCTACATTGTACAGGGAGGCTCCCCAGATCAGACATCCGTTCATCAACTCATGGATGGTCAATGGGGCACAGCTAGCGCATTTGTACCATTGGCCCTCCTCATATTCTAAGCTTAGAAGAACACCTGAAGATACCAAACCCTTTTGGACTTTATGCCACTATCTAAGAAACAAGGGCTATGTATGCACACTTACACATTTGTAGCACCAAAATGTAGTTTACCTGAATCTGGAATCATTCGTGCTCATCCGCAACATGCTGCTTTCAATCTGAATTTATTCTGGATCTTGCCATCCACGTGGGTGGAATATGGTTACTTGATACATGTTTGAAAACTCTCTGCTTGATTAGGAAATTCTCCAAAATCTGCACTTCTGACATGAGTTGCCATATGTTTGGATTTTCCCAGACATTTAAGCGATTTCCACCAGGTTTCTGTTACAGATGGCCTAATCCCGGCTATGTCTGGGAAATTCCGGACGTATGGCAACCCCGGGTTATCAATGTCCTTTCGCCCCTGCACTTGCCCCAGGTGAATGAAAAAGTGGTGGTTTTGATCTTAGTATACTCCCACACATGACATCGTTGTGCAGATGTGAGCACACACACACACACACACACACACACACACACAGCTAGGACTACAAACATCAGTTTTTATCTGTTTTCCAATGGATTCATTGTGGGATAATGCAGAATTTATCTGCACCAAATGTTTATATTGGGAATGAAACCACTTTCTCAAGAGGCACTTTCTCAGGGCAAAAAGAAAATGCAGTAAATCTAGATTGTGTCTGGACTACATAGAAATAAAAATATTCTGTTTCCATTGTTTCCGGAATAAAATGTTCTTTTAGAATATTAGAAGAGGGTCTTAGAAGAGGAATCTAGAAGATTCAGGTGCTCACTGACATATCCTGCTCCTATACCCATTTGGAGATTTGAAAATTAAAACCAGCACCTTGAGTTATAGCTATAATATCCTGAATTATATCTAAAATATCCTGTCCAATATCCTGTCTCTCACACATTTTGATTCCAGGCCTTCTCCAAAAAGCATAATAAAAGACATATTTAAGCCACAGAAGCTGCCTGGAGCAGTCAGTATCACACTGGTATTGGTACCTCAATCTTTTCAGGTCATTAACCCATTTGTCCCCCATCCTTTTTTTGTAGTTTATTTCTTCTTCATCTTCAATGATCTCCCGGATCTTATGTTTTATTTCTGCATCTTGCACTACTACAAAGGTCCAAGGCTCCGTGTGTGCCCCACTGGGAGATGTTCCTTTAATCAAATCAAATAAATGCTCATATTAAAGGAAGCTGTGCCACAAAAGCATAAGGAAAATTAAACCTTATGACACCCAGGAGATCTCACCCTAGCTCTTCAAATTCCACGATTTATTTGATTTTCATTGGAGGGGTAATGTGGGAGCAAGGAAGGTGTCTGTGGGGAGAGGAAACAAATTCTGATAACACACTTTGCAACCCAGTGCTGAAATGCAGCCTGAGATGTTTAGATCTACTCTAGGCTCTAGAGCAAGGATGGAGAACCTGTGGCCATTCAGATGTTACTGGACTCCAGATCCCACGTGCCTCAACCAGCACAGCCAATGGTCAGCTAGAGTCTAGCTGCAGGGCCAGTGATCTAATGCCACTGTTTCTGGGCTGTGTCTCTTCCTGTGTGGTCCTTGGTTTCTCACATTACCCTGGCGGCATGCAAAGCTTCCCATCACACCAGCATAATGTAAAAAACATGTACACAGTTAGAATGCTGGGAGGGGATCCTTTGAGGAATATTGAAGCCAGCTGTGAATTTTGACACAAAGGGGTGCCCCCCTCCTCTTCTTCACTACCATCGCTGACTCCTATTGCAGACATCATTTCATAATATCACTTGAACACATTTACCATTAAAGACAATGGGATACTAGAATGTCTGACCAACGTTTTTGTCACTCCCTGGGAATCCATTCAGGCAGCATAGTACCTGCTGTTTTAATCACGTTGTCAATGACCTCTCTTGGAACCGGCTCGTCACTTATAAACCGGACCGATCGTCTCTTATTGAGAAGCTCGTAGAAAGCCTTTGATCTCTTCACCATGTCTTCTTCAGCATATCGCTCGGTTGAAAAGGGGATGTGTGCAATGTTGTCATCTAAGCCTTGCCATTCACCACCATCATCTGAGTGGGGAGAGGAGAAGCAGAGGAGAAGGTTACCTATTTTCCATAAGAGATTTGCTTAACTTGCTGTGGGAAAATTATTAAACATGTTTTTCTGATATATATCAATGTAAAGCACTATTGATTGATTGATTGATTAAATTTGTATACCACCCTATATCCGTAGATCTCAGGGCAGTTCACAGCACAAAACTACACACAAAATACATAATAAAAACAGAAACAGAAACAACCCAGTAATGTCAGTCAACACATTTGGATGGATGGATAAACCAACACGGATAAAAACAATCTCTAGCACAGCTCATTGCAAAGACAGCCCTGGAAGAGCGCAAGGGAACTCTGGGCAGAACACCTTATGAAAAAGGAGGTATTCAAGCAGGGGAAGGTGGGACAGCCACCTGTTGAGGACGTCTGGCTCTGGGTCAACTGCATCAAGATGGGAACTAGATTTGATGACCTATGAGGTCCTGTCCAACTCTTATGATTCTATGGAGTCACTGCCCCTCTATGCCTCTAGTGCTCCCCTACCCCTCCAAAATGCCTAGCAAAATAACCTACACATTCTGATGGCCTTGCATGGTGCATTTCATAGCCCCCACCAGTAAAGGCAGAGATGTATAAATACACAGCATGGTGGTGTAAGGACATGGAGGCAACTTTAACTTCACGTTACAGCAGGAGAAGAAGAGAGCCCGCCATTTTGGTTGGCAGTTCTATCTTTTTTTGTAACAGGTAGCCCTGCACCAAGAATATAGATTAGGTAGAGATTCTGCAGAGACAAATCTGTGCCACTGTGTGGGAGGAGCAGTGCTTGGGAGTTGTGATGATTTTTGGAGTCCCAGGAAGAAGAACAAATAAAAAATGCTACTAATAATACATGCCATGAGTTATATTTTCTAATAACACAAATTGTGGTGGGATGGTTATAATTCGACCTTATAAAATCAATGAAAGCTGGTCTGCTTTGTAAACACTCTTTCCAGTGCCCTTGCAAACTCAGTAAATATGAGAGTAATATCTCCATTACTGTGTAAGCTATTTAAAAGACATTAAAAATCCATTCTGAAAAGGGGTGTCCCATATAATGCAAATTTAATACTAGTAGCTGATATTGACTAGTCTAAAGTTCAAATTGGACCTGTTGTGATACAATAAGGAAGTGTAAAGCTCTCCATTTCTTATTTTCTGGTTTGCAAAATGATTATCAGTTGAAATGGCCACAATAAACAGAGTTGTGCAGCTTGGTCCTATATATATTTACTTGGGAAACAAGTCCCACTCATTCAGGTAGGTAGCCATGTTGGTCTGACGCAGTCAAAATAAATTTAATAATTTAAAAATTGTCCAGTAGCACCGTAGAGACCAACTAAGTTTGTTCTGGGTATAAGCTTTTGTGTGCATGCACACTTCTTCAGATACAAAGTACCACTGTGTTCATCTTTACTTACTCTCAAGTATGCATTTTCTCATAATAATATAAAAGAAGAAAATGAGCACAGGTTTGAAACAGGAGAACAACATTTGGCCTACAGCAGTGACATTTGTGACGCTAAAACAGTATGTTCTGCACCTTTTCCACTTCAAAAACCATTGAGCTGCTGAAGGTGGTAAAGAGTGTCTTCTTTAGCTGCAGTCAAAAATCACAAAAATTGCTTTGAAGCATTCTTAACCTTTCCCAAACTGCTACCTCACTCCATTAAGTGAGTCTAGAGACTCCATCCAAGCAGTTCAGGGGGCTTGAAATAACGGACTGCTGGGTTAGAGGTATGCAATTTCATTGGTTTCTGACGTCTCTCACTCACACACCCTTCCATTGTCCTGAATCTCCTGAGCCAAATCCTAAGGGCATTCTGGAAATATATTGGTGTTAACTAAGGTGTATATAGTTCTATGTGTTGGATTAATCTAGCTTTAAACCTATTCCTGAATCTTGAGTTATTCCAAGCAGCAATAGACGCATGATACATCTTCATTGATCCAACATAGCAGGAACAGGGAACTTGTGCTCTCTCCCTCCAGCTCCCATCAGCCTCTGTCAGGATGGACAGTAATTATTAATTATGGGAGTTGGCGACATCAGGAAAGCCATAGGTTCCTCAGCTCTGTACTATCAAAACCACCAATGAGGACTTTGTCCTGGCAACAGTATCTCCAGTAAGACATCAAGTGAGAAAGGTGTTTGTGAAGCTGGGTGATGGACTATCAAGATTGCTACTGTTATTATTCTTGAAAAATAATTGTAGAAGAATGCCATCTAGTCTCATGGATAGATTGATAATTTCTATACCTCCCCTTTTTTTTACTAGGTTTATTTGTGTATGTTCCAAGCAGACATGGACTATTTTCAGAATGTGAGTTAATGCTTAATTTAAAAGGAACTTTATAAATAAAATACTAAGCTGTAACCTTTATTGGGTTCCTACCTAGGCTTCCTCTGCTCTATGAGAAATCTACAGAGCTTGGATAGAAAGTTTGAGTAAATCACAACAAACCTACCATGTCACTAATGAATGGTATACATCCCATAATCCTGGTTGTGGAAGCTGCTTATTTTCTCTGACTACGCTGGCTGCAGGTTTCCATCATATGGGTTGCCTGACTCATCCACCACAAAGCTTTTAACGTGGTTGACGTGCAAAATGTTAAGCATTTTTCTTTTCTTTTCTTTTTACAAATAATGCTTACATTGGACTTTGCATCCCTCCAACCCAAATCTGTTATTAACTCCCCCCCCCCCCCATTTCTTACATTTGGATTTCCGACAAACCTTCATTGGCTAAAATACACATTTCATTTGAAAAAGCTTTCTCTTCCACTTTCTGTCCTCAGTCAGAAACATTAACATGTGGCATGCAACCCAGTTTAAAGCACAATATTGTGTAGATGCCCTGTTGCACTCAGATCAGACAACCTGTCCGCCATGGGCGGACTTGCTGTGGGCACAAAAAAGGACCAGAAACTGTCCCGAGCAGGATGGTTTTCCTTATTCTCCACAAAAACACTGCACAGAAGGTATTGTTCTGAGTTATTTTGAGCCCTGGAACTGCAAACATGGGGATAAAAGACTATTTTCTCACAGAGGTATTAGCTTAGCTGCTTTAATTTCCTTAGAGATAAAGGTGCTTGACTGGCAGCGATCTTGGACTTTAATCAAGTGCAGCTCAAGCAGAAATTACTGTTCTGTTGATAAGAAGCAAAGAGTGTGTTGTGTGTGTGTGTGTGTGTGTGTGTGTGTGTGTGTGTGTGTGTGTGTCAGAGAGGTGGGGAGAGAGACCATGCTAAAGGGCTTCAGGAATGTTTTGCAGTTGTGTGTTCATTACACAGCACACACAACTGGAGATTTCCCCATTACCTTCTACTTATAAAGAGTATTCTAATCTGAGGGTGGATATTTAGGGCAGCATTTTTTATTTGGATCATTTAAATTCCTAGACAGAGACATGGGCATAGCCGGGAGGGGGGCAGAGGGGGGCAGCTGCCCCACCCTAAATCAAGTAAAGCAATAAAAATACTTAACTAACTGAGGTTCTGCCCCCCCCCTTTAACATAAAGCCTGCCCCCTAACATAAATCCTGGCTAGGCCCATGGACTGAGAAGTGAAAAGCAAAAGGAGATATGGAAGAAAAAGAGAATCATTTAGGTGAGACATAAAAAATGGAGACTTATTTCACATCGGACACTTCCCTTTGTTTTTGTTTAGAAAGGATTAGGGCACTCACTGTTAATTATTTAAGATCTACTTAGGATCACCAGCATCACAGACACCATATAGCACATGAAATTGACACACACTCCATCTAGAAAGTTCACAGTCTATGTTAGGCAGACGTACAAGGCAATTCTATACATGGCTTCTCAGAAGTAAGTCCTGCTGAATTCAGTGGGGCTTACTCCCAGATTAGTGACTATAGGATTGCAAATGAACTGTTACCTTTAATGCAAAATTATCCACTAAGTTGAGGAAGAAGTGAAAATCCCCAATCCATCCAGGGCCAGACATACACAGAAGCTGTACTTAGATCTGGAACCTCTTTCATGAACCCTGCAAATCTCTTTAACGTGGTTTAATCAGTGACACGTAGAATCATTTTCAATTGGTGGTGCATATAGTGTTGCTGTTACAAATCTTGTTCATCACAGCCCATATAATCACCATTGCTTATTTTCTCTTTCAGAATCATCACTACCTACATACACTATACAGCCATAGAGGAGGCCCCACGGAGAGAGATGCTGCAGTTACCACTGTGGGGTCCTTTTCTTGGACCCCATTGGCAACACTATGTCAAATGAAATGCACATGATTAGGAACTCTCACTAATTTTCTCCGTCACCCCAAGAGATGTGTTTTTACTGCTCTTGAGCCACAGGTGACTCCCAAGCCATGGGTATGGATGGGGGACAAATTCATTTTTGTTTCACCTTTCTAATTCACCCTTCCTGAAATAAATATATGCACCCAGATGCAGCTGCTCTTCAAAATGCAGACTTCTCCAAATTGTGGGTTGCAGTTCTCCAGCCAAATAATGTGTACAAAAATGCATTTATTAGAGGAGACTGTGCATACAAAGGCATGCTATTAGTGAAGAAAGTAAACAAAAATGCATTCTGTTAGAGAAAATTGCTTGCAAATATGCATATATTTGGCAAAACTGCAGACACAAAAATAGCATATTAGTAGAAATGGGCACAAAAATGCTGACAAATCTTCCTGGGAACTTCAGCAATCCACATTTCCATATCTGTTTCAGACTGGAAAAATAAGAAGCTCAGAGAAATCAACACTGGCAGATTTGCCATTGCCTAACTGTGAGTAACCAAAAATTGGCTTAACCCTAGGATCACATCTTTCTTTTTTTCCAAACTAGAGGAACATCAGCATGCAAATGCTGAACTATTCTCTCTTTTTTCTTCTTCCTCTTGCATACCTTCTTCATCCACAGGCAGATCGGTGCTGTCTTTTAAGTCTTCATCCACCCACGGGCGAGACTCTGTCTTCTGGCAGGCTTTGCTGTGCTCTTTTTTGCTGCTCTTCCTGCTTCCTTTCAGTATTATTACAATCAAGACACAGATTATTGCTACAAAGACGGGAGTTAGGGGAGAGAATGCCATAGTCCGCACGCAACAAATGCTTCCCTTTCAAAAGAGTGAGAGATTTGATGAGATCGAGACTGAAACGCACAGAAGGGGTGGAACTAATGGCGCATTGAATGAAAAAGAGCAATGTTCAGCTCTCTTGGCTCCCTGCAGCCAGGAACCTTTCATAACTGTTTACACAAATCACTTGCTCTTCAACCTTCAGCAGTTTCTGGATACCTTCCAAAGGCTGGAAGTATTTATTTTAGCCCAATGTTAGTTAGACCTTTCTAAAAAAAATTGACTCAGTGTTAGAGTGCTCAGCAACTTTTTGACATATCAAAATTTAAAAACTGAATTGAGTTAGACACAAAGGATTATATTCAATGTAGTGCTAAGCAGAACATTCCATCAGAGCAAGGATTTCTCCGTGTGCAATGGAATGTACTCCCAATCTCCTACATCTGCCTATCCTAAATCTGTTCTGGGTTTCCCCCAATGCTCCAGAGCAGATTTGCAACAGTGCAGGCCATGCACAGGGGAAGGAGAGAGCGATGTTTCAATGGTTCTCTCCATTCCACCAGGTTTCTGTTTTTCCTGGTATATCAATGTCATATTCTAAGACCAAGCACTCAAGTTCATCCATCTTGGCTCAGAGGCTTCTAGAATTTGTGAATAAACACTTGTGTACAGTCTCTTTCTTCAAGTGTGTTTGGCACTTGTTTTGACCTGTGATGCTCTGGCCTCTCTGAAGTGCTATCTTGTGTCCTTGCACTCTCAATGCCTACTTCTACACGGTCCCTGTTTACATTTTCATCTCATTCTCCCTGACAACAGGAGAGCTATCACCATGGGAACAGGACACAGCTATAATGCCCTTGAAGGTTTCAAGTGAACCTCTCCACCAACCTCTCTGCCTTTTTTAGCTTTTCCAGGTCTGCTACCTTGCCCTCAAGGGAATGAACTTGTTCCCATAGTCAGGAACTCATAAAAGTGGTGACCATATTGCATGTGGGTTCCATTCCTGGCTCCCACACGCATTGGTGGAGTGCGCAGAAGCCTGTTACATCCCATTATGCCCTGTTGTGCTCCTGTTATGCCCCGCCCCTGCCCCATCATGCATCAGTTGGACATGTGCAAAATGGCTGCCATCTGCAGTACCTTGGGCACAGCCATGACTTCTATCCTTCATGGACTTATGCGACAGACAGTACAAAACCCCGGAAAGCTCCCACTCCCCTGCTGCCATTTTACCTGTATAATTGTTTTTTTGTAGGTTAAGTTCCTTTATGGAGAAGCTGGGTTTTCTCAAAAAAACCTGCTTGATCTAAGTGTCAGGGAGATGAGGGTCGGAGTGGAGCATTCAGGCCTCCTCACCTTGCTGCCGAATTTGCACGTCTGCTTAACTCGCCTTGACGCTTTATCAGCTGGAGCCAAGAGGCTTTGTCAGTTGAAGGTCCCTGACTGTACTTCTCACACAGATAACTTAAAAGTTACTTTCCCTGGGGTAATGTGGTGTTTAATTTTCGAGTGCAAAGCAAAGTGAAGACAGCTCATAATGCTTGCAAATCCCTTTCCTATTAAATCTTATTTGGTAAGTCTTTTCCTACTCTTTAATATTTTCTACTAAAGCATACACCAAGCCTTTATTTGAAGCGATTGCGTTACATTGCTCTCCAACCTCACAAAACTCCCGCAATGCCCTGATTTATTAAAACTAGACTAAGTTTAATTAAATTCTCATACACACATTCAAACAAAGATCCCTTCTGGGGACTGGTAGTGAGGAAGAGGCAAAAACAAATGATTTGAAATATTGCCGAGCATCTCCCTTAAAATGCAGATGATTATTGCACACCACCCCAACCTCCAAGCAGGGGTTCTAGGAGCTTCCTCAAGGTTTCCTTTTGTGAATGAGGCACAGTGGAGACTGTGGTGTCTTCATGATATATGGCTTGTTTACGCATATATACAACCTGTGCCTGCAATGCTTTTCCGTGCTTTTCCACACAGCAGGCAGAAAAAGTTGCACAGGCAGTAAAGCGTTACTTGGTTACAAGCTGGTAAAAGTTCCTAAATTATTGTTCGTCTGAAAAAAACAGAGGTTGGGTTAAGGCCGGATTTAGGTTTGATGAGGCCCTAAGCTACAGAAGGTAATGGGGCCCTTTATATGTCAACAACAAACTGTCGCTGTTTTTTGTGTTGAATATATGCTATATGGTAATTTATGGACCAAAAGGTATCTAAAGCCATTTGCACATGCAGAATATAGGCACCCTGTATATAGAAATGAGCAAACCGGTGATATTTTAGGGAGCAGGCTAGCAGGCGGGGCCCATTACTTACATTATAGGAGCCTACACATCACAAAACACTGCTGTATGTAGAATTTATTTTATTTGTTTTTTATCTTATATTTTAGAAATGTACATCCAGGTTTTTCCCTTTAAATTTTTGGGGGGCCGCCAAGAGAGGGGGGCCCTAAGCTATAGCTTGTTTACCTTATTCATAAATACGTAAATCCAGTACTGGGTTGGGTAAAGCTACATTTCATAGAGTGGTTCAACAATCAATCCCTCTTCCCAGGGAACTCTGGGGATTGTAGGTATCAGAAAATACCTGATAAAAGTGCAAATGAATGTTGGAACAGACTGAGGCACATTCGTACATCCCAAGAACTGAGTAAGCTTTGTGCAAGCAAATCAGTATGAATAAAGAGGTTGTTTGGAGGAGCCCCCTGTTTCCCATGAAGAGGATCATTGAATTGAAGCAGAAGTAGTTCATGTTTCAGAGGCAAAAATTAATGGATTGCTAGAAATTCCAGGCAATGATTGGAGCATGTGCCATCACTGAGCTGGCTCGCATATCACATTTCTCAAAGCAAACCACAAGCAGTAAATCAAAAACAATGCTTGGCTTCTCCTTGTGGTTTGTTTGAAGAAAGTCAATTGCAAGCCCAGGTTTAGATGATTTGATGAGCCAAACAATGGATTGCTTCCACAGCAGCAGAGGAGGAGCAAAATGCTTATGATTTCAGCCCACTGGCCCACAGCTTATTTTAACTATGGCTTAATGTGATGTGTGAGCCACATAAGAAATATGTATCTGCCTCTATCTACTTAGTGTGCTTAAATTTATCTTTTTCTGTATCAAAGCATGTGGCCTTGTCTCCATACTTTTAAAAAAGCATTCTGAACTGGCCACTTTTGTTTTAAAGAGGGGGAAAAAAATCATGGGGTTCTAATTCAGAAAGTGCTGATGATCCTGGTCCTTGCTGAAAATCGCCCCCCCCCCCCCCCACAGAGAGAGAGAGACTTGCTCTTGAGAGCGCTTGTTGCTACACACAGCAATTTGGGCAGCAAACAGCAGCCAAGGAGGGGTTGGTGTTGAGGAACAACACTTTCTGGAAGAGGGCACCATGGCTGCTTTTTCTTCAAAATAAAAGTAGAATGCATTTGTAAAAGACTTGAAAAGTGAGTATCACTTAATTCAATTTTAACAGGCTGGTTGAACAGCAATAGACAGTATTTGAATCGACACTTCAAAGCCACAGCTATTCTTCTCTCTCTCTCTCTCTCTCTCTCTCTCTCTGTGTGTGTGTGTGTGTGTGTGTGCATTTGGGTATTTGGGTATGCCTCTTTCTCCCCCTCTGAAGAGAATCTTCACTCATATTGCTAAGCTCTAGTGAGTTCTTGCACTTGTAAAGCCTTACCTTGGATGATTAATCCCTAAACATTAACCTCAGGAATGAATCAGAAATTAATGTTAATGAAGAAATGCCAACTTAAAGGGATTTCAATAATGCTTTGCCTTAAGAGGCAAGCACATGCCATATATGGAGCTTTACAAAGGTTCTGTCTTTCTTATTGCTCCCAAAGAGAGCATTTGGGTTAATTAAACAAATTCAAATCCTTAAAAGCAGGAGGAGACCCAGAAAACTTGCTTCCCAGAGGCCTCCTCTCTTCAAGCACTGCTTGTTGCTACCCGTTTAAAGGGGGGAGAGAAGGAGAAGAATGCTTCATTCATTGTTCTGTAGAGTGGCCGTGTCTTCTGCTTTACAGAGACACTCTTGTATTTGAGGGGCTCAGAGGGCAGCCTTCCATTTGAAGATATCCAAGTGCAGGTTAAAGATGAAGAACCATATGGAGGGATAGCAGTGGCCTTGAAGTTGCCCATCAACAGAGAGCCGCAGGGCATAGACAGCAACTCAGCTGTAATTCTCTCTAAACATGCATGCATATGTCCATAAATATATAAAAATTAGCATATGCAAATGTTATGCAACTTATTGTCTTCTTTTCTCCTCTTTTTTGATGACGTGACTCACCTTTCCTCCCACCTTTTTGGGTGGGTGTGTGGTATAAGTGGCCACTTTGAGCTACCAGTTATGAAGTCCTATCACACCTTGACCCAGACCTATGCCACTCCCAAGCCAGGTACTGCACCTTTCGGACAAGGCAGGGAGCAGGTTTTTAGGCATCCCAAAAGCAAACCTAGAGCATGTTCACACAATTTGAGGTTTCTGTTAAGCTGAGGCTCCTTCATGTTCAGACATTGACGGTCCTGGTAATAATATCTTAGAGCCAGTGATGCACAGGACCAAGTCACGAGGTTGCGGGTCTCCGACCACTGCATTTGTTTGATGCGCCCTTTCAACAACGTTCTTACTTGTGTGCTGTTTTCAAAATCTAGGAGGAGAATAAGGTAGCCCATACTGCTGCAGCTGTTCTGTATTTTGATATATGAACTGTGTTCCTTGGGTGGGTCTTATTTGCTGCTGCTGCTGTGCCATATTTAGCTGCAGAGCTAATTGGCATCCTATCCTCCATTGTGGCTGGAGGTGGGGCCTCTCCCTCAGTTTTAACAGGTGCACATTAGTCATAAAGGCTATTTTTCTGTTTAAAGTGTGCACCAGCAGAGGCGGCATGTTTCTGTCATTGTGGAAGATATGATCGGAATCTAGCTGGCTGCTCAGCTGATCCACTCCAACTGAATCCCAATCCCTTCCACTTCTTCCCATATATTTCAGGAAAGTTACACTAAAAAAAGGCTTTTGGCCATTACACCACTGCACCATCATTAACCTGGGTTTATGCTAGTATAAGGGATTTAGTAACAATCCTAC